CCTCCATACCTTCAGACGTCCCGTCCTCCTAACCCTTGGACATCCTGTCCTCCAGACCTTCAGTCCTCCTGTCCTCCATACCTCTGGACATCCTACCCTTCCATCCCATCTCCTGTAGAAGTACTACCTTGCAGTGGGAACTCTCCTGAGCACTTCCTGCATTCCTCCAGAACTCTCCCGTGCTCCTCTGGAAGTCCTCTAGCACTCTCCACCAGAGTAGCCAGCCTCCGGAAGTCCTCCGGACTTCATTGAACCATCATTGGACTTCCTCTGCAATGAAGGGCACATACTTGGGTAAGGAGCACAGCGTATGAGCTGAGGCCAAGCCCCTCTGAGTCAGTCTCTCTCTCCTTTGAGCATGGTTCTTAACAGCACCAGTTTCTTGACATCTTTCCACACTTTGCCTGTCATGAGCATCTGATTGCCAAATGTATATGCCATGCCCATTAGCACTGCACCCCAGTAAAAGCAGTTGGCCTCATCGAGAGTTTTTGCTAGTTCATCCTCTGTGGAAAATCAGTGGCATCCCTTCCCTGGTTCCTTCCAGAAGAAGACACATTTAGCAACAAGGTGCTCAGCAGATAGAATCAATGGTTGCAGAGATGCTGTTGACACAGGCATAGATGTGGTGCTTGTGCTATGGACCAATACTGGGTGACAACTTTTGAAGCTGCCCACCAAACCAATCATCACTTTTAGGCTAGTGTCAATGGCAAGTGTGGTGATGGTGTAATGACTTTTAGTGATATCAAATGGTGTCGAGATAAGGTCAGAAAAACTGATAGATGGGATGTCATAGAGGCAAAAAACAACTGAGGTATATCCTGTGCCTGTACTAGAGTGAGTGTAATCAACATTCATGTGAAGGCTGTGCATACCAATAGACAAAGCTTGCTTGCAGATGTTACCCTGAGCATGCATTGCTGCCTTTAGCTGAGCTTGACTAGGTAGGATAGCTGCAGTGATATTTTCAATTGGAAAGTGGATTTAACTGAGTCTGTGTTGGAAGCGCTGACATGATGATCCATTACTGATCCATCTGTCTGAGTGTTCGCAGATGTTGCCAGAGGTGAGTGCTGTGTATAGGCTCATTACCATGTCTGAAGTATGCAGGAGTTGGGACTCATGATTCTTGAATGCTTGTGGGCAGGGCACTTTGGTGAAAGATCTGAATCATTGCCACTATTAGGTGGACTCCATGCTGAGGACTTTGTCGTTGTCTTTATCTTCTGAGTTTGTGGTGTGCTAGAAGTAGCCACTAGTGCCTCATCTATATAGTCTGGTACAGCCTTCTATGACTGTTAGCATCACTTTGTGAGAGATGAACTTGGATGCACATTTTCCTGTTGCTCTCACCACAGCAACACATCCTGAAACTGCATGTTGGTCATAACAAGGAGGACCATAATATGTGCATTTGCAAAAAAAATTGGGACAGGGTCCTTGGCTGTTGATCAGAGGAAGAACTCTTGTGTCATATCCCACAATCTGGACTCACATTCCATAGTATTCCCACGCCTTCTGAGCCTACGTCTGGACCCCATATCCGACTCATTCCCAGATCCCCTTCCGCTGTGTACTCCACACCTCAGCAGGATCGACTATGCTCTGGATTTACCCCTGACCTCCGGATCCTCACTGCTAGCCTGATCCGTACAACCCTATCCTGTCCACCCTATGCACACTCCATCCAGCAAGACATCCAGACTTCACCTCATCTCGGATTCTGGACTATATCCACCTTCTCGTATTCCAGTCCTGTATCCACCTTGTCTTCCAGATCCCCAGATCTCCAGACCTTTCCTACCCTCTGTCCAATATCCTGTGCCTATCCCCATTTAGGCATTCTCTGCCTTCCAGCTTTCGGTTACCTCTTGTTCCATCTTGCTTATTGATCCTTGTACAAGTCCTCATCTCCGAGTTCATTTACTTATGTTCCGACTTACTTACTAATGTGTTTCCACATGCTCGTACATAGCCTTGCTCCTTTGCTTACTGATCCCCTCAGATATTGTTCAGTATATAACCCCTGTAGATACTCCTGTAGTTTCCTCAGTTTGAATATCAACTTAGACTTGCCCAATCCTCTCTTGGACTTTGGTCCACCTAAGTCTGTCCTACCCATCAGGCCTAGGGATTGATTCCCTAGGCCAGAGCTCTGCCTTTCCGGCACTTACCCTCTTTCTGGACTTAGGTCCAATCCCTGCCTCTCCAACTCTACCTTAGGGTAGTCTACCTCTGTTTGTTTCTACATCGGACTTTGTCTGATGTAGCCCCTTGTCATATCCCATATGCCAGACATAGATCCCATCATATTCCCACGCTTTCCGGACCTATTTCCGGACCCCATATCCAACTCATTCCTGGATCCCCTATCCTGTCCACCCTATGCACATTCCATCCAGCAAGACATCTGGACTTTACCTCCTCTCAGATTCTGGACTACATCCACCACCTCCCATATCTCAGTCCTGTTTCTGCCCTGCCTTCTGGATCCCCAGATCTCCGGACCTCCGGATATTAACTGTACTATCTCCGGACCTATTCCCACCCTCCATCCGAGATCCTGCGCCTATCCCCATTTAGGCATCTCTGCCTTTCTGGTTCTTGGTTATCTCTGTTTCCGTCTTGCTGATTGATCCTTGTATGAGTCTTCATCTCCAAGTTCATTTACTTATGTTCCGTCTTACTTACAGTGGCTCAAAAAACTGTCCACATGTTTTTGCATTTTTTACTATTTACAGTATTGTGTGAGAATACATAAAGACCTCAGTGACATGCTGATACCATATTGTAGTGCTGCTTCAGGGCTTTGGATTGAGCACCACATCGTGAGAATCAGAGGAGATATGGTGGAGATACAAGGCTTACAAAATCATGACTCATGCGGACAGTTTTTTGAGCACATATCAAAACTATATAAATCATCATTTATGACACCATAACAATCATGCCATCATTAAATAAATTATAAAGTGGTGTCATTATGTCATTTTAAAACCATATCTAACTATACAAACCAAAAATTTCCATATGTCATGGTTATATTCACCATGAAAGCCACCCCCCCTGCTCAAAGGGATAATATCCTCTCTCTTTCCTATTCTGGCCTCTCTGCTTGTCAAATTTCCTCTAGAACTGGAGTATGCAAGTCCACTGTGGCCAAGTTCATCAAAGAAAGTCACACAGACAAGGAAAACTTCTGTGAAGGGCATCCATCCAAGCTCACCTCTACTGATAGGAGGGCTATTATTCAACATATCACTACAGGAAAGGCTGATAATGCTGTCCAGGTCACCTATTACATCAATTCCATCATCACATTCCCTGTCTCTTCACACACTGTGAGAAACATTCTCAAGACAGCTCATCTCAGGTCAGTAACAAGGAAGAAAAGGCTCTCCTCTCTATCACACATATGCAGAGAGGACTAGCACCCTTCTTTTTTCACATATATACCTTGCCATCTGACCCAATCCTATTTATTGTGGTCTTATATGATCATATAACATGCTTCCAGTCCATGTAATCCAATTCTGATGGGCTAAGGCAAAGGTTAGTCATCTCTGTTTATGTGTGATAGAGAGGAGAGCCTTTTCTTCCTTGTTGCTGACCTGAGATGAGCTGTCTTGAGAATGTTTCTCACAGTGTGTGAAGAGACAGGGAATGTGATGATGGAATTGATGTAATAGGTGACCTGGACAGCATTATCAGCCTTTCCTGTAGTGATATGTTGAATAATAGCCCTCCTATCAGTAGAGGTGAGCTTGGATGGATGCCCTTCACAGAAGTTTTCCTTGTCTGTGTGACTTTCTTTGATGAACTTGGCCACAGTGGACTTGCATACTCCAGTTCTAGAGGAAATTTGACAAGCAGAGAGGCCAGAATAGGAAAGAGAGAGGATATTATCCCTTTGAGCAGGGGGGGTGGCTTTCATGGTGAATATAACCATGACATATGGAAATTTTTGGTTTGTATAGTTAGATATGGTTTTAAAATGACATAATGACACCACTTTATAATTTATTTAATGATGGCATGATTGTTATGGTGTCATAAATGATGATTTATATAGTTTTGATATGTGCTCAAAAAACTGTCCGCATGAGTCATGATTTTGTAAGCCTTATGTCTCCACCATATCTCCACCGATTTCCACGGTGTAGGGCTCAAATGAAAGCCCTGAAGCCATACTACAATGTGGTATAAGCATGTCCTTGAGGCATTTGTTCGTTCTCACACAATATCATAGATAGTGAAAAATGTCAAAACATGCGGACAGTTTTTTGAGCCACTGTACCAATGTGTTTCTGCATGCTCATACATAGCCTTACTCCTTTGCTTACTGATCCTCTCAGATAGCCTTTAGTATATAACCCCTGTACAACTACAGTAGAGTCCTCAGTCTGAATATCACCTTAGACTTGCCCAATCTTCTTCTGGACTTCAGTCCATCTGAGTTTGTCCTTTTCCATAAGGCCTAGGGATGGACTCCCTAGGCCAGAATTCCGGACCTTCGGATTTGTCCCCTATGTCTCTGTCCCAAGTCTAGGGATTGCTTCCCTAGGCTGGAGTCTTGCCTTTCCGGCACTTATCCTCTTTCCAGACTTAGGTCCACTTCCTGTCCCTCTGACTCTACCTTAGGGTAGTCTACCTCCATTTGCTTCTACATTGGACTTCGTCCAATGTAGCCCCTATTCCTTCTGGACCTCCAGACCTCCTGTCTTCTGTACCTCCAGGCATCCTGTCCTTCAGATGTTCCACCCTCCATACCTTCGGACGTTCTGTCCTCCTAACCCTCGGACATCCTGCCCTCTGTACCTTCAGACATCCTGTCCTTCTGTCCTCTGTCATCCTGTCCTCCTGTCCTCCGGACCCTCAGACCTCCTATCCTTCCATCCTGTTTCCTGTAGAAGTATTACCTTGCAGTGGGAACTCTCCTGAGCACTTCCTGTGTTCCTCTGGAACTCTCCTGCGCTCCTCCGGACTTTGTCGGACCATCATTGGACCTCATATGAAATGAAGGGCACATACTCAGGTAAGGGGCACAGTGTATGAGCTGAGGCCAAGCCCCTCTGAGTCAGTCTCTCTCTCCTTTGAGCAACATGGTTCTTAACATCTTGAAGGACTGGCTCATCAGCATTAAGGGATGGCTGCTGTGGATCATACAAAAGCATTTTTGGGGACTTGTGCATCTCCAAGCTATACAGAGACAGTAAGTGATTGTGCGACCATTCAGCCCATAATAGATTGAGCTGGTTGCAGGCAATAGACCGAAGCTCTGTCAATGTGACATTAAGTCCAATATGCATATCACGTTCAATATTCTAAAAAAATTGTGAGTATATGGTTGGGCAAGCTAGGGTTCACATACACCAACCAATACTGTCCCTGACTTGCCTTCAGGTTTAAGGTGATGAAGAGCAACATGGATTGTCACTTGGTGTGTGCCTCCTGATGATGCTGCCAGGGCCATCCTGTTGCAATGTAACTGATGGACTGCATGATTGGGTGTGTACCTGATGCTAGCAATAGGACCTAGTAATAGACCAGTGAAAATGTCACTTCAACTAGACATCAAAAGAAAGCCCCAAACTATTTGCTTTTACCTGATACACAAGGTGGCAGTGGTGGAGGGAGCATTTTTCCCTGTCCACTGGAGCAGACTTGACCACCTTGAAATGATGGTGGTGGAGCAAGACTGAAATGCTGACTGGGAAAGTGATTTTCTGTCATAATCAACTCAAGTCAGCTTGGCAATGTTGACTTCATGTATTGGGAACATGTACACCTCCTTGCTGGGCAGCTGAGGTTGCTTTCACCAGCTCATGTTGCAATGGCCCAGGATGATCTATGGCAGCTGTAAAATCTACAATAATGAGCATAATGTTCAATTCTGCAGGTTGACAAGTCACCTATCCTCAAACTACTACTTTTCTGAGTCTGCTCAGACATTTTGTGCTGTTCATAATGCTTTGCACAGCTAGGGCAGCATGTACAACCAGATCCATCTTTATCACAAATATATGTAAATGGAAAAGTTGAGTCGAAGCGAGTGTTGCAGTGTTGACAAAGTTGTCATGCAGTTGGATTTACAGGAGTAAATCCAGCCATGATTGATATCTGAGCTTGAGGACTTGGAGTTGCAGTGTAAAATGCAGGAGGAATCAGTCAACAGGCAGATGAAGATGAAACTTTTTTTATTTGCCTCTTGCCTTAGAATCATGACACCTGAGGTTCCACTGTCAGTCGTTCAGAGCTCATGTGTCAATGTGCAATTCTCAGTTACAGGTGAGTGTGTCAACCCTTGGTTCCGTCACCATTGGATCAACAGTGAGGGTCACAGTGAAACTAGGTTCTTTGGGAAACAATTACTCAATCACATTGCTAGCAAACATATGAAAGGTACATTACAAAAGCTCATCATCAGTTCAATCAAACTCATAGAAATCTGACTCTGCATCACCTGATTCCTCATCTGAGATCTTCTCAGTACCCATATCACTGCCCAGACCACTACCTTCAACAAACAGTGGCAAATCTACAATAGGTAAGTCCTCAGAGCCAATAAGGTTGTCCCCATTGCAAGGAAGTGGGAGTTGCACTGCAAGAAGTTTGTGAATCCCTTCATCCTGTTCAATTGATTGGAAACACATCAGAAGGTCAGCATAGATATTCCAGACATTGTCCCCAGTTACCAGAGGTGAGCCAAGCTCCACCATGAATACAGAGACTTGTTGAGAAAACTCTTGCAGAACTAGGAGAAAGACAGGGTGATCCAGAGGAGCATATATCTGTCACATAGCATCAAGTGAAGAATGGTCAACTTTCACCTAGGAAGAATGCACCTTTCAATCAATGACAAGACACAAAGATAGCCAGTACTTAGGGCCTGTTTGGCAACCATTTGTTTGTGTCCATTTGCATCCATTTTCGTTTGAAATGGAAAAACGTGTTCAGCGATGTGTTTGTTTCACTAGATATCTGTCACTGTCATATGCCATTCTGGACCCTCAACTCTAAATCCACTTCTCCAGATATCTGGATCCAAGATCTGGATCTCCAATGATCTGATCTATCTTTATCTTCCTTGTGGAATCCAAACTCTATATCAGTGCCCAACCCCATTTAGACTTCCCCTGTCTCCGGACTCCAGTTAACTATGTTTCCCTTCTGATTATTGATCCATTACATACATTTCATTTCTGATATGCATTATTGGTGATCTGTCTTACTTACTAATAGACTTTGCATATGCTTCGTACATAGCCTTTGTGTTTGCTGACTGATTCCTATATGATACCTACAGTATATAAACCTCCTGTAACTCTTGGAAATACTTCAGTTCAAATATCATCTTAGTTCCTGCTCATTCCTGTGTCCTCCAGACTCAAGACAAGTCTCTTGTCATATTCTGAGTCTTAGGATTGTATCCTAGACTACATCTCTGGCTCTACCTTGGGGTAGTCTATCCCCTGTTAATTTCTAGTCTGGACGCCTTATCCACTTGTCCAAGTAACATCTGGACATCCATCAGATTTATCTCATGTTTCAGATCTGGACATCCATTATCTGCCCTAGTCAAATCCCAGAAACTCTGGACAACTATTCTAGCCCCCAGAAATTAAGGGCACATACTCAGGAAAGGCACACAGCATACAAGCTGAGGCCAAGCCCTTGTGATCCAACCCCCTTGAGCACATGACCTTAACAGTCATGCTGCATAATGTGGTGTCACACTAGTACTCATTTGCTCACTCTAGTCAATCAAATATCCCACTGTCCCTACTCTGTCAACTACTACCAGTCTACTACCATGGCAATCTCTCTCTCATCAGATACCAAGGAGAACATCAATTCACTGCAGGAACCTCAAGATCAGGCTATCAGTACCAGGAAGATTCCATGGAATGCAAAGTGGCTTTCAGGAGATGATGCAACACTCCTTGACTCTCTCAAGACCTTTGCTGATGGAAACTCAGCTGATAATGGCACCTTCAAGTCTGCAGTATTTACAGCTGCTGCTAAGGCCCTCAAAGACAGCCACAAAACCAGTGGGGGTGCTCTGAAAACTTCGAAAAGTTGCTCACATTGTTGGGCCACTGTAAGTAGCATTTTTCCTCCATTTTCATGCTGATTTATTGTCTATAGTTGAAGGCCAACTGTCTTGTTGTCCAAAAACTATGAGAGCTGTCCGGATTTGGATGGGACAAGACAAGAAAGATTGTCATTGCCAGTGACAAAGTGTGGGATGATTACCTCAAAGTAAGCTTTCATATTTTGTTCATTTCTTGACTAAATTGCTATTTAGGCTCATCCTGAAGCCAAGGTTTGGTGTTCAACACCATTTCCCCTCTATGATGACATTGTTGTGCTCATAGATGGGTGTCATGCCATGGGTGATGGGGCACTACACATCAATAGTGTTGGACACAAGACAAGCCCTCCATGGCCAAGCACACTTGTTCTCGATGACAAGGATGATGTCTTTGTAGGTGAGGATGGTGAGTCTGAATCAGCTGATGAGAAAGTGGTATGTACATCAACTTGCTTGCTTTATTGTCTGACTTGAATTTACACCAGTCTGCACCTATTTCATATACTCCATGTGTTCTGAAATATGGACATGCTCCTTTAGTATCACCAACTTCAACCAGAGTCCATAAAAAATGTTCCCATGCAAAGCTGACTGGTCCAGCAGCAATTCTTGGAGTAGCTGATGCTCTCAAGTCTGTTGCTACATCTTTCACTGCTCCTACTAATTTTCTCAATGATGTTCCCAGTACTCTGAAACATCATATTAATGCCATCCAGGCTGTTTGTACTGATGCTTCCTTATCTTCTGACAAATGTGCCAAGGTTGTTGTTCTATTTACCAAGGATGTAGCTATTGCAGATGCCTACACTGCCATTTCAGGTGTCCCTCTCCATTCTATGTACATTTGTCTTGAACTCAGAAAAATGTAGACAGCTTTTCCTAGTTCTCATTTGCAGTATACTCAATATACTGAGCCCACATTGCTTCTGCTATATCATCTCATTTTTGTCCTGCCCTTGTCCTTTCTGCTGGCATGATTTGATGACTGAAATCCTCTGGTACAGCCTGAACAGCCTGATCAGTGCCCACCTCTCTCTCCTCATCTCCTTCCTCATTATCATCTGGATTGTGAACATGGATGAAATTGTGTAAGACACAGAGGGCAGGAACCAGCTTTGTCTGTACCACAAGGCTGTATTCTGGGGCAGCAACCATTAGCTGGAATTGACACTTCACCACACCAAAAATGCATTCAATAACATTTCAGGCCTAGGCATGTCATAGGTTGAATAGTTCTTGGCAATTCTTTGGTCTAGTTATTTTTCAGCATTTTTTAAACAGTTGATCAATAGAAAAAAATCATACCTTTGACTTGAACAGCCCCATTCCTTGAGGTGATAGTGCACACCATGATATGGAACCAAGAGTGAGTCACATAATGGAAACCCTACATCAGCAAGGTAGCAGAGATTCAGGGGGATGGGAAAGTCAGTTTGCCAAGCATCATTGTATATGTGGCTGTCAGCTGCACTTCCCTCCCATCCTGCAAGGACATATGAAAAGTGCATGTCAAATGTGCATGCAGCAAGGACATTTTGTGAGAGGCAGCCCTTTTAATTGTGGTAGTGAGCAGTCAGGGCATCATTGGGAACAAAAGTATCAATGTGCGTCCCATCAATTGCACCCTGACAGTGCTGAAAAAATGGGTAGAGCTTAGGATTACTGTGAATCTCAGGGGGGACTATGTCATTGGGTGGTAGGCTGACATAGCACTGATAAAAGCATGGTGATACTACCATGTCTAGAAGATGAAGAAAAATCCTAATATTATGGTCACAGTGATAAATTAATCCTGCTGCATTTTAAATAGTAATATTGGGCACTCACTTTGAAATAGTATCTGCACTGTGCTGGAACTGTTCTTGCATGTCCTGATTTGTACTCCCAGTATGGCAGATTCGAAGAAAAATGGCAAGCTGTTCTTCAGAAGAGATATATCTTGAATGTGCAAGGTCTGCATATTGGCTGAGTTCATGGAGCAATTGGTGAAATACTGGCTGGGAAAGGCCCATCATATTATGGAAGTGACAGGATGTCCTGATAAGAGCTCCCAGACCCATGAATGGCCCATCAAGATAGAGTCATGCTGGGGAATCTTGTCAAAATAGGGCAAGGTGGCCACTGCCACTGCAGCAGCTGAAAATGCAGCAGCTAGCACTGCAGCTCTCTTTCTGCAGGTGTGGGTTGCCTTAAGAGAGACTTTGAGGGCCTTTCTCTTCCATGATGAAGTCATACTAGTAGTAGTTGTAGAGCTCAAGCAGCAAACTGATGGTTATCATTGATTATCTACATGTTTGACAGTGTGTGACACCCATGGGAGCATCTGTTTCACTTCAACATCCATCCATTTCAAAATGAAACAAACCCAAACAAATGAAACGAGTGGTTGCCGAATGGGCCCTTACTGCAAAGTCATGAGAATCATATTCTTTGGCATGGTAGAATATGTCATTTGGACAACCATGTGGAAGGATCTTGTGGATATTATGGCAAGGTTTGACATGATTGAACCTTTCTGCAAAGAGATCAAGCTCATGCTGGAGCCATGGAATAAATGTACAGTGGCTCAAAAAACTGTCCACATGTTTTGACATTTTTCACTATCTATGATATTGTGTGAGAACAAACAAATGGCTCAAGGACATGCTTATAGCACATTGTAGTATGGCTTCAGGGCTTTCATTTGAGCCCTACACCGTGGGACTCGGTGGAGATATGGTGGAGATACAAGGCTTACAAAATCATGACTCATGTGGACAGTTTTTTGAGCACATATTAAAACTATATAAATCATCATTTATGACACCATAACAATCATGCCATCATTAAATAAATTATAAAGTGGTGTCATTATGTCATTTTAAAACCATATCTAACTATACAAACCAAAAATTTCCATATGTCATGGTTATATTCACCATGAAAGCCACCCCCCCTGCTCAAAGGGATAATATCCTCTCTCTTTCCTATTCTGGCCTCTCTGCTTGTCAAATTTCCTCTAGAACTGGAGTATGCAAGTCCACTGTGGCCAAGTTCATCAAAGAAAGTCACACAGACAAGGAAAACTTCTGTGAAGGGCATCCATCCAAGCTCACCTCTACTGATAGGAGGGCTATTATTCAACATATCACTACAGGAAAGGCTGATAATGCTGTCCAGGTCACCTATTACATCAATTCCATCATCACATTCCCTGTCTCTTCACACACTGTGAGAAACATTCTCAAGACAGCTCATCTCAGGTCAGCAACAAGGAAGAAAAGGCTCTCCTCTCTATCACACATATGCAGAGAGGACTAGCACCCTTCTTTTTTCACATATATACCTTGCCATCTGACCCAATCCTATTTATTGTGGTCTTATATGATCATATAACATGCTTCCAGTCCATGTAATCCAATTCTGATGGGCTAAGGCAAAGGTTAGTCATCTCTGTTTATGTGTGATAGAGAGGAGAGCCTTTTCTTCCTTGTTGCTGACCTGAGATGAGCTGTCTTGAGAATGTTTCTCACAGTGTGTGAAGAGACAGGGAATGTGATGATGGAATTGATGTAATAGGTGACCTGGACAGCATTATCAGCCTTTCCTGTAGTGATATGCTGAATAATAGCCCTCCTATCAGTAGAGGTGAGCTTGGATGGATGCCCTTCACAGAAGTTTTCCTTGTCTGTGTGACTTTCTTTGATGAACTTGGCCACAGTGGACTTGCATACTCCAGTTCTAGAGGAAATTTGACAAGCAGAGAGGCCAGAATAGGAAAGAGAGAGGATATTATCCCTTTGAGCAGGGGGGGTGGCTTTCATGGTGAATATAACCATGACATATGGAAATTTTTGGTTTGTATAGTTAGATATGGTTTTAAAATGACATAATGACACCACTTTATAATTTATTTAATGGTGGCATAATTGTTATGGTGTCATAAATGATGATTTATATAGTTTTAATATGTGCTCAAAAAACTGTCCACATGAGTCATGATTTTGTAAGCCTTGTATCTCCACCATATCTCCTCTGATTCTCACGATGTGGTGCTCAATCCAAAGCCCTGAAGCAGCACTACAATATGGTATCAGCATGTCACTGAGGTCTTTATGTATTCTCACACAACATTGTAAATAGTAAAAAATGCAAAAACATGTGGACAGTTTTTTGAGCCACTGTATAATGAAAAACAAGCCTTGAATACTTGATGCTTAGTGCTCAGTGAGAAAGAAAGAAATTAATACAGTACTGCTACCTTTCCAAGGCATCATCAGGATTATAGATTCCCATGGTGAAGCCATATTCTAGAATATCTTCAAATCCTGGAGTCCAGCATCATTGTAATTGGCTCCAAAATATTTCAGGCTTGATGTTGTGATGTTGGCCCTTGAATTTGTGTTGTAAAGTGTGGGCAAGAGCTGGATCTTGCATATGACAAAGTAAGGTGTGACCATTAGCGATGCCATTATTTTCGCTTCCAGGGTCATTCTGGGTTACAAGGGGCATGGCTAGTAAAACCATGTTTCAGTTGGCGAGTGTAGTGAGATAGTCATGCTCACCACCAAGGGCTTGTACAGTATCACAGTACCATCCACAAATAAGACAGGGGTTACAGTTGGTCCACCAGATCTTGATCCAAAGTATGCATCCTGAAAAAGGCTTGACTGCAACATGCAGGAAGAGCTGAAATCAGCACCACTTGTTGTGTTGATCAAATACCCAAATATCATTGACACCTGCAGTCCAGTAAACACTCCTCTTCAGGCATCAACTCTTGTGAGCTTGAACATCTGCCTGATGGTGGAGATTCATGTAGTGAAGAATCAACTTTCTTTTCACAAAATACTACATGTGTCATTACAGAAATCCAAATAAAGAAAACACACCTTGACACAGTAATCTTTTCTTCATGTATGAGGGTTTGCCTCATGTCATGTGAACCCTGCTTTGGGAACTGTGCTCACACTCGCTCAATTGTAGGACCAATACTTGTGATGGTATGGGCTTGCCCATGAGCAGACTTCAGCCCCCACTGAGAGCGCTGCTTTTTCAGGAGGTCAATCCTAGGTCATGTATCAAGCATGCTTTCAGCTAGAAAAAAAAGAACTCACAAAACATTGTATGCATCAGTATCATAGTGTTTGCATAGGTGGGAAATGATTTCGGTGTTACTGTACCCCTTTGCCATGAAATCCTCAATAATTGGCCTGATGAGATCATCAGGAGCCTGAATAAGCGAAAATCAGCTGGGAATGGACTACTAGCACAGACACACTACTTACAGGCAGGAACTTGACCATTCTTTCCAAGTGCATTCAGCATCTGTGAAAGTAATTCAGCAGGAGAGACAGATGGCTTTGGACCATCCATTTAAACATCATTGCTCAAAATTTGTCTGTGGGTTTGAGGAGGTCCTTGGTTACAGTCTGAGACCTTCTGGTCCTGGATCATCTTCCTTCTGAATCCAATGAACAGTTTTGAAGCTTCTGTCCTCAGATCATTGACTGTTCACTCTGTCCTGTTCAGGTTCCGGCCATCTTAGTTGGTTAGGGGATGGTGAATGGTAAGTAGTGCAGAAAGTCATGTTGTTGTGATGGAAATGCCTGGGCAGCACGACAGTTATTAGTCATGTTAAATTTCACTCAATGTCATTACCACTGATTCCTGACTGCTATTAAGTGCCTCTGCAAACAGCGGCAGAACTAATGTTGTTATCGAGTGGCGGAAGTTGAACGTTGAACTGTGATTAGAATTAGACAAGCAGATGGTATATTCAGCGCTACCCAACACCATATGTGGTGACTGTGACATTTGAGATGTGTTCTTGGTAAATACAACAGTAAATACAACGGACTTTGAAAATATACGCGGCAGCACGGCAAATCGAACCGTCACCAAAGATCCACCATATGACTGAGGCTCAGAACATCATCTACCTCAAGTCACCGCCATCGTTACTTTATTGCCACTGACGACCCTCCCGCTGGTCGATCCCACATGGGTGGTACGGTCCCTCTGCGCAACTCACCTTGGGCGGCGCCACCCTGAGGAGGCTCTAGCGGGACCTTCGTGGATAGTCTTTTCCAAAGACTCTATCACGCACTCTCCTCTACTTGTCTTCGCGTCTGCCTCTTACTACTTCCCTTCCCCGCACGTTCGCGATGCGGAACATTTCCCATGCTAGAAGCCAAAGCGAAACATTGGTGTATTGCTATTCGTTACCGACGCCACCTTGCAGTCTAGTGCCCCTCGGTATAAATCAGAGCAGAGATATAAATTGGAGTTTTAATAAGGTATGGTGGTGGTAGACTTTTACTTTCTTCGCCTCGAAGTCCCTGTGGACTTTGAGTACCGCTATTGACGCGCACACCAGGTACAAGTTCCCATACGGATGTGGTTCAATATAAAGAGTCACTGTACAACGTAAACGCTGACTTGTAGCATGTACATACACCAATTGCCATATAATAAAAAATGCAGTGCAATATGCGACAAGAAAGTTTCGAAACCCAACCAAGAAGTGCGATGTAAATAGTTCAAATCACCTTAAGATGCCACTGACTATATGTCCAACCAGGCATCAGGGCCCATGGCAACAGCGAGCTGCCCGACCAACGTGCCTGCCGCTTTACCCTTCGTCACGAAATCATGGTTCGTGCAAATGATCATGCTTTTCTTGCATCGTGTCAGCATGACGTTCGTCCTACGCGCGTTCGTCAAAAACCCTACGCCCTGGGTACGGACTAGAGAGACGATTATGTGGTCTTCCTCGTTTCCTGCGGTGACCGTCAATGAGATCCTCCCACTATGTCAAGGAACTACTTGCCTTGGAAGGAGTCCACATTGAAGCATGTGTCTTCCCATGGAAGCTTCGCTAATTCAAGCTGCTTTTCTATCATAGACCTCTGAGCATCATACGGGGTGATGATCCTGAACTGCTTGCCCTGCTCGTGGTATATACGGGCAAGCTCGATAATTATGATTATCTCTTGTGGGTTCTAATGCAAACGATGTGAGGCTGGCATATCACGAAGTCAGGAGGAGAAACATACTATCCAGCTATTTCCCGCTTTCTGCTCCTGACCCCCTTGGACATTCAAGAAACGACATGCTGCCTTGCTGTTGATGTCGTGCACGGTCATCAATTTCTGATTGTATACATGACGGGAAATGAAGTTGCCAATGACGAGTGGCATACGGTCTGGGATCCGGGGTTGAAACGACGAAGAGAAGAAGTCGAGATACGAACTTACACTGGGTATTCAAGAAGTGTGCCCGCTTTCTGAGGTGCGGGAACTCAAAAATGCTTTGTAGCTTCCCAACGTCGTCTTGACCGAATGGTGCCACTGATATACAAGTCAGTACAGTGAAACGATGGAATAACTTCCCGGGTCTCACGTTGCTTGTCGTCACCGATGAACACCATTTTTTGGAGGTTATGCTGGAAACGCTGAAGCAGCGGCAGGTAGTCTCCCACTTCTATTTGGCTCGCCTCATCAAATATTACGGTTTGAACCGGAACTTGACGAGTAAATTCTTCGATGCGAGGATTAGACAACATACTCAATGTGCAAAGTATGACTCTTGTGTCAAGCAAAAGCCGACTAACGGCCACAGGCCCACCACCAAACATGTCGGATCGTATAAAACAGTGTTCCAGTCTCTCGTAGAGGTGTTCATGCCTGCAACACGAGAATTCAGTATGACGGAGATAGCGAAGAAGGTGCGACGTACCAGTCATAATGGAAGTCTTTGGATACCAGAAGCTTGAATTCGCGGAAGCCAACCTTGTCAAGCTTTTCTGCGATATTCTTGACAGCGACGTTCGACTGTGCCACAAGCCAAACTGTGCGATCCTTGTGCCCAGTCCTGACGATACTGTCGACACTGGCCGCTATGACTGTTGTTTTGCCAGTACCAGGAGGACCTTGGATAAGCAATACACGATCTCTGTCGGCTTGCGAGATAATTCGCTCCACTGCTTCATACTGCGAATGGTCCAATGTACCGCTCGGATCGTAAACGAATGATGGGCTGGAAGTACCCCCAGTTAGAGGAGGCCATGAGATCTTCAATGAAGGTGCCCAGATACTACAGAAGAATGGGAAATGGGTCAACATGATGGTGCCTTGAAGCGCCTTTAGCACTACAAATTCTCTGTACGATTCGGCGGCTGTCAAGTCTTCTTTCCCAATGGTGGTCACACGGAGGACCTTGCCCGAAGCATGTATAGCGCCTTTGACATCGATTTGAGCCTGTCGTCCGTTGATATGACGTGCGTGACCAGCGATCGTTGACAACCGATCTCCTTTCTGCGTTTCGATGTGAATGACCTGTGAGCGCGAACATTCAGAGTCGATTGTATAATGTCTCATAAATGTACACACCTGATCTCTGTTTTTCATGATGCGCGTTCTGAAGCGAGTGCACTCAAGGTTGACATTACCGGCTTTGGAGATGCTAAAGCCGCCTTGGACGTTGTTGACGAATTTCGTTGGCTTCAAAGACTCCAAAATTTCAGCATCGCGAGAAATCTTGGCGAGGGCGCTCAGATGCTGCACGATGGATTAGAAGGAGGGGTCTATGGCGTGACAAGATTTACATACAACATCGGGCATCGCGTCTGTGGCGATTCGAGATATGCCAGCAAATCTGGACGCCATGTAAGGAAACGCAACAGTGCGGCATGTTGCCCAGGCTTGGAGCGCCACATCATTGGTTGTTGCGTCCCCTTCTCTATGAGAAAAGAGAACTTTTACGTTCTGCTTCTGGAGTAAGAGTTCGCCGCCTAAGGCGTCCATAGTTGCTTCGAGGGAGCGCCGATCGCTAACAGACACCGACAGGATGTCAACTGCGGTATTGATGCGAAGAGATAGGTCTAGGTAGAGACCAAGTACAATCCTGTCTATCCTGTACCCATAAAGTCGGATGTCAGGATCACACAATATTCGGTCTTGTATGAGGGTGCGCCCTGGGGAAACCGGAGGGTGTTGTTCCTGGCCTTTCTTCTTCTGCTGGTGCTGCAGATTCTGTTTCTTTGCAGCAAAGAAGTGGACGACGAGCGCTCTGGTGAGCGTGGCAAATGCTAAAGACGAAAGAGTACAATCAGTGCGATACGTGGCCGCCACCCCAACAGCACCGCCTTGAGCTGAGTCGATAAGACGCTGCAAGGCTAGAGAAGAAACACTGTTCTCGTCAACGTCTTCAACAGTTATGGGCCCATGATGAGCCTTATAAACGTTCTGTTGCAGAGTGAAGGATGTGTGGGTCATGGATGTAAAAGATAGAGAGAGAAAGCGCACAATGTCAACGCTACGAAAGTGAAGATGAATGAACCGTCATCCAAGGTCACAGCTATTTATTGCTGGATGAGCGTCTACTGTCAATGAATTGTAACGGCGTTTTACACCAAGTCAGCAGTGATTAGGGGGACAAGGAACCACGCATAGGCTGTGCTTGAACTTTGAAGAACAATGTACGAAGTGATACTTTTGTGTGTCCAGTATCCCAGACTTCAGATCAACTAGATTTGCTTGACATCCAACGCCATTCAGCGTTATTTTGTATCCAACTTGTAGGTGCAAACAATATTGGGCTGAGTTTCCGCTTGAGCAATTGAAGCCCTGGTGTGACAAGTCAATTCAATTTCGAGAAAACGCGGGTATCGTCCCCGACCCGTGGAAGAGGGCTTTGACGGACATCATCGATTATCGGTCATCACCCAGTCGTGGAGAATACGGCGTGTCTTTTCAGAGTCGACTCAGAATGCCTGCGTTTGTGATTCGTGAATAATTTGTAGTTTGTATCTAGATGAAATCTAGATCACGGTCTCGTGCTAACGAGTCTCTGGAAGAAAGGGGGGGAGGAGATCTTGCATGCGAACTTCAGAAAAGTGCGGAAGTCGCGCCTCCCAGGTGTGTGTTGGGTGCAGACAGACTAAAGTACAGACTGAGGTAGCGTATGCTACGAGGGAAATCAGCACATCAGTTCAAAACCAAAAGTCCAAGGATAACGTTTGAATGGTACGTCGTTGCAGAGGGTGCGAATCAGCAAAGTCATCCTTGCGGTCAAAAGCAGTCAAACCGTAACCAGTAAGCAAATAATTACCGTACAAGGAATATGCGGGTACATCATGCACCCGCCAGTGCTGTGTGACGCGCGACGCTACGTAGCTCACCGTTGAAGACAATGAGAACGTGCAGACAGTGACACAATAGGCCGGGGCTCTACTAAAGGTACCACGTGATCGACTTTTGTAAGTTCTGAGAGGCCACGTGGATGACTCTTGAGAATGAATTAGCAAAAACTCCCTATTGTAGTTCATGGTGACCTCAGCCTCTGATAACACTAGCTCTACACACTCCCCGACTGGTCTGAAGACAGCCAAACATCGAACGCCCTGACCTTTAGCCTGTAAATGGAAGTGGTACGAAATAACACATTATTATTGTGAAACAGGCCTGCTTTTGTATGCATAATAGTATGCTATGGCCTAGTGATGGCATCGTCCCACAAATAGTGCTGCCCAGCCACTATGCCTCGCGGCCCACCACGAGGTTGGATGGCCAAAGCGGATGGGCTTAGGGAATCCGGACGGTCTCGTAAGTATTGGTTCTTACCATCAAAACTGACGTATAACGCTTGCAAGGCAGCTTCATACTCTTCCGAGTCATAGGCTCTCAGAAGGCTAATTAAGCAGCATTTGAACTGCAACCCAACCATCGTTGAGATTCGCAAAATGCAATTGCAGGTGAGTTTCACATCCAGATCCGCTTGTCACGAATGCAGGCCTGACCGAGACCCAGAGCATCATAGACTACCCCAAGCCACCAGCCATCGTTACTTTGTTGCTACTAACGACCCTCCCGCTGGTCGATCCCACATGGGTGGTACGGTCTCTCTGCGCAACTCACCTTGGGAGGCGCCTTCTCCGAGGCAGGACCTTCGTGGACAGTCTGTTCCAAAGACTCTATCACGCACTCTCCTCTACTTGTCTTCGCGTCCGCCTCTTACTTCCATTCCCCGCACGTTCGCGATGCGGAACATTCCCCACGCTAGAAGCGGAAGCGAAATATTGGTGCATTGCTGCTCGCTACCGACGCCACCTTGCACAATCTAGTGCCCGTCGACCGCCGCATGAGACGTCCGAGATACCTCTCGTGACGTATTATACCCCACGTCTTCTGCCTCAATACCGTGATGTACGACATCCCGATGATGGAGGCGGTGAATTTTGCATATCAGCCAAAACGTTTTGCAAGTGGCATAGGATGGTATTTCGGGGACCGGTGAGTCCTTCATCTGACACTGCTGCTCAGAAGAAGTAATGCCTGCTTGGTGTTTGGGATTGAAGCATCACCCAACTCTTGCCCAAGCAGCTATGCGCATGAAGTATCATTCTCACGGAGACCTGAAAGAAATGCAGCGAATTGCGCGACTTCTGCCAGACGAGCAGGTATTACGCCGGCCGTGGTCGCCAAAATATAGCAGACTTTGGAAGAGATGGCTGGACAACAAAGGTCCAGATATAGTTATCGTGTTTGAGTGATGTACTTTTGATGCGACGGCAATTGCTGTAATACTGGTTGTAGTGTACTTTTATTTGTATACTTCACATTTGGGCCTTTCGCATGAGATTTCTCCTCACCCTCCTGCGCTCGCCGCCCAAGCCTTCACTCTTACCCCATTGCAAATATGGCACACGGCCCTTCTCTACACCCGCAACCCCTTCATTCGCGTCCGTAAAATCGAGCATTCCCCAGATAGGCAGCTCCAGCTCACCCTTGACGATCACCCGACAACGCGCAAGGACAGCGGGCGGAACCGGGGTGAGGATATGCATGTGCGATGAACTAGGCGAGATAGCACGAATGAGGGCAAGGCCATGGCAAGTGGAGGTTGAGGGTGCAAGCGGATGTCTAGCCTGGGCATATGGCAATTCCCGGGCGCCACAAGGGTCCAGATACACTGGATCTTCAGTTCCAGGCTCGCATTCAACAAGGCCAACGATCGCGCCGTTTAAGACATTGGAGATCTCCAAGGGAATTACGTCCTCGTATCCTGCACCGATCAAGATGACCTGGTCAAATGCCTGGCTCCAGTCCACCTCGTACGGATACCGGGCACAGAGAGGATGAGAGGTCTCCCATTTGGTTGCTGTCATTTGATGAAGTGGAGCAGATAGAGACGAAATGGCGCGGATGTAAAGGATGGAAAGATAGCATGGAAATAAGACAGGATGTTCAAGTTGCGCTGGTCGACGGCGTTAAAATGCGTATTTGTTAAATTCGGTGAAATTGCTTCAAGGGTATACTGGAACGCCTTGCTCGGCGCAGGCTGGTTGTAAAGAGTATCATAGGCTGGCGGAGCAGTTGGCCAACCTTTCTCTTCTGGACCGATGATCTCGAATACATGAGTAGGCTCGGCAAGTTCCTCGATCTTGGCATTCAGGTCAGCACCGAGACCCTTGGTCCACCCCATTGTATTGATCACTAGGGGAGTGACGTCGGTTACCCGCGTGTCAATCGACTCGTCATCGGGCATGGAAGTTTGAACCTCGAGCTTGTACGTTTCGAGGAGCGCTTCAACGGCCGCAAGATAGTGTGCCGGACTGCACCGCGGTGAAGTTGCTCCAACGTAGTGGGCTCGGTATGGAAGATTAGGATGCGTAAAAGGCGGACCTAAGATGCAAAGATATTTCAAGGGCTCTACTAGGTCGATATAGTGATTACTCACCAAATACCGGGTTGTCGATGACGTTTAGGGCAACCAAGCCTCCAGGTGTAAATTCGGATTGCCCCACGTCGCACTCGAGATACGCAACGCGCTGAAATCTATAAAGCACCGTCAGCAGTATTTATCTATGTTAAATTCCAAACACACCTCGCCAGAAGCCTATTCAAGAGCGTCCGAGCAAACGTGCTCTTTCCAGACTTTTTCGGACCCTTGACAACATACACCGAGAGGGGTATGGGATCTGCTGAAGATGGTGGTGTCTCTGCGGCGCTCAGGGCAAAACTCCATGATTCTGGTAGTATGAACGGCAGCACGTCCCTGGTGCTGTGCGTCACCTGTATGACAGAATAAATGATACTCCGCATACGTTCAAGAACAGCACACGTACCAAGCTCACGCCAGGCCGTATAACCTCTGCCGAGCTCCGCTGCCAACGCGAAGGTTCAAAAACTCCATCGAAGACGCGACATACACGTCCGAGACCTTCCACGCCTGTATCGAGCGATTGAATCGCTACTACAGCTCCGCCGTGATTATGTCTGATGCGAGGAGGAAGGGAATATATGCTCAAATCGGCATGTGCGTCCGACGAGGCGCATCGTAATATGGGAATCGGAGCAGAACGAGGGACGAATACATGATGAGCTATTTTTGAGGCAGACAACGTTACGCCGAGTATGGAAACAGACCCCTTCAAAACAGTAAGAGTGTATATCCCTAGAAGCGCGAGTGTTTCCTCCCGGTCGATGGAAAGCACCGAAGTCTCGTTTTGCAAGCCCAAGGCATTGGCTTCATCGGCAGAGAGCTCGTAAACGTTGAGATCCCTAGTGGGTCTGAACGTGGACAATTGGGAAGACTCGGATCTCGAAGGCTGGAGGTATAACGGTAATTCAACGGAAACAAGTGGATTTTGTGGTTCCTCAGCTTCTGAGTCATCAGATGAGTCCAAGACCAGCTTCGCTTGAACATCTGGCTCTGAATCTGAGCTCGACCCCAACATGATTACATCCTCTCCTCCCTCACCCATGTTCTTCGACTCGAAATACCGAGCGGTAGTTGGCACTCGCCCTGGAAGTATTTTTGCTTTCTTGCTATTCCGTGATGACTTTCCATTGACAGAACTAGATTTGCGTTTCGAGGGAGGATTTGGACGTTTTGGCTCGGAATTGGAATCCGGTGATGGTGTTGAAAACGTTGGCAGTGGTGAGGGCTGCTTAGAGCTGGAAGGCTGAGATGACTCTAGGGCGGCTTGTGCTGCCCTTCGTACTGCGATTGCACTGAGCATTGTAATGCTTTCAACAAAAACTCTGCGCAAACAACCCCATGCCCTAATCCGGCAAAGCGCCAATTCTTGGCGCAGGCTTCAATCTTCTCGAAACTCAGACACTTTCGAAGGGTGCTTGCACGATATGTATATGCCGAGTGTGTGACAGATGGGCGGCTGCGGGTATGGAACGGGTTTACTCATGTAAACCAAGGTTCGACTTTCAACTTATCCTTATCTTGGCGCCTCGCCTCGAGTCCCCGCTCAGCGCGGTGGTAGATATCAATCTCATATTGATCCCTCTCAAATCTAGACGCGGGTCAATTCAAACTTCTATCGCCTTCTGCAAGCGCTCACAATTGGTGGTAAACCTGTTTCGTTGGTGTCTAATCACTGAAGAGCCTTCCCGCATGGCTCTTGTACCAACTTCAATCGAAGGGCGACATGTTTCGAGATAGTGCTGGGAGGTCTGCGTGCCCTAGCCTATGCGATCGGTAGGTTCATGGTTTCATCTCATATCTTATCATGTACCCACGATGAAGTCCAGGTAAGTTCGTGCCTTGAATCTTCAGAATTCTACTATATCATGATATGGAAGTTAGTGCGCTTGTCGTGCGTTCATTTACTATAAATCAGTTTGGATTCAGCGCTCGATTCCTCAGCTCGAACCATTTCCCTTCTCGAACGGTTTCATCCTTAGGCCTTGCCAATGGAGCCAACCCCACGCCGAACCGATCCCAAGTGAGTACTGTTTCATTGCTACGTCACACTGGACCTGAGAATTAACTGCCATCATTCAAGTTCTGAAATCAGCCTTCTCGAGCAGATTCTTGAGGTCCTCCGGAACCCCACAAATGCCAAGGAGACAGCAAAGGATGCGCTTTCTAAATTTTGGGCAGCATACAAAATTGTGTCTGACGAGTACGACAACGACATGTTAGAGAGGTGCAATGAAAATATGCAGATAGTCCTGATCTTCGTACGTGAAACATGTCGTTATTTCAACAGCATCTAACACGAGTAACCGGCAGGCTGGTCTATTTGCCACTGTCAATACCGCCTTCATCATTGCAATGCAGCCAAATCCTATTGACACCACCAACGCTCTGTTGGTACAGCTTGTCCAGAACACATCGGATGGTCGTTCCATTACTCAGCCAACGATCCTTCCACGATCTACGGTTTCTCTTCTTCCAAATTCTGGATGCAGGCGCTTGCATATGCGAGCCTTGGATTTAATCTTCTCGCTGCCTATGGCGCTGTCATGGGAAAGCAATGGCTGGGTCACTATAAGACAAACCGTTTCGGTCATGGGTCTCTCCAAGACCGATGTCAGCAGAGGCACCGCAAGTTTCAGGAACTAAAGACGTGGCGGTTCGAAAATGTGTTGCAGTCATTCCCGGTTCTTCTACAGATCTCCCTGCTTCTATTTGGTCTGTCTCTTGGAGCCATGCTGTGGACGCAACAACGATTCATCTCCATCATTGTTATCGCGATGACTACTTTCGGTGGCCTTTGCCATGCCTTCATCATCACGGTGTCGTTGATATGTCCCGACAGTCCATTTCAGACCCCCGTCTCCTTGGTCATCCACGCTGTCTTTGGTCGTTTTCGTGCACGTGCGTCTCAGCATCAAGATAAAGATCCTGTCAAATCAGCCATGACATGGATCTTGCAGACCTCGGGAAGCCCTGATGTTGTTAGGTCGGTGGTCGAACTGATACCTACGATGTCGGGGTTGCCAGACGTGGATCTCGTGTCATTGTGCACAGATATTCGAGACATGTTCAAAGCATGTTTTGATCAGCATGGCATTCCGATATTACACGACAGCGCACTGGCATATGGGAAAGCGTTGATCTACTTCTCTTCCAATCATGATGGTGTGAGGCGTATACTCCACACAACCACATGGAAGTGGAATCTCTGGGAACGGTGGCGTGCCCTGTATCTACCTCAGACACTGGAGCAATGTAGAATTGCCTACCGCCGAATGGGCAATACCAATGATCCACATTTAAAGTTATCCTTCCAAGCAGACACCCATGTTGCTCTGCGTATGACTGTGGCTGCTGGTTAGACGATTTCGCCCATCCCAATGACAACACGTTGATTTGGAATGGTCGATTCCGATTGAAATCCAATTCGCCGGAATTTGATTGGTTGTTGGACTGCGCAGAGCACTTCCATAAAATTGTTGACATTGACGCAGCTGGGGACGCTCTGCTCTTGTTCAGTTGCATGCAGACAGAACCATCACGCCTTGTTGAGGACCGTATCGCTTCATTTTTGAATGACGATCAGTCACCTAGACTTCGCCATATCGCACTTCGTGCCGCCTGCCAAATAACCACCTGGCGAGAACTCTTCGACAAGTTCACTGATGAACTTCTTTGTCATCCGAGTCATTCCTTCTCTCATGCTGTTCTGAAGGCCATTTGTCCCATGGTCCCAAATGAACGCGACAAAGACGAATTTTATATCACCAATGCAATCAACCTGCTCAACTTCACCGAATGGCCCGAAGATAGTGATCTAGCGATCTCTCCCCTGCCCAAAATCCAGCGTCTTGTATACTTCGTTTTACCTGCGCCCAAGGTTGACGATCTCGCAATGTATACTCATTACTGCCGTGCCCTAATTCGTCACATGGGCAGAGATCAACCTGTTCAGTTCCGCTATTATGCCTCACGTATTGTCTGTAACGCCCGACAAGACCTTGTAAAGTTCATCACTGCTGCCGGAGCTGACGAGTCCTTACGAGACTCCGAGATCTGCCCAGCCCTCATCACCACACTTTTTACTTGCGGCAATGATTTGTTTGCCTTTATTCGCCAAGGTTATTGCGTCCCCTGTTTCCGTCTCGTCTTCACTCTTGCACAGAACCCCGACTGGCACCCTCACCTGATCCGGGATGGCTATATCGAAAAGTGGATTACAAACACATTCACTTCCAGTCATCTCGCTCAATGCCCTAGCACTCGCTCTCTCATTCGTTCTAGCTCTTACTCTCCTACTCGTTCTCATTCTCGCTTCCGCTCTCCTATTTGTATTATCCCTTCCCCTCCCACTCGTTCTCGTTCCAGCTCCCGCTCTCCCATTCGTATTATTCCGTCCCCTCCCACTCGTTCTCGTTCCAGCTCCCGCTCTCCCATTCGTATTATTCCGTCCCCTCCCACTCGTTCTCGTTCCAGCTCCCGCTCTGTCATTCGTACTTTCTATCACTCTCTCACTCGCTCTCGCTCTCGTTCTCGCTCCCACCCTCTCATTCCTACTGTCTATCACTCTCCCACTCGCTCTCGCTCTCGTTCTCGCTCCCGCCCTCTCATTCCTACTGTCTATCACTCTCGTCCTCGTCCTCGCTCCCGCTCTCCTATTCATCCTCGTTCTCGCACTCGCATCCGTTCTCGCTCTCGCATCCGTTCTCGTTCTCGCTCCCGCCCTCCTCTTCACACTATCCCTCGCATTCACGCTCCCTCTCCCCGCGCTCCCTCTCCCCCCCATCGGTATTCTTTCACCAACATTACTAGCAAAGAAGCTCGTTGTCTCTTTTACCTCGCTGGAATTTCCCTCCGTATTGCTCCCCCAGAGCAGGCCGCATCTTTCTTCAGCACCATCACAACTATGCATTGGTGGGACTTGATGAGGGTGCATGGTATATCATCGAGTCTTGCTCTTACAATGAGTTGGACGATGGCATCGAGAGCCTCCCAGCTCTTGTCAGGGGTACAGAATGGCACATGCCATTAGATGCTTCGAAGCTTGAGCTTGAATCGCTCAATAAATTGTTAGCCAAAACTCTTGACGTGTTACGACAACAACAAAGTCCAGATGAGAGTATCATATCTGCAGTAGCGGGTTTGCAGAGTATCGTATACGAGAGATTGGTGGCCTCACTTTCAGATAGTATGGACCTGGGGGTGTTTGGAGAACAAAGTGCAGAAGAGGCTCCAGATCTTCCGTCCCATGGATCTACATGATCACTTAGCCATTGCGTTGCCCAGCTTTTCCTTGTATTGTGTAATTCACTTCCCTCCAGTATGTAATCTTTGCACGATGTGGCATGTAAGATAACCTGCGATTCTTTATGTAGTCTTCAGTCTTCGACTTTTCTCCCCCGACGTTGGTTGTCATGTCCTCTTGAATTCAAACTGCGTTATCAGAGATCTAAATTACATCTTCGCGAGTCTCGAATACCCTGGAGTTCTGCCAAGTTCTGCCACCCCCCTTTCGCACTGAACATCAGCCCTTGGTAGCGAACGTTGAGTGAACGATGGTGTTCAAGTCGGACCTGAGACAACTGGGGATGAAACTTGTTTAGCTCGTTCGGGGTTCGCTGGGCCAACTGCGTTCCTCAGAAACCGTGGAGAAAGTCGATATTAGAGTGGAGGACACGATTTGCAACTCCGCATCGTCGGGCTGGGAGTACGGGAAGGGTCCAGGAGTGTAGGTGTAACGCAAATCGAGTCAATAAACGCCTGTGGAACAACTTATATTGTAAGGACGTTGCAGCCGCATCCCTCATTTCTCAAGTAGGGACAAGTAATTGTTACACATGCATGCGCACAAATCATGGTATGACGTGATTGTACACATGGCCTCAGCGTCTTGACGCCGACTCAACACTATTGCTGGAACCATAGAACAGCTGAGTTAAAAAATATTGAAGTGAGCATCTCAATCTGATAGGAACTTCCCAACACATGCCTTATGGATACACCCTGTGCTCTCAGTGACTTCTTGTATTTGAGTGACCCATCATGAGCCCTGGAGAGCTGGAATTGGTATGAGCTTCGTCTCGCAAATTCCGCCGAGCAGACAATGTTACACCGAGTATGAAAACAGACCCCTTCAAAATAGTAAGAGTGCATGCCCCTAGAAGTGCGAGGGTCTCCTCCCGGTCGATGGAAAGCACCGAAGTCTCGTTTTGCAAGCCCAAGGCACTGGCTTCATCGGCAGAGAGCTCGTAAACGTTGAGATCCCGAGTGGGTCTGAACGTGGACAATTGGGAAGATTCGGATCTCGAAGGCTGGAGGTATAACGGTAATTCAATGGAAACAAGTGGATTTTGTGTTTCCTCAGCTTCCGGGTCGTCAGATGAATCCAAAGCCAGCTTTGCTTGAACATCTGGCTCTGAATCTGAGCTCGACCTCAACATGATTACATCCTCTCCTCCCTCACCCATGTTCTTCGACTCGAAATACCGAGCGGTAGTTGGCACTCGCCCTGGAAGTATTTTTGCTTTCTTGCTATTCCGTGATAACTTTCCATTGACAGAATTAGATTTGCGTTTCGAGGGAGGATTTGGACGTTTTGGCTCGGAATTGGGATCCGGTGATGGCGTTGAAAGCGTTGGCAGCGGTGAGGGCTGCTTAGAGCTGACAACATCAGAGAATTCGTGAGTCTACCCAGGGTGCTTTACGTCGATTGCGGTGGTTTTCCGACGTTATACATGACTTTATATTCCAATACAAAGAAAACCTTTCCCAGTCCTCTGACACCACTGAAAACCTCATATCGTGATATGCGATTATTTAACCTATAAAGCTGAGTCATCATGCTGGGTTTCGAGATAACAATATAAAGCACGACAAGGTTGGATCATTAAAAGCGTCTATGACCAAATGTGCCCTTCCGTTTGAAGGATTATATTCCAAGAAACATCGACGTAATGCGAGTTCCAAATGTTGTCATCGCTATCCAGTGGCACCGCTTCTGTTTTGAGGTAACGAAATATGCCCTTCCGGTCGAAGAATTATATTCCGAGAAATACATTTATCACGCAAGCTCCATGTTTTGTCATCACTATCAAGTGTCCATCGCCTCTTCAGGTAAAAAGTGTTCCCTTCCAGTTACGACATGGCAAACTTGAATTTACGTCCTTTCAAGTACTAGTACTACTGGGCCTTTCACCTTCAAGTTCTCCTCCATGCTGCCAGTGAGCCCAATGCGCAGTTGCCTCGTCATACCTGGATCATGCAGGATGATTCTGTCACACTGAAATTGACAAGTGAACTCTGCGCTAGTCTCAGTGAGCCTGACTCACTGCCTGATGAGCAGCCAATCATGGTGCTTGCATGATTCACTGTACTATGAGCGAGCGTTCAGTGAGTATCATCTGGGAGGCCATGTGTGGTACAAACTAAGTTGAAATTGGGCAGCAGAATTTCTACTAGTGAATTAAAATCTATAGTATTCATCATCCTGGTCCTCGTCTGACTCCAGCGCAGAAGCTGGCTCTTCATCTTCATCAGCACCCATAGTACTGCCATCATCCTTGCTGCTGTCACTGTTAGTACTTTCCCCATCGTCTTGCTTGTCCTCATCTTCATCACCGTTATCTTCCTCATCCTCATCGACTCTTAGTGCATGTTCACCATCCTTGGGTGCTTCACTTGCTGCCTCACCATCATGGTCTAGCTCATCTTCACAACTGAATGATTCATCCTGGTATTCACTCTGATGATGTCTGACTGCTGAGGAATCATATTGAATCTCATGTCCAATGCCCATTCCAATGAATCTTGTGAACATATCTCGATCTGCAAAGCTGCGAAGAAAAGTGAGCATAGGTTTATGGCATGGTAGTGGCAATTTTGCCTTACATATTTACATAAAGGAATGACCAGTCATTGATTTCACCTTGACCTCTTGCAAGAGATGGTCCGCATCTGAGGAGGGCATCTGAATGTCCATCTGAAAAGGCTGGAATGAGGTGGCATCCACGGATAACCAGTGATGGGTCAAGGAAGCCAAAGGCATCAGGAAATCGTGAGTTTACTTAATCCTTACTTATTTCAACCTTTTCCCACTTATTTACAATGGACCTACTTTTTTTCTGAAATTTGACAGCTGCTTCAAAATTGAGTATTCCAATATGTTTGTTGGGCCTGAGAGACATCTTTCATTGCATAAGACTAACAATTAATGACTAGTATGAAGCTTGAGTGACATATTAGTGCTGATGATTTTCTTTCTTAAATGTTCTCTTGAGGTACCATCTTGCAAATTGAGAGTCCAATAATTTTATAGCACACATTTATGATGATTGCTAACAGATTCTGATAGTTCAGTTGGGACCAGGTGGTGATTTAAGAATAATAAGTAGATCCATTTGAAATAAGTGGGAAAAGTTCGAAATAAGTAAGGATTAAGTAAACTCATGATTTCCTGATGGGCATCATTGTCAGTCTCAGGGATGAATCTGACCTTGGGTAGACATGCTTCTTTGAGGCCCCAGTGATAGGTAGGATCCACTCCAAGCCATCGAACCCAAAGCACTTCCAAACTTTGAGATGAATGGTTTTGTGCTTGTGATCTGGTATGCAACACCTGGATGTGAAAGGCCCATAACACCTGCGCATACCAGAAAGGATGTGCATCCTTGTGTTCTTCCCTTGACAATGTCATGACATTGCAGTTGTACCCTGGTCTCATAGAGTCTTGGTCACGTCACATATCATAGGTGGTGTAATTGACCCAAAAACGACACAGTTGTTGGACATGAGATAGATTGTTGATGAAGCATAGGTCATTCCTTTCTGAATCCGAAAATATACACTCATTGCTGTCATACTCAAGTTCTAGTATACAAGACAAGAGGTGATTCTTTAGCTTTGGGATGAAGTCCTGTTATACAATATGTGAGTCAGACAACATAAGCAAAAGATTCACTCTTACTTTGATGGCAGGATCGTGTGAATGGTCACCAAGGAAAGTTGTGAGATTGAGGATGTTGACCCAGGAATCTGAAAGATGGTGGTGGAGTTCTGGAACATTTGCAATAGGATCCTTTATTTCAACATTCTGCTGCTGCTGCCTGAAGTGTGTGTGCTGCCTCTCATGCTTTGCTATTTGTGTTGGTACATCTTGTTTGTTGGTCATCCTATAAAATCTCTTGATGAGGTGGTGCACCACCTCTCCCTGCATCAAAGTGAGCCAGGAACACACATAATTGAACAATGCCCCTACCATCTGTGTAGTATAAGAATTGGTGGTGCTGAACAATCTTATAGAGTGTATGTAGTCTCCAAGGGCATGTAACTTGTAGGTAAAAAGGTTAAATGATTTTGGTCAAGGTCCAGTCCATTCAGCTACTTTGGGTCTCAATTGAGATTCAAAGTCATGTTGTCTCTGGCAATGGGCAGCCATCTTGCTAGGGAGTTCTGTGGTTCGAAAAGCTGAGCAAGTATATGTGTGGAACCTTTGAAGTTGAGTTCCCAGCCTTCAGAGTGACTGGTCCAGTAAATGAAGTGTCTGTTAAGGTCATACTCAAAGGGTAACTAGATCTGAAGGGCTTCAGCCTCAGCTCATGCGCTGTGCCCCTTACCCGAGTATTGCCCCTTATTTCAGGAAGGCAAGACTAGTGTGTCCAGAAGGTTGGATGAGTAGCGTAATGGATCTGGATGACTTCTGGATGAGGGATAAGTATTGTAAGGCTAATCTGGACGAGTCCAGACTAGAAACTAATGGTAATGGACTGTCGGGGACAGAGGCAGATATGGATAGACTATAGGAATCAATCCTAAGTCTCGGAGGGTGACAAGAGTAGAGGTACTCAAGTCCGGAGGACAGGAATGAGTAGAACTAAGATGATATTCAAACTGAGGTACTACAGAAAGTTACAGGAGGTTATATACTATAGGTATCTAATGGAATGATCAATCAGCAGAGTCCAAGGCTATGTACGAAGCATGTGGATAGTCTATTGGTAAGTAGAAACGGATCACAAATCATGAAACGGAAATGAAACATAGGTAGCGGATAAGGGAGCAGGATGGATATACAGATAACTGAAATACTGGAGTTAGGGGGTTACCAAAAGGAGACGAGCGCTGGTTGTGGATTTGGATGAGTTGTGGACCAGACCGGACAAGTGGAACAGATTGGATGACAAGATGTTGGAGGGAGATAAGATGTGGATAGGATCAGAGATAAGATGTGGATCTGAGATGAGATAAGGGTTGGATCTGAGGTCTGGATATGTGGATATGACAGTGTCTCATTGGAGTGGAGACGCATCTTGGCCAGGGTGTGCCATTCAGCCATGTGAAACAAGAGAACCCTAATAATACCATCATGTTCCCCTGGGAAAAGTCCCTCAAAAGTGGGTATGGCACACTGGAACCATAAGCTAATTCAAACACATTGTGCATAAGATGTAAAGCTACCTGAAGCATGTCCTTAAAATGTTGAGTGACTCACTGTCTCATTGATGAAACGCACTTAGGGAACCGTCAAATTGACCCTTTCCCAAAGGGAGGAATTGAGTGAAACCTAGTGTGTGGAGACATCAAAGCTAAGAATTAAATAGTTAAAAAAATGCTGATACCTTTCATTGATAATGTCAATTTTCTGAGGGTCAATTGCATAGAGTAACTGCATCAAGTGCATCATCACCACTTTCAGTACCCCAAGTTCAAACTCATGAAGGAGGTCAACTATGAGGATGGGGAAGAAGTCCAACCCTAGTGGTGAAAGATGGTCTATGAAGCTGTTCTGGGGAATGTCAATTGTACTTGAGTAATACTATGTGAACACAATCAAACTCACGATAGTAGGCACCAAGGAAAATTCCTTCAAGAGGCTCTCCACTGACACTCCCTTGATCGGAACACCATGTGTATATATGGCATTGCGTGCTTTGGACACTTTCTCATTAAAAAAGGTTTGTAGCTGGTTCATCTGTTGTGATACATCACATAAAAATCTCATGTGATCGAACATTGACTTGGGCGTTAAACAGCGGGGGCATGGACAGTTGCCTTTGTCATGTATGGTCGCAAGGAGAACTCTAAAATAATTAATGGCCTACTAGTCACAATATAAAAAATAATGAAGAGAAATCAGACTTACTTCTCAGGGTAATCTGCTGAATAAGTGAATACTTGAGGAAAAACCCATCAATATACTCCATCATGGCACTTGACTACGATGCCATCTTTGTAGGCATGGACAAACTCATTGTCAAGCAGGATGGACCACACTGCATGGAATAATTCCCACTTACAATGGGTAAGTATATCACGGTAATTCTTCCTCTGCAGGAAGGTAGAAATGAAGTGTGTAATGGCATCTGGTAGCTGCATGAGATAGAAATCAAAACACATCTTTTGTTGACCAACGACTGAACAACTTACTATGGGAATAAAAGCTGCTGGGTGGCAAGCACCAGAGTTAGGATCTGAGCAGACATATTTTGATAGATTGCTGAAAAACAGATATATTGGCCATGCTGATGTGCTCCTGAACTGTGTTAAGTGAGTGGAATCAGACCAGAACATGAGGCCTGTGATAACCCTCTCCAGTTTGCAACCATCTTCTCTTCTTTCTTTCTGCAGCTCGTTGTGAGCCTGAATCCAAGCATCAGAAGTATAAAGCTCATCATAAAGTCATTGCTCTTGTCCAGTTACTGGTGATTCCCAAACACACTTGAAAGGTGTTAGGTGGAACTGTTTCGACAACTGTTCTGAAAATGCAGCTTTGGGGATGGATGGCTTAGTGGATATGCCTCCAACTCTGGAATTGCTTCAGCAGTTGCTGGCCTTAGCAGAAGGTTGTGGGTTCAAATCCTACAACAACCACCAGGGAGTTTTAGTGGGTAGTGCTAGTGCTGCTTAGTCCCACATAACCTGCCTAATCCAGCAATGGGTATGTGTAAATGCATTTCTTCCTGGAGAGATAGCAATCTTCTGCCTGAAAAAATGCTATACTGGTCAGATCTGAATATCTGCATTGGTTCAAATCAGGTGCTATAGTGCTGTCTAAGTGGGGCCAGCCAGTGGTGGTTGCCACTAAGACAATATGGCCTCTCAAAAAAAAAGAAAATGCAGCTTTTATAACTGCAACAAGTGGCTGGTAGAGGAGCCCAGAAACAGAGAACATGTGGCCATTCCCTTTGGGATTTTTTTCCTTTGACAGAACCATTATCTTGACATCAGTTTCCTTCCAGCCATCTTGCTGGAAAATGCCTGGAACATCCATGCAATCCTCAGAAGCATCAAAATGCTTCATCTGAGCATCAGGATTGAAGTTTTCAAAATCTTTCAGATCAAAGTCCTCTGCCCTCAACACCTCATTCACCAAATGTTTGGTCTCTGTCATGGACTTCCAATTGCTCCCAGTCACCAACCAAGACATCAAGCACCAGACTAACATACTTTTCCATGGCCATGGTGGCTGCATTGTGAAAAGATTGCTTGAGGAGGCTGTCTCAATGTCCTGTGTACTGCTGTCGTCGATATTGGATTGAGGAGGGTGTATGTTTGATAGATCATCTCCTGACACAGCTGCATCCAGATCATAGGTAGGGTGATGACGATATTCACGAGCAATGCCGAATTTGTTGAAACAGGTGTGAATGGAGTTGAAAACATGAATAATTACATGCTTTGGGATAGAAGTTTGTTGATCCTGAATAGCAGGTGGTGGCAGTTCTGGAAGCTCATCCCTGTATCGTAGTGGTAATTTCTGTGTGTGAATTGGGCATGAATTATGGCTACAGTCTGGGATACTAGAAGGATTCTGTAGAGGAGAACCCAGGCCTGAACCAGATGGACTCTGATTGCCATGGATTGAATTATTAGATGGGGATGGAGTGACTTGGATGGGGTGGGGCTGGTTGAGTATCTGGGGAGTACTATGGTCATGGTTGAGAGTTGATTGATGTGATCTGCTACTTGAGGACAAAGGAATAGCCTATGATGCATCATGTGTGACTGCCGTTGGAGAATGATCTAGTAACACCTACTCAGGTGGTATCATTGGCAAGGAAGGGTGCAGGCTTCACCCTCTTAAATGCCCTGGTTTGCTTTGGGTCTTCATGAGCCAGGCATTTGAAATGCTGGGCTTGTAGATTTATATGATGCTTGTAATGGTCACAAGCCCTATGGTGTCAACCAAGTCCTGCACTGTCAGAGAAGTCACAAGGACATGGTGATCCACATTGTAAGTGATGACAGTCCATGATTAAAAGAGAAAAAGTGAGACAGAGAAGTACACAGAAAGCAGCTCTAATTTTCATCATTCATTTCCAAATCATTGAGCTGAGTAGCTGAGTAACCTAGTAGGAAGTGAAACAGGTCACGGTTATCAGTGATCGGAGACTCACAGCCTGGGCCAGTGCTGTGATGGCCCATGTATGTCATGATCTTGACATTTAGACTAAGAGCGAACTTGGGGTTATGTCTCATTGATGTTGAAAGTAAAAGGGCTATTACAACTATTGTATTAATTAAAGAAAGCCTCATGCACAAGTACAATGTGATGGTACATCAGGTATCTGAAAATGGTGTGCGCTAGAGTACATGATGATCATAAATGCTAATGGCAGGACTGAGCAACAATGACTCGAGTATCAAGGTGAGTTTAGCGGCAGGCATCTACCTGTGGCTACTATATCACAGTAAGCTCAAGCCCCGGCGAAGTGCAGCAGTGTGAGCACATGTGCACGCATGTGTGAACGTGTGTTCTTGGCTGGGCCTGCATCAAATGCTTCCTCTGCTGTGCGCTTGACTCCCCTACTGCCTGCCACCACACTATACCAACTCTTGTAATGATCATGAGCCATTGACATACTTGCAAGGGCAAGCTTAGAAAGCATCCCATCCCATCCAAAGGGGAGAGTGACAGGTGTGGCCAGCAGGGCCGAAACATCGATATTCGGGCTGACCTGTTGGGACAAATGTGTGTACTGTTCCCTCATCTGGGACAGTCCCATCTCCATCATGAGTGTGACATTGTCCATTGATTCATTCAGAAATAATTCCTGTTGTAAGTATGATCAGTCATGAATCGCTAAGTATTGGTGAGACTTACACCACATGTTGTGAGATTTGGGTTCTGCGTGTCTATGTCAATTTGCCCATTGATGTCTTGTACCCAAACCTGAAAATGCACGCTTGACATCGTATGCCAGAGGTGCCCTTCAACCTCAATTTCAGTGGGTGTATTGAGTGATCTTGGGCCAGTGTGGTTGGAAAGGATGGTGGTGAAAGAATGAGCATTCTCCCCATTTTGTAGCTTTTGCCATGCATTGCTCAGGTGTTTGGGTGGGCTGTAGGGGATCTGTTCATTAATCTCAACCATGAAGAGCAGTATGATATCTGGGAATGCCTCAACCCTGTCCCTGAGCCTCTGTAGTAGATCAGCTCTGGACTGTGATACAGCCACCTTGCCCATGACAGGAGTGGTTAGGATGGGGGGGTTGGTGAGGGCAGTGACCACATGGATGATATCAGGGATACATTTCACTGAGTCCCTGTCAATGGTCAAGTTAGTGTGGGTGTCTGAGGACAGAAAATTCCCAACAATGAAATCCTGCAGGAGAAGATCTAGACATTCCAATCCTTTGCTGATAGCCTTGATTACAGCCTCATGTATGGGGGAAGGCATTTCAACAACAAGGGTATGGGTATCACAGTTGTATTCCAACCTAGAAGAATTGTATGTTATAACTTGTAAGAAATTGTCGGACTATGTTTACTTTGGTCTTGCAGGGTAATCTTTGATTTGGCAAGATATATAATCATAGTCTGCTTGAGTGATATTTTGAAATACCTGGCAACATAATGATCAAGTAACTGAATATTGAAGTGCACAGACATACCTCGCAATCTGTCTCACAATTTGATTCTGAGACAAACCTAAGCACCTTGTGTCGTCCAGCAATGGGAGGCTTGGTCAGATTTGGTTTGACCTTGTGGAGGGTGGCATCAAGTTGAGGTGTAGAAGTGTCCTTGGTTGCTGGCTTTCTCCCCCATCTCATTGCTAAGCTGGTTGGAGGCTGCTTGTATGGTTCAATAGCCTTCACTTCATAAGTAGACTTGCCAAGTCTGTTGTTTTTCCTTAGTTTAGGGCTATGGGATTGTGAGGAATGACTCCTGATAGTAAGTGTGCCAGTCATGGACATGATGATTATGATTGAGTTGAAGGCCCATTGTTGGCAGGTAAAGGTGTGATTATCTAATTGACACTCCATTAGTTGCAAACAAAAACTTTGACTCCAATCATGACACATGATGCAGTGCATTGGGCAAGACCCATGGAGTTTGGAGCACTTGAATACCCCAGAACCTAGTGATGACTCATCAGTAAACCAGTGAGACTAAGATATGACTATATATTGCAGTTTCTTTGAGTCAGGAGTTTACATCAAGCTTAGCTTGAACCGTGTGCGTGAGTCATTGATCAGCACTGAGTTGCATTGAGTCACTAAGGTCATTACTAAAGTTCCCTCAAGTTTCCATTTTGGATGATGATTGTTGTAAGTACATGAATAGCATCAAGGGTTAGTTAGGTCACTGGGACACTGCTTCAAATACATGTGCTAGGAGGGTAGTTTGCTCTTGGACTATCATAATGATTTCTTTTCCTAACCTGGTGAGTCTCTCTTTATCCCCATTATTGGCAGTACACTGCTTCTTTGCAGGTGGAAGTTCTGCTTGTGAGGAGTTTGTGATATTATGAGCAAAGTCCCAGTGGCTCTGAGCCTTTTCAGGCTGAGGTTGATTAGTACTATGCGATAAATTGAGACAAGACCTCAGATGAGACTCACTTGCAGCCTGTCAGAATTGCAGTCAAGGTTTGAGTTGCTTGACAAGGCACACTGCAAAATTGCCCATGGAATATTGACAAGAGAATTTTCATGCTGGTAACAAGAATGCTCATGAGTTGTTTCATCATGCAGTGTGATGATCATATTCCTGCTAGGCTTGCAATGGCCATCTTTGATATAAGTGATGGAAAGCTACAAAACCATTGACCGCTTTTCCCGCACTCAACCCGCTCCGGATGCGTATTCCCGCGCTCTGCGGACCTGCACATTCACTCCCGCGCTGCGCGCATAACTGCGGTTGATTTCCCGCACCTTTGGACTACCTTACAGATGTCCCGCATCAGTCCATTGTCCATCCTACCTCATTGGTATGTATTTTGCCTTGCCTTGTGTGTTGTAACAAGTGTTGCAGCCTTATTACATGTCTTTACATATTCCTACTGCCTGTCTGTCCTGTCCCTTCCGTTTCCGAGAGGGCTTAGCTAGTATAAAGTGCCTAGGGTGACTACTTCGCATTTACTTCCCTTCTACAGTATTTCCTTCCCTTAGGTTTTACTTAGGAGCAGTCACCATTAGTGCGCGCTTTTAGCCCCTATTGGTTACCTTATACCTGGACACCTTGTCTTGACTTTCCTTACCCATGCAATCAATACCCTTGCCCTCACTTTTTACCCACGCCATTCCTTAAGACTTCCCTACCCCTTACCTTAGCATCTTGCACTCCCGCATCAACCACTCATCAACTGCTCATCAACTGCTCATCAACCGCACTTCCGCATTCCCACGTTCTATATACCCACGCACTTGTTCCCGCACTCTGCGCACTTTCGGGTCTTTAGTATCATCGGCCATTCTCAGTAGCAATTCCCTTTAGGGTTGAACGTTCTTGCTTGCAAGTGTAGCAGCTAGGCAGAGCATCGACCTACAACAATATTTTTGGTTAGGCACTTTAACAAGTGTCCAGCCATTGTTGTGTTTGCACAGTGGTGTTAGGAAATATTACCTCCTGCTCAGCATCTCCTCTCATGTTGTGTGTTGGTGATTGTGACCATTGGGAATCCAATGTCTCCTGAGTATCAACACCTAGTTTCACTCTTGCTCAATAGTAGGCTTGGCTGTATATGTAGTTTCCTTGTGAATCAGCTGGTGCTCCTTGACTGTTTGCAGGCCATCTTTCAGAATATGGCAAGTCTCTGACTCTGAGGATTTGTGAAGCACCATCATTGTGACTAGAGCCTTGAGAGCTATGTTCAGAGCTTTTATCAGGATTGTCATGACTAGAGCCTCAAGAGCCATGTTCAAAGCTTTTATCAGGATCACAAGGCATTGTGAATGTCGTGTTTGACGGTTGATTGCTACTTCATCCTCTGAGTCAGGTTAGTAGTACCTCTTACCACCCTAATGATATCATTTGTGGAGCGTCAATTACATTTCCAAGTACATGATTCACAGTGACCTGACTAGTGCAAGTTTTGTGTATGCTGTATTAGGAAGAGTAGAGGGATGCAAATATAAGTGAACAAAGCATGCTAATAGGAGAATATGAGACACGCACAGATCAGGGGCACTTGAGCAATTGGAATGCAGGTGGAGTGTGAATGTGAATTGGTTCTGTGGGATCAAATGTTCTGTCCTTACATATTAGATGACAGAATATTTTCTGAATGTAGTAAGCTGTATGTCAACCATACTTGGATTGAATGGAGTGACTCCAAGGCCAATGGGCCCTGGCAGATCAGCCTGAGGATTGTGTCAGCCAGCAGCGCCTTTCTAACTTGAAACTCCAAAACTACGACTCAACATCAATCTTGAACACTGCACTGATAATATGATCCATTTGCCACACAAGATTGAAAGGACAGTCTTTCAACTTGCAGCAGGCATCCATCCTGCAAACAATGTGCACTCATATTTATTGGTTGCCCCCAGAGTTCATGACTGGTAGGCAAAAGTCCTGAGATATGCTGGATTCAGTTGTGACTTACAAGACGGTAATAGGATTGAAGAATTGATGTATTGGACCGTTGTCCTTGCCAGTGAGGCATGAGCATGCCTTTTTGTTGGTTCACTTCATTCTTGACCAGTGTTTGCTTCTGTGAATGTTAAGTCTCTCTGTATTGGTGGTACAGTGCAACTCACCACAGTGGTAGAGGTCATACAACTGTGCAGTGGTATTGTCGACCTCACCCTCTGGATTCTGCCAGAGGGGGATCATGATGTGCCAGGTTGCCTATTGGATGCATTAAACAAGCTACCTTTGTCACAGCTGTCTATCCACTTATCAACTGTCTTCCGTAGAACTGACATGCCATTCCTACCATCCATCTCTCTATTCAGCAAAGTCACCCACCTTGACTTGTTGGAAGGTTGAGTACTTTGGGGCTCCCCAATCAGCATACATTGCCTAACACAACTTATGCATATTTCCCTTCAATTTTTTACTGATTGGACAGCACCAGCCTTGCTACAAATGATCCTTGCATATTGCATTCACCTAAAAATATTGGTTTTGCATGTAAGAGAGGAAGTTGGCAGGGTAGAGAAATGGTTGCAGGAGCATGACAGTCTTGATGATCATCGTATTGTTGTGACAGCCAAGAGCTCTCATGATACCTGGGATTGCAGAACAAGTGATGGGATGAGTCTGTGGCAGTATGGAGATTATATTGCAAAGTGTCGAGACGCAATACATGAATGTACAAATTAGGTGCTGAGAATATCAGCAATGATGGTATGGCTGTATGTTTGTATTTGTTTTGTCAGCAAGTTGATGGCTAATAGCCACACAAAGTCCTGACTCCATTTCTGCCAAATTTACTCTCTTCTAATGTTGACACTTCTGCTGTGTTACTTGTGTTATAGTACATCGCTTGCTTACCAGTATGCTGTAGTGGGGTCCCTTTTAGGTTGGTGCAGGTAAAAGAATGGAGGTTTAGAGCTGAACTCCTTAATACCACTGACAGAATTGATGGGACAACATCATAGGCCAATGCCACATTCAGACTCATTGTCCTTGGATGTATGCTGGCAAACAAGTGGCTGGATGGCCATACCTTCTCCAATAAGATATGGTAAGTGTCAGTCCTCCACAGTCTGCATTTAGTCTTGACGATTCATTCCTTCCCCTTAAGCACACCATCTACAAACTTCCTGTCTACTCGCTAAACAATCTTGAATCCCTTGCTCTGACATCCTATGACCTTACAATTCCACCTGCTGCTTGGCATTAGTGACTGGGGCACATCTTCCTGTATTATCTACCACAGTTGCCCCCTTCATACACCCAACCAATTTCTCATTCCTCTTCAAATCTGGAAGCACCTCTCTCACACTCCAGTTCAGAAAGCATCTTTCTTAACTTTGAGCAGAGCAAGGAAAAGCTCACTGGGACAGCAATGTCTGCCAAAATGTCCCATGAAGCTCATGTCATTGATCTCGATGAGGATGGGTTGCTTCAGCAAGAGTTTTTACCGAGGCATAGCATGAACAATGGGAATACCACCAGCTGATGCATGCAGACTTGACTTTGAGGGTTGAGGGTGAGTGGAGGGAGCTTCATGAGTCCATGACCAGCCAAAGTGGAATCATGCTCCCTCCAAATAGAGTCTAGCAGATGATGAGCTCATCTGTCATGTGGGTGATCATCCAGTCATCTTGGATCCATGCTTGAAGATGTGTTTCTGGACCAGATGCTCTCATGCATCTTAGATTTTGATTTCCTGAATTGCAACACTACTGCAATTGACCACCACCAACACACCATGTCATAATTTATATCCATTATTTCATGATTTTCACTATGTAGTCTTGGGCATAATACATTTCATTTGGGAATGCACTAATCTACTCATTCTGTACTAGCATCTGCCACCTGCAGCACCATCAGTTTCATCAGTATACAGTGTGTTATGCTCTGATCTGTGTGATTGTGGAGTGGTTAGTGTTTGTCAAGGTTCCTGCATGAACTTTTTTTTTACCTTCTGCACTGAGTCTTGCATTGAAAGAGTCTATGTGGGCTCTGGCTGCAGCGCATTTATTGTGTTGATGACATGGACATAGAAATCCATGATCATCAGAGGGCACAGGTTGTAAAATATATGAAGGCTTTCTGGAGAGACAATGCACATATCATCTAGAGTCTTCACTCCCATCAGTTTCAAAGGGGTGAGGAATAACTCTGGCCATTGCTGCACTGGCTCATCATTGTTGAGCTGCTCCATAAAGGTTTCCAAAGTGGGATATGGAATTGATGGGTCAGTTTCAATCTCCACATCAATCAGTATGCTTGAAGTGATAGTAGTTACTGACATGGGGTTGTGATTATAGAGGAACAATGACTTGGACTCAGACTTTAATGTGCCGCTGTTGTTAAGAACCATGTTGCTCAAAGGAGAGAGAGACTGACTCAGAGGGGCTTGGCCTCAGCTCGTACGCTGTGCCCCTTACCTAAGTATGTGCCCTTCATTTTGTATGAGGTCCAATGATGGTCCAACAAAGTCCGGAGGACTCAGGCTGGCTACTCTGCTGGAGAGCACTAGAGGACTTCCAGAGGAGCGTGGGAAACGTCCAGAGGAGTGCAGGAGAGTTCTGGAGGAACACAGGAAGTGCTCAAGAGAGTTCCCACTGCAAGGTAATACTTCTACAGGAAACAGGATGGAGGGATAGGAGGTCTGAAGGTCTGGAGGACTGGAGGACAGGAGGACAGGAGGACAGGATGTCCAAGGGTTAGGAGGACGGAACGTCCGAAGGAACAGGATGCCTGGAGGTATGAGGGACAGGAGGTCCAGAGGTCCAGAAGGAATAGGGGCTACATCGGACGAAGTCCAATGTAGAAACAAACAGAGGTAGACTACCCTAAGGTAGAGTTGGAGAGACAGGGATTGGACCTAAGTCCGGAAAGAGGGAAAGTGCCGGAAAGGTGGAGCTCTGGCCTAGGGAATCAATCCCTAGGCCTGATGGGTAGGACAGACTTAGGTGGACCAAAGTCCGAGAGAGGATTGGGCAAGTCTAAGTTGATATTCAAACTGAGGAACTACAGGAGTATCTACAGGAGTTATATACTGAACAATATCTGAGGGGATCAGTAAGCAAAGGAGCAAGGCTATGTATGAGCATGTGGAAACACATTAGTAAGTAAGTTGGAACATAAGTAAATGAACTTGGAGATGAGGACTTGTACAAGGATCAATAAGCAAGACGGAACAAGAGGTAACTGAAAGCCAGAAGGCAGAGAATGCCTAAATGGGGATAGGTGCAGGATATCAGACAGAGGGTGGGAATAGGTCCGGAGTTAATATCCAGAGGTCCGGAGATCTGGGGATCTGGAAGACAAGGTGGATACAGGACCAGAATACGAGAAGGTGGATATAGTCTGGAATCCGAGGTGAGGTGAAGTCTGGATGTCTTGCTGGATGGAGTGTGCATAGGGTGGACAGGATAGGGTTGTACGGATCAGGCTAGCAGTGAGGATCCGGAGGTCCGGAGCTCAGGGGTAAATCAGGAGCGTAGTCGATCCTGCTGAGGTATGGAGCACAGTGGAAGGGGATCTGGGAATGAGCTGGATATGAAGTGGGGTCCGGATGTAGGCTTGGAAGGCTTGGGAATATGATGGAATGTGGGTCCAGATTGTGGGATATGACAGCTGTACTCATCATGACATCTTTTATGACAGAGTTTAGGGTACTACAAGTGGTGCTACAAGCTCCAATCTGAGGGCACAACATGACATGAGTTGAGCTTAGTAAGCTTAAGGCCAATCTTCACTAGTCACTGCTACTAGTAGTAGGGTTGCCTGGGCGCTGCCAACAAACACCTTTGGGAAGCTCTGAGGATTTCCCAAATTCCTGGAAACTATAGTCACAATGATCTGTTCAATCTGAGCTCCCTACACTACTTCGAATTCTGTCACTGCATCCTATGGTACTATTTGAAGAAAATTTGAAGGTTGCTCAGAGCGATGAAGCATATGCTGTCACACTCATGTACAGAATCATCTATTGATCATAATGCTGGTCATAATTTCTGCTCATTAACCTGTGTGTCTTAGTCACCCTACTGGTTTAGTGACACTAATATCACTATATCCTTTAGCATCATCCCATACACTTCCTGTTCATTCTTCTCCACCAAAGATAGCTTCCTCGTGTCCTCCACCAGTATCGCTCACAGACAATGAGATGGAAGACTCCGAGGTATGCTACAAGAGCCATTATTTTTGGCACCTTACTGATGATATTTTACACATACCTTTCATCCTTGTGAAGATCCGTGAGCAACTTGAAGTGAAGAAGTTTCCATGTCCAGTATGTAGACGATCAAGTTATGCTTGCATCAGTTGTATCTAACTGAATGCATCATTGGACGTAATAGATTGTATACAGGCATCAACTCTCAACTATAAAAGGTTGTCATTAAGTGTTTGTTCCTGGAGATGGAAAACATCTGGCATTGACCTTGCCTTAAGTTGATATCGCCACATTTACATTCACAAGTTTTGGCGAAGCTACAATGTCCATTATCAAGATGATCGTTCCATTGATTCCATTCTGATACTCCAAAGTATTTTACATCATTTAGTCGACAGTGACTCCAACCAGTGATAATACTCACTCTTAAATCGGTCTTTGAAAAGCTCATCATGGTTTGGTGGGTGGTACATGAGTATCCTTCATTCCATCCTCTACCATGTCTCAGTCTCCTGACCATGATGATCCACAGAATGAAAACCATAGTGCACTAAAATGGCACATTGCTACTTTAGAAGAGCAAAATGCTGAGCTCTGGGGAGAGCACAGCAATAAAAGGTGAGGTACTACCACAGTTGATTGTTATATGTATCTGATGCCACTTATGTCCTGCAGCCGTGGTGATCCATATCTTCTTGCTGGGCAAGCTATTCAGTGGCTCATGAGCTTGAATTACAGAGTTGAGGACCTCATTGGAGAATATGACTGAAGGACCACCTCATGTGATGAAGATGACAGTGTATAAGTTCAACACATGGAGGAGTATGTATGATTTTACTTCAGTTGGACAGTTTGATCTGACTTGCAAAATTCAAGGGAGGAACATATCTATAATTCATTTAAGCAGTTACTGCGCTGGGTCCCATGTGTCTAGGATTTCATCTACTCCCAAAGTGACAGATATCAACTCAATACTGCCTATCAGAAGGTAAGTCACACATTGTGCAAATAGATCATGTTGATGATGAACTTGGTTCAGCTCAATAGAGGCACAGATTTGGCCCAGGGTGACGACACTGCTTTCTTGAAGCTAGCAGTTGCTTCATGGCTGAACAAGGGACAGCCTACCCCCAACCCACTGATCTCTTCATGGGACAAGTCTGGCCATGGATTTTATAGCGATTTGACTGCAGAACTTCTCTGTCCTGTAGACTTTAACTGGGCAGATAAGAGGTACCACCTTTGCTATGTAATCGGCTTATATCCCAGTACTGATTATGACCATAGTACACAGGAAGGGATACGAAACTACAAGCATGACTTCCAAGTTACTGCACACTCTTGGCCAACATTCATGTACAAGGATGGTAGGTATGATCATGAGGACTCGATGAAAGGGCTTTTCAAAGGTGCTTTGCTTGTCAGGGTAGGTTGTAGTACTTCCCTGACCTTCAGAGGATACTGGCACTCAAAATATTAAATCCCAGATGTTCAAACACATCTTTACATCCCCTAGCTCTGCCAGCAAGATGTGACCTGATGAAGAAGGATTCCACCAGGAACCTTTATACAAGTGGTCAAGGACCACAGGAGAACAACGCACCAGGTCTGATATTGTGGCATTATTAGGAATGTGGTCAGTTCATGCATGAGCTATTGCATATTCAGCAGTCCAGGTACATTGTATTCTTTCCCTTTGACAATGACTAAAGCTACTTCACTAGTTGCATTTGCCTTGTCGAGCTGTGGGTCCTGGTGAACTGTCAATGATGAGTTTGACCACCACCAATTTTACATCTATATGATCAACTATTTTGAACATCTGCCAACATCTGCAGCCAAAGCCTCCATTGAAAATCTTCTCATTTGGTGGAACTGGTGAGCATGTTTCCAGCACTGTAGCTTTCTGCTGTTCACTCATTTCATACACAACATAGACAGATCTTTGGCCCTCACAATGTGTCCTCTTACTCACCTCAGATTGCAGTGCAGTATTCAGTTGCCAACACTTCTGCCAAATGCTAAGGCACTGATGAGTAGATGACTACATAACAACAATGTACCACTTATTTATATCTATGCTACAAGTATGCAATAATAACAAATTGATTTCCAACTCAAGATTTGAAGTGTGGTCATGTTGAACATTATTTCCAACCACCATCTATATGTTTGCAATGTATATGGTCATATAGGTCCAACCAGATCAAGAAAAAATGGCATAGAGATGACCTGGTTAGCAAATGGTAAGGAGCCACTCACAACTTGTGCATTGCTAGCTCAGTGTTGGATATCCTCTAAGTAGACCTAATGGTTCAACACAGCAAGGCCAAACAACTGAGACTTTGCTTAACCACTGATATTACCAAGGAGGGCCCCAGGAAAATTTTGCTTTTCATTACTGTCTAGGAATTAGATGTGATCAATGCCCAAGATTGATATGGTGCAAGTCATGCATCAGAATGGGATATGTGTGAGAGATGATCCACAGTAAATTTAGTTTCAAACAAGCATTGAGTGGAGCAAAGTATGACTAGCAGGCCACAATTACTATAGCTTCAGTCTTTTGCCAAAATGTGACAAGTGGGCCACAGCATTTAGGATTATAATGCTGTATCTATCATCAATAATTCTGCCTGAACAGGTCACACTATTCCCAGCTGCCAACAAATGACATTCACTGCTTGAACAAATATCATGTGATGCAGAAATTACATATTTGCAGCAGGATGCTACCCACTAGCGAGGTACATCTTATGGATGTCATACCATATAGAAGTCATATAGAAGTCACCTATGGTCAAGTTGTAGCTTTTTTGGTTGGCAGCTGAAACAATATCATCCAGAAGTAGCATTGCTAGTTTCAATACAAATGGTAAGGAAGCTGAATCACCCACATCACTGCTAATCATTGGCCACAGAGTTTACCCTTATAATGCTCTTTATGAGGTTACAGACTGACATATAATAATTTCACTAATTATAGGAATTAGACCTTTTACAAGGTGAGTATAAGGGTTGATAGCAAAACTTGCATTTCAGTGGTGGATGAAAAACTCTGCACAAACAACCCCATGCTCTAATCTGGCAAAGTGCCAATTCTGGCATAGGCATCAATCATTATCCCTGCTACACATATGGTTACTTCTCAGGGGTTCTGTGAGACCTTTGGGGTGGGTTGTGTCTTATAAGTTACCAATTGGGCTATCCAGGTGACAATTAATTGAGGACTGTACCAAGAGTTCACTCTACAGCATGCACAGCAACCTGGACCTTGTGGCCAAGTCCTGCAACCAGCCCATAAGCCTGAGTGCCCAGCACTTGTCCTTGAACTGTATCACCCACCACCATCCAGCAAGCTTTCCATAGATTGAAACATCCATTCATCTAATCTCATCTCCTTTGGGATCCTCGACAGCTTACTTTGACTCCAACAAATCCATGCTTTGATTCAAATCTTTGTATATCATCCCTCGAGATAAATATTGCTCAGATATTTCTAACTACACCCAGCTAGTACTCTCATCACACATATCACAACCTTTGTGAATGGGTGAGGAACAATGTCAGTTTTTTCACTCTTGTCCCTATCTCACTTTCTGACCTTTTTGACAGTTCTTCTATTGGCTGAAGGAACTTGGGCAAGGCTGTCCCAAGTTGCTGTCAAGGGTGCTCAATATAACTCCCGTGAATGCCAGCCCCACCTGAAATGTTTGGAAGGGACTCGGGTGGATCTCTTCAAATACATCCACCGATTACTGGACAAAGAAGTGAAGAATCAACTTATATGGCTGCATGGCATGGCAGGCATTGGGAAATCTGCTGTTGTGTTCACCATAGCTGAGAGGATGAAAGGTCTCAAGGTGACAGAGGAAACAAATATCAAAAAGTGACTAGCAGGAACATTCTCTTTCTTGTGCAAGCACACCAAATGTTGCATGGCTGGATATTTCTTTGTGATGCTTGTCTACCAGCTTGCCATCAATTTTCCAAGCATCCAGCAGGATGTGAACAGAGCCATCCACAACAATTCCACTCTACTAGACCCAGACACACCTCTTTGCAACCAGATGGAGGCTCTCTTTCTCCAACCTCTCCAGAAACTCCGACTCAGATTGTGCAGATGTCCACCTTTGATGTTTGTTATTGATGCCCTTGATGAATGCATATCCAAACCTGAGCTTACTGACCTTATCCTTTCCCTTGCACGCGCTCTTGTGAGCCTGATCTCCCATGACACACATCCTACTTATAAGTCACTCAGAATCACATATCTGTAAAGCATTTCAGAACAAGGAGGTGCGGCCATTGTTGTGTGAAATACCCATGAAAACTTCCAGGGAGGGCATTGCCACCATCATCTCACTCAATGGCACCAATGTTGACACAGATATCTATGTTTTCTTGCAGCATTCCTTTACAGAGCTGGTAAGTCACCATCCTGATTTCCCTCAGCCAACAGGGGATGAACTAGCACAGCTGGCAAGCCATGCTGGCAGATGTTTCATTGTGGTGTCTACAATGGTGAAGTTTATTATCAACAATGAAGACAAAGATCCCTGCAACCAGTTACAGCTGATGCTCAAGCTGACAAGCAAACTGCTAGCAGGAATGGAGGTATACAAATTATATGACCATATCCTGTCCACATGTGCTGACTCCAAGCAGGCATACCTGCACTTGTCCATTGTTGCTGCACTCACAGACCCTCTTCCCATATCACAAATCTCATCACTTCTTGGCCCTGGTTTGGGCAGGGATGTGCAGACAACACTGATACAGCTACGGTCTGTCATGGATATCCCCACAGGCAGTATTCTCCCCATGAACATCCATCACTCATCCATTCATGACTATGTCTCTGACCCCTCAAACTGCGGCCTCCCTCAAGTATGCAACATCACATCACCCCAAACCCTACTCACATATTTGTCTCTCCACTTGATGATGGACATTATGGAAAGCACTGCTCTGTTGGATGCACTCTCAGAACTGAAGAGACAGAGCCAAGCTATGCAATCTGAGGACCCCTGTCAATTAAAAGTCTCGTTATCCTTCCTTGTTCAGTCACCAGAGCCATTGTCAGTTCTCACCTATATGCTATGGCTTAGGGGAGATCGTACTTCAGATTTACAATATTGGCTAGGGACTGTGGATGGGTGTGCCTGGCTTCAAACCAAGAATGGGTGAGACTGGTTGCAAACACAGGGAGCACAAGACTGGCTGCAGACACAGGGAGCACGAGATTGGCTGCAGACACAGGGAGCCCAAGACTGGCTGCAGACACAGGTAGGACGAAATTGGTTACAGACCCAGGGAGCATGAGACTGGCTGCAGGCCCACAGAGCACATGACTGGCTGCAGACCCAAGCAGGATGAGACTGGCTGCAGACCCAGGGAGCACAAGACTGGCTGCAGACACAGGAAGGAGGAGACTGGCTGCAGACCCAGGCAGGACGAGTGTCATATGCCATTCCAGACTCTCAACTCTAAATCCACTTCTCTGGATGTCCGGATCCAAGATCCGGATCTCAAATGATCTGATCTATCTTTATCTCCCTTCCGGAGTCCAAACCCTATATCAGCGCCCAACTCCATTTAGACTGCCCCTGTCTCCGGACTCTGGTTAACCATGTTTCCCTTTTGATTATTGATCTGTTACATACATTTCATTTCCGGTGTTCATTATTTGTGATCTGTCCTACTTACTAATAGACTTTGCATATGCTTCGTACATAGCCTTTATGTTTGCTGACTGATTCCTATATGATACCTACAGTATATAAACCTCCTGTAACTCTCAGAAATACTCCAGTTCAAATATCATCTTAGTTCCTGCTCATTCCTGTGTCCTCCGGACTTGAGATAAGTCTCTTGTCATATTCTGAGTCTTAGGATTGCATCCTAGACTATATTTCCGACTCTACCTTAAGGGTAGTCCATCCTCTGTTAGTTTCTAGTCCAGACTTCATCCAGATTAGTCTTGTCCGCTTGCCCAGGTAACATCCGGACATCCATCGGATTTATCTCACGTTTCAGATCCAGACGTCCATTATCCGCCCCAGTCAAATCCCGGAAACTCCGGATGACTGTTCTAGCCCCCGGAAATTAAGGGCACATACTCGGGAAAGGGGCACAGTGTACGAGCTGAGGCCAAGCCCTTGTGATCCGACCCCCTTGAGCATGCAACCTTAACAGATGTAGAGCAATGGATGCATGATATTGTCCATGCTCAAGGCTGGTGTTGAAGGGCAGCAAAATAATCAGCAGTGGGACCAACAAATTTCAGATTGCATCAGGCACTGTTCTAAATTCACTTGTCCATTGCTATTGACTGTCAGACAACTGGATCCTTCTCCAGCAGTCCAGCAATATGGTGTACTTATCATATATTGTGAGGTTGTAACAAGGTGAGCAAATCATATTTGCATTCCAGAAAGTTTACAATAAGTGTGCAGGGGCTGTTCTGCTGGTATAAAGCTATAACCTAGTACTGTAGAATGCAACAAAAAGTGAACATGAAGATACTTCACTACACAATCACAAACTAAGTACATCATGACGCTGGCAGATGGTTATGGATAACATATTCAAGAACAAGCGGTGAACCAAATGCTGTCTGGCAGCCCACTGGCATTCCTGCAAGTCTTGTGTTGCAAACATTGTTTGCTTCATTTCCAACATTTTGATGAGCCATCTGATTTGAGTGCAATATTGCTATTGATCTGAGACTCATCTGAAGTTCGCTTTCTGGATGTACTAGCATGGAATACAGTGGTGTCGGGCCTTGGAGAGGGGATGGGTAGCCAAAGCTTCTGTTGTTGAGTGCCAGGAATCATGACCAATGGCTGGCAACTCTCTACTAGGTTGTGTGCTGAAGGTTCAAACTGAGGACAAGATTAAAAGAGGTTTCATAAAATAGAAAAACAAAACACAAAAATGAACCTGAAGGCAATATCAGCTCATTGGGTGGTTGAATTGAGAATTATGAGAAAAATGCACACCTTAACAAGCTTCTGCTCTTCAAATAACATATCAAGACAAGACCGCAGACCCTTCAAACACCACTGTTGTTCAAGCCAGGAAAGGAGGTGACAATTCTAGAAGACTTGGAATACACAGTTAAGTGTGTCATCCCATGGTTTTGGGGCATGCGACAGATGAACAACCCAGTTTTGACATGCATACTTGAGAGCATTGGAAGCTGATTGACTTTGTTCCTGTGCCTCATGTGCAAAAGCTGTAAATGCATTCATAACATGGGTGACACCCCTGTCAGGAACTACTGGCAATGTAGATGTGAAATGATCCTGGGGCATCAATGCCAAGAACATTGGAAACATCAAGAAATCTGGCAAGCTTTTGAATTGTTGGACTACTTGGAAAAGTGGCAATACAGGTGATTCTGGGACAATGCTATACTCATTGACTGCTTCCAACGTACTTGAGAATTCTTCCATAGTCACCCAAATAGATGCCACAGGAGTGGATTGCCATGCTTGACCATGGGGTGTCTGCAGCCAGTCCAACCCACCCTGAGTCTGAAGCCAGTCCTGCCCACCCAGAGTCTGGAGCCAGTCTCGCACACCCAAAGTCTGGAGCCAGTCTTGCCCACACAGAGTCTGAAGCCAGTCTTTCACTCCCTGCATTTGGAACCAATCGCAACCTTGCTCTACTGGTGTTTGCAGCAGGTCTCACCAGCTCGGGTGCATCCACATCACACTTACTGGAGCCTGCACCCAGTCTTGCCATGCCTGAATCTGCAGCCAGTCACTCACTTCTTGGGTCTGCACCCAGTCTGGGTCTGCCTGAGTCTGCAGCCAGTCACTCACTTCCTGGTTCTGCAGCCAGCCTCATTGTTAAGGTTGCATGCTCAAGGGGGTCGGATCACAAGGGCTTGGCCTCAGCTCGTACACTGTGCCCCTTTCCCGAGTATGTGCCCTTAATTTCCGGGGGCTAGAACAGTCATCCGGAGTTTCCGGGATTTGACTGGGGCGGATAATGGACGTCTGGATCTGAAACGTGAGATAAATCCGATGGATGTCCGGATGTTACCTGGGCAAGCGGACAAGACTAATCTGGATGAAGTCTGGACTAGAAACTAACAGAGGATGGACTACCCTTAAGGTAGAGTCGGAAATATAGTCTAGGATGCAATCCTAAGACTCAGAATATGACAAGAGACTTATCTCAAGTCCGGAGGACACAGGAATGAGCAGGAACTAAGATGATATTTGAACTGGAGTATTTCTGAGAGTTACAGGAGGTTTATATACTGTAGGTATCATATAGGAATCAGTCAGCAAACATAAAGGCTATGTACGAAGCATATGCAAAGTCTATTAGTAAGTAGGACAGATCACAAATAATGAACACCGGAAATGAAATGTATGTAACAGATCAATAATCAAAAGGGAAACATGGTTAACCAGAGTCCGGAGACAGGGGCAGTCTAAATGGAGTTGGGCGCTGATATAGGGTTTGGACTCCGGAAGGGAGATAAAGATAGATCAGATCATTTGAGATCCGGATCTTGGATCCGGACATCCAGAGAAGTGGATTTAGAGTTGAGAGTCCAGAATGGCATATGACAACATCCCTGACATCATGCTGCATTGTAGATTTAGCAGGACACTGGGTCAGAAATGGTATTGATTGCTGAGAGGTACCCCTTCTTCACTCTTATGGACACCAGCATGGCCATAAGGGCTCAGTGAATGATATGGAATACTTCACCTTCAACTCTAATAAGATATCAGAAGTAAGGTAAAGAGCAAGAGTGATGAGAGCAATATTGAGCATCGTAATTGCATTCCTCACTGTTTTATTACAGCTGGACACCAGCCCTTTGTACTTCATGAGCAAATAGTAGAGCAGGACTAACCAAAGTAATTCCATGTGATTGACTAGTATGATCCCAGAGATTTGAGCGGTATGGCATGGCGGTTAACCATGAAGCAGAAAGCCAAGTACCCAGTGGAGAGGAAGAACAGAATAAGTGCCTTCAAGATAGACTTGACTCGGCATCAAATGGGATAATTTTGTGTGAGCAAATGATGGTGTTCAAGTTGGAACTGAGACAACTGGGGATGCAGTTCATGAAACTTGTCTAGCTTGTTTTAAAGTTTTTCAGGGGCCAACTGTGTTTCTCAGAAACCATGGAGAAAGTGAGTCAACATTGGTGGGGAGGACATGACTTAAAACTCTACATTGTTGGGTTGGGAGCATGGGAAGGGTTAGGAGTGTAGGTATAGTGCAAATTGAGTCAAAAAACACCTGTGGAGCAACTTATATGATAAAGATGTTGCAGCCACATCCCTTATTTCTCAAGAACAAGTAATTATTACATGCATGTGCACAAATCATGGTGTGATGTGAATGTACACATGGACTAAGCACTTTGATGGCAACTCAACACCATTGCTGGTTGCTAGATAGAACCACAAAACAGCTGAGTTAAAAGAAATTGATGTGAGCATCTCAATCTGATAGGAACTAACACATGCCTTATGGATGCACCCTGTGCTCTCAGCACCTTCTTGTGATTCTACAACCCATCATGAGCTTCATCTCATAAATTCCACCAAGTATCAGTGGGCTTACCCATATACATCACAGTTTGTTGGCACGAGCCTACAGCATCGATCAACATTCAACAGCTATATAGGAATACTCACTGGTAGAATAGCTGCTGGCGATTAGCATTATTAACTTACCAGCAACAACTTGAATATACTACTAGCACCAGACTAGTATGATAGTACGTTGTTTGACTTACATAATAGGCTAGTTGAAGTTGGTCGGAGTAATACAGCTGGGAATAGAAAACTTGCACAGCCACTAAAGCAGTTCAACGCCATCAACGTTTGCCAGGACAACGCTGAACACCATTGACGTTGAACACCATCGTTATTGATATTCCCTCGTCGCCTGCAAAACCTGTTTTTACCTGCGCACAGACCGTCTTTCGTTTCTCATGTCAATGTTTTTACGGTTTTCTTTGATTATACTCTTATAGATCATCCTCTCAGGCCAATATTTCGTTAAATAATCACGTACAGTATGCAAACACAAGACCACCAACGACGTTCACCGAAGCGTCAAGACACTTTCGACCTTCGTGACCAAATTATGGCCGACGACCACACAGCATCCGCACATATGCATGCTCATGCAGATGCAACCAATGCTTATGCGGGCGCTTCTGACGAGGAGCATTCCGTTCTAGAAGATGACTCTGATGGTGAAGAGCGCGAGATAGAGTACATGGACGAAGACGACGACCGTTCGTCTTCACTTTCTATTCCAAATGAATCTATCGACTTTGATTTGGTCTACTCGCTGCACAGCTTCGCTGCGACCGTCGAAGGTCAAGCCAGCGTCGTAAAAGGTGATAGCTTGTTCCTTATGGACGACAGTAACAGTTATTGGTGGCTTGTCCGTGTGCTCAAGACACAGGACGTCGGATATATTCCCGCAGAGAATATTGAGACGCCCTTTGAACGTCTAGCAAGGTTGAACAAGCACAGGAATGTGGACGTGAGTCCCGTACCATTCAACAATTTCAAACTCGTGACTTTCCTTCTCAGCTTGCACATGCGACCCCACAAGAACTCCAAGAAGACGTCGAACGCGTGCGGAACAACCTTTCTTCTCGCGCTGGCTCGCACCACTCCCCTTCTCCTACCCCTGGTTTCCCACCCACAGGTGCTGGGCAGGGCAGAGGCGTCACATTTACAACTGCACGGTCCGTACACCGATACCCGCCTGCTGTCTGGCATGAAGAAGAGGAAGAAGAAGAGGACATAGAGTGGGATGATGGCGCATATGAGGAAGAAGATCCGGACCTTGCAGAAGAATTGCTTGTTCGACAGCGACAAGGTCAGACGGACCGTGATGAGCAGCAGGATTCTATGGGCATGCAGATGGAACCGGACGATGGAATGAGCTGGGATGATAGCGTTGCAGAAGACATGCAAGCACAGAACGCGCAGAAGAAGATAGAGCAACAGATGCTTGTGACACCTGACGCTTTGCGACCTAGTGGTACACCCGAGAGACAACAGGTGCAGATCCAGGTGCAACAGCAGCCAGAGATAATAATCACTGAACAGAGGCAACAGCAGGAGGAGCAACAGGTGCTTGCTCAACAAGCTTTACGCCATCAATCTTCACGCGATCGCATCACTGTTGATGTCCGTTCGTCTTCACCGTCCTCATCTAGTAAGAGCATTGATCCCGCGGAGGTAACCGAGACAAGAAAACTCTCCGTGACGCCTTCAATTGCTCGCGATGAGCCAGTCAAACAAGCTCCAGCACCAAGCGGTCCCCTTCTTCCGAGCGCAATCATGCAGAAGCAGGAGATCGAGCGGCAACGTACCCGCGAGGAAATTGAAGTGCTTGAAGAAGCCTCGAAAAAGAAGCTCAAGAATAAAGACAAACCTCTCCAGCCTGTCTCGAATACCCCAGTCCAGAAGCCTGTGCAGGCGTCTGGTAAGCTTCGCAAAGAGCAACGTGACACGACAGATGATGAAGCAAAGGAGAAAAAGGAGAAAAAGAAAGGAGGCGTGTTCGGACTCTTTGGCCGCAAGAAGGATAAAGGGAAAGATAAAAGTTCCATCGAGACCGCTTCCAATGAAACTCGTGAGTCCCAAGAATCAGGACGGTCCTCCAGCAACATTCACGGACCCACACCTGAACCTCCAATGTCTCCTGTCACTGCATCAGCCATACAACAACAACAGCAAGTTCTTCGCACGTCAAACGAATCGAGGACGCCAACGAGACTTCAGTCACAGCAGGCACCTCAGACACCGCCACAACAAGTACAGGCTCAGGTATCGCAGCATGCTTCACAGCTACGCCAGCGTGATCAGCAACAACAGGCACTGTATCAGCAATATCTCAATCGTTCGCCGTCATCGCCACCGGAAGCGCCTTCATACGGGTTACAATCGGCTTCCGCTGTGTTGTCAAGCTCGAGTTCGTATAGTACTTCTACTAGCTCTCCCGCTGGGCTTGGGCTGGGCTTGCCCTCCTCTAGACCACGGCCAGGCTCTATCGTTCTTTCGCCCACTGCTGACGGACAAGGCGTTGGCGTACCTGAGCTCAGTGTCATCCGTGTATTTGCAGGCAAACACTTGCAGACTGAGGCGACTTTCAAGACTGTTCTTCTCAACGCATCTACTACTTCAGCCGACCTCGTTCGTCAAGCTATTCAACGCTTCCGTCTTCCCGCTGGCGAAGACGGAGCAGACTACTACCTCACTATCAAACAGGTCGAGGGTTCATCTGCGGTTCTGCTCCCGGAAGAAAAGCCTCTCGGAGTCTTCGAGTCGCTCGTAGAGGCTGCTATGGAATTACCAAAAGTCAAGCGGAGCAGTGTGGGCAGTATCAGTTCCGTCTCAAGTAACCTCTCCATGCATCCCGCCATAAAGAAGTTATCCATGAATGACTTCAGCGACGACTCCGTTGTCAAATTTTACCTCAATAGACGCCGTGATAATGCAGATGACAGCGCCACGACAGAAGAAGGCGACGAGACAGTGCAGGCTGACACGTCTCACGACGTAGCTGAGGGTCTTAACACCTCAGCGAACGGTGTCAACGTCACTCCTGATCGTTTCAGCTCTCCCTCGTACCGCTTCACGTTGCAGCTTGTTATCCACCCCGAGGACCTGCCCGAAGATATGGTCTTCGACCCAGTCACCGAAGCTATCGTATTCAAGAACACACTGCGCGATAGAACCCATTCTACATCATCAATTTCTTCTGGTATATCACAGGGTCAGCGCCGCAAAGTCTTCACCTTCCCGAAGAATGTCACCGTTGCTGAAGTGACTGAGCTGGGTCTTGAGCGCTTTGGCATCTTGGAAGGCGTCGTTGATGGTGGTGACGAAGTTGAAGATAAGATGACGAAGAGGCGAAGTGTCAGCAAAGTCCGATATGGTCTCACAGCTGATGTTGGAGGGCAAGGTAAGGATACACTTAGCATAAATGGATTTGAGTGCTGACTTCGTTGGTCCAGAACGAGAACTACCACCTTCAAGTAGAGTTACCGATGCATACACTCGCCCTCCCAGTTTCCGCCGAGCTCAGGAAGGCAAGCGCAGATCCATCGATTCTGCTCAACTGCTTGGAAGTATAGATGATGTTCATATCGACGACCCCGTTTTCATTCTCCGCCGAGCAATCTCATATCGAACATCATCGTCTCGTCACCGTATGTCCGCACCCCTTGATGAAATCGCTCTTCAACATTTCCGTGATTCGGTTTCTGGCTCTAGTCTCAGCTCTGACAATCAGACTTCGGGTACCGAAGAAGTTAAACCGAGGCAGCTGTCAAGACAAGAGATCATTGCAGCACAGCGTGCCGCATCGCGAGCGAATCAAAAGGCTATTCTTTCGGCTCAGATGAACTCTCTTCGTGGTGTAGATGTTCTTCTTCCCGGAAACGCCATGATCCGCAGCTCCAGGTATAACTCTGGAGACAAAATGCGCTATTCATATGTGCAAGACGGCGAGTCGTTTGATATCAGTGACATTGTCGAGCAAGAGTTTTGCGAAGGCAACTCGGCGCAAAAGAACGACTTGTTAGAAGGCGTCCTCGGGCGCAATAAAGAAGGCATGAACGAAAAGATTGATCGCGTACTGAACAAAATCAAAGAGGGGCGAGTTCACGCTCAATACGTGGTAGCGGCTCCAATTCAGTCGGACAATCCTCCCTCTGCTGGCTCTGCACCCTCAGAGTACTCCGTCGATGACGCCGTAACTGCCCGTTCTGGTTCTGACGGCAGGACTCCCACACCGCTTGCGAGTAGTGTCACTGGGGCTCGACGCGTTGCATCACCAGTGTCCGACACATCTCGGACACCGACACCTACCGCAACAGATGGCCGACACAGCCGCACCCGATCCACCACCCCATCATCAAAACAAGGAACAAATACTTCTCGCCCTCTTCGTCAATCGTCGATCGCTTCTGTCATGTCAGAAGTATCGATGTACGCCACCCCCACTGGACAGCTCATCAGCCCCCCTGAAACGCCACGTACCGACAACGCCGCCAAACCGCCAGTCTCCAAGCGACCGTATATTCCCAAAGATGACTTCGGTCTCTCGCATATGATGGCGATCATTGAAATTGCTGGTTCGGCACCCAAGGTTCCTCAAACCTCTATACACCCAGTGGACGAGTCGCTGTTCGGGAAACCAATAGATGTGACAACTCTCCACCCGGACATTCAAGAGATATACGCTGGTGCTTTCCAGCAACTCGATGAGATGGATAAGGTAGGAGATTCGTTGCTAGTCGCACAGAATGTTTCGTGCTGATACACTTTGATAGACATTAGATGAATACCTTCAATACGTCATTAGCGCTCGTTAATGATTAATATTTTTTGGCTGTTGATGTATATATTTGCGATTCAATATTTATTCGTTCTCATCGCAGCTGCATGTATTGACTCTTCCATCTCCGTTGGTGTTAGGCTTCCTGAGTCTTCTAGTAAGTAGAATGATGGGAACATAAGCGGGACAGCAACCAAAAAAATCAACTTGTAGAGAAGGATGGTCACTGTTCTAATATTTCAGACTCGTCTTTATCATTGGGTACCGTGCATTATACGTGCGTCGACCTACTCGTATAGATCATAGCAAAGTCTGGGTGCCCCACTCCCCTAAGATATTACTAACTGCCAAGCTCCTCGTCATTTACGTATAACGGACTGCATTTGATATCTCTGTTCGAGATGCAGACGAAACCCTCGTAATATTGACGGTGCCCCAGATTTACCGGGAGGCTCTAACATGCACGACCGACTGGGGTGTGTCAAGATGATTCAATCTGTTTGCTGCGATAGAGCCCCAAATGATTTAAGCACGCGTCGGTGGTCTTACACCACTAATGAACTCTGCAGGTTATGGTTACATGCAGAAAAAGATAATTAGATAACCACGAACTTTGTGTCATTCGCCCATGACAACATCCACTTCATTCATGTCTGTCCCGCTGGCGGACGCAGATGACGTAAAAATGTCTGCCCCAGCTGCGAGCGAATCAATAAGCAGTGCTAGCTTGGAGGGTCCCAAATTTGGCTCCTGCAAGAGTCATTTATAAGAATTAAATCATATCTGAAACAAACACTTGCTGACCTTTCGTATTTCCTCAAGGTCTTCCTTGAATCCTTCCGCAAGGGATGACATCCAAAACTTCCTGAATTTGTCTTTCATGGCCTGTTCACGCGCCTCATAATCCGCAGACGTATTTGGCGGTAGAAAAGATGGTATTTCCGCACTGGGCAGGGAGGGTGAAGGTGACCTTGGTCGAGGAGCATCTTTTTCATGAGGAACTTTGAGACCGTCGGTTTGCATTTTTTCCTTTACCATGGATGCACCAGCATCGTCACTATCTGATTCGGAGTCGCTATCCGAGGATGCAGATTCAGATGGAGAACTCGTGTCGGATTCAGGTTGTTTGGTTGGGAGAGGTGCCACTTTTTGAGGTGTGGATTGCGTAGATTCATCTGAGGATGAATCATCAGATGAAGACGAAGGGCCGGAGGATACGGCGCGTCTTTTGCGTTTTCTGTTCCTCCTGCGAGCAGCAGGTTTTGGTGCTGGCGGGCCCATCTGTCGAACTTGAGCTTGAAGCTTGAAGGATCAATAAATTTCAGCATGCCGCATATGTACTATGTACTTACAAAATTGCGATTACATAATATTGATCATCATCTTTGCAGATCTTCAATTCACTCTTTACGCGCACGATCTACGCGAATCAACTTTAAAAACAATGAGTGGCAAGGTCGTCGGGGTTCTTGGTGCGCGTGAGCTCACAGCGTTGAATTTTTCTCGATTAAAGCGCTCATGATATCTGCCAGGTTGTGTCTCTACCTTCTTATCGTTTCCTCTGATTTGCTTGCTCCAGGTGGAGGTCAGCTCGGGCGAATGCTGGCCGCTTCGGCGGCTCTGCTCAACGTCGATATAGTATTCCTCGACGTCGGAGAAAATGGTCCAGCAAAACAGATCGTCTCCCCGCGATCTCCCTTTCTTGCTCATATCGATGGATCATTCGTAGACCCAGAAAAAATCAAGGCGCTGGCCAAAAAGGTCGACATCCTAACTGTTGAGATCGAGCACGTCGATACGGGCGTACTTGAAGAGATTCAGTCAGCCCTCGGAGCTGTTATCCATCCCAGTCCGTCTACGGTGAAGACTATTCAAGACAAATTCATACAGAAACAGCACCTCCAGAGTCACCAATGTCCCGTGTCAGAGTTTCTCGGTGTCGAATCCAATGTAATATCAATACAGCAAACCGCGGAAAATCTTGGTTTGCCATTTATGCTCAAAAGTCGCACTTTGGCGTATGACGGACGGGGTAATTTTGTTATTCGGGATATTGCTCAAGCTGAAGAGGCCATTTCTGCTCTTGGGCATCGTCCCTTGTATGCCGAGAAATGGGTGTCGTTCGTGAAGGAAATCGCTGTCATAGTCGTGCGCTCCACAACAGGGGAGGTTCGCTCATACCCTGCTGTGGAGACCGTTCACAAAGACAATATTTGTCACTTGGTTTTTGCCCCCCTACGGAGTCGCGATCCACATGTCGCTATTCGCGCACAGAGTGTAGCCGAAGCCGCAGTCAAGACCTTCCAGGGCGCTGGTATCTTTGGAGTCGAAATGTTCCTCATGGAAGACGGTAGAAGATAGTTTCTCCTGGATTGTGTGAACCAGCCTAACACACGGATTCTGTCAGGCTCTATCTACATCAACGAAATTGCCCCCCGGCCACATAATTCTGGACATTATACCATAGAAGCTTGCGAAACCTCCCAGTACGAAAATCATCTGCGCGCCATACTCTCACTCCCGCTTGGTTCTACGTCACTAAAGGTGTCTTCAGCTGCAATGCTGAATATCATTGGCGCTTCATCTAACATGGCAGAAGTCACGAATTTCGCATCTGAATGTATCAAGACAGATGGCTGTATAGTTCATCTGTATGGCAAATCGGAGTGTCGCAAAGGACGCAAAATGGGACACGTCACCATCGTGGGCAACTCAGATTCAGAGGTCCGCTCTCGCCTGCGACCACTGTTAAAGGCATTGCCATCAGGAAGTACCGAAGAAGAGCTCGCTCTATACGCCCCAGAGACCCTCGCACAAGGCAGCGGCTTTTCCCACAAATACCCGCTCGTTGGTGTGATCATGGGCTCCGATTCCGACCTTCCCGTAATGCTGCCGGCTGCTCGCATTCTGGATCGGTTTAAGATCCCCTATGAACTCACCATTGTCTCCGCACATCGCACGCCAGATCGCCTTGTTGAGTACGCAAGGTCAGCGAGCTCAAGGGGTTTGAGGACGATCATTGCTGGAGCAGGTGGTGCAGCACATCTTCCTGGCATGGTTGCTGCTATGACCGCGCTTCCTGTCATTGGAGTTCCTGTAAAAGGTAGCTCGCTCGATGGTGTTGATTCGTTGCATAGTATCGTGCAAATGCCGGTGAGTTAGGGTCTTTGTTCCCCATGCGATTCGTTGATGTCTGAGTGTCACTACAGCGAGGCATACCTGTGGCAACGGTTGCAATTAACGGCGGTATGAATGCTGGATTGCTAGCTGTGCGGATTCTCGGGGTTGGTATACCTCATCTATTTGCAGACATCGATGCGTATCTAAGAGGATTAGAGGGCGAGGTCATCGCAAAGGTCGAGAAGCTGGAAGAAGTTGGCTGGGAGAAGTACGAGGTGAAGCGGTAATGGTGAAGATCTACACGCCTGTTCGGAAGACAGTTGGTTCTGTGGTACGTATACGTGCATACGCTGCATTATCATTGAAGGATCGTAAATTATATTGTACTATGTGCCTCCAACTTCTACTCTCTAATAGCGGATGTCGAATTCACTGTTGGCAGTGGTGCAAGCAAATCTGCTCAGTAAGTTGTCACACAGGTAAGACACTGAGTCCTAATTTCAATTGAGAACTGAAATTCGTTTCAAATAATTATTTCGCTTTCAACCTCTTTCATTCCTGCCCGAAGCCAGGGGCATCGGGTACCAGCACTAGCAAAGCCGACCTGGCTGCTCATTTGATGCTCTTGCGGTACATTGCGAGGCGAGTATCGGGGCACCCCAACCCCACGATTAAATAGTTGGCAGAGAAAGACAAAACCTAGAGCAACGTGGTATTATCTACATACTTATAACGTTATATTTCCGAACAAACACAAGAAATGTCGTGGATGGTTATGTATATTCACACCTGTGCGTTTTCTTCTGCATCATCAAGCTGGACTTGAACTAAACCAGCATCCATCGCCATAGAGCGGAAAATAGAACCTTTGTCCTCCAGCAACTTCTTTGGCGTATCAAATTCCGCAATCTAAATTTCCCAATCAACAACTCATCATGAATGAACGCGACTTGGAGGTTTCTTACCCTTCCAGCATCTAGAACTAGAACCCTATCAGACTCCATGATCGTGTTTAAGCGGTGCCTACAGGTTCATCATTAGCACTAGTTATCGATAATGGACATGACATACGCAATGGTTAGAATAGTCACATCGCGGAAGATTGGACCTCGGATAATTTCTTGAATCGCTCGGTCGGTATCTAGATCAACTGCAGATGTTGCTACACCATCATGCACATTAGCCTTGCGGAAGAATAAGACATCGCTCATACATACCTTCGTCGAGGACGAGCACCTTAGTCTAGGAAGTGTCAGCGATGAAACCTTACAATCAACCAAAGCAAACGCGCATACCTTGCGCAAGAGCGCCCTAGCGAAACACAAGAGCTGTCTTTGACCTGCTGAAAGCGATGATCCAGCCTCCTGAACCGGAGCATCTAGTCCCCCAGCAAGTGACTCGACATATACCTTCAGATGGGCCTATACAAGCGTCCTTAGTAAACATCAGAAACGCAAGCACATTTCAAAGACATACATGTTCAAGAGCAGTCCATATATCAACAGTCCTGATGCTCGCTAGCAGGGTCGATGTTCTCTCGCAGTGTGCCCTCGAACAAATCTGGGCTTTGAGGAACAATGGATATCGCAGAACGCACTGATGGTTGCCTGATCAAAGGGTGTACATACGAAAGCTTATGGAAGACGCACAGTCATGGAGGCCAAGTTTAGTAATGTCTACTTTGTCAATGAAGATAGTTCCAGACGCGGGCTCGATAATCCGGAATAATGCGAGAAGAAGCTGCAAAAGTATCGTCACAGTCCAATGAAAAAAACAGCAAATGCCTTACGGATGATTTCCCTGCCCCAGTTCGGCCACATATTCCAATTTTCTCTTTGGGTTTCTGGAGCATTTGAAGTCAGCGTGCATCCGTGGTAAAGTTGGCTGAATGACTGACTATGGTCATCGAAATTTCCTTGAGGACTAGATCAAGCCCAGGCCGATACCGTGCTGAGTACTCCCTAAATCAGACAAGTTCAATACAGTTCGTGCACACAACGACACGAACTCACCGGAACTCGACTTCCCCAGCTGGGGGCCACTCAGAGGCAGGTTTATCCTCAGAGATCTCGTAAGGAGCTTCTGGCTCAAGGTCTTTCGCATAGTGGACGATACGCTCAACGCTAACCACGTTCTGTTCTACTTCACTTGCGGAGCGGACGAACCAGTTCTGCGGCCGCTTAGTCGCCAATACCTCGGGACGGAGGAAAAACCACCTACCAGTGAACCTGTCGTGTTCAAAGCATACGAAAGAACCAGACCGACCAAACCCGCATCAACGTTGCTGGTCACAACGGCAGAGACAGCCAAAGTAGCTGTGACGAAGATAATTACTGCTCCAACAAACTCCAATCTTACTGCAAGCCACCGGTTGACAGCGGTACTAGGGAGGTAGCACAATTGGTTCCGATCAATGCGGCGCGCGTTGTTCGCAATGAAAACGGATTGCTGGTCATAGGCCCGGATAGTGGAAAGTCCGGCCAAGGACTCCGAGAACCACGCAAAAATGGGTGAACGGGACACCGCATCTAGGCGTTTAAGTTCACGCGACGTGGCAAGATAGTACCTATCAATAGTATCAGGATCATTCTGGAAGAAGAACAAGGCCGTTCATACGCGGTGATCCTGGAGTAGAACCACGCCAGAGGAACGACTGCGATCAAGAAGGGCGGGAAGCTGAACCCGATCACCAATATAATAGAAGCGCAGCCCGTGCTCGTGCGTATCATGTTTTGGATCACTCGAGCCAGGATTTGATCGACAACATATGTGTCGCGAGAGAACAAGTTCAAAATGCTGCAACAAGAGATTATTCAATCTCAAAGAAACCATTCCACAGTTACTGATATGACGCACCGTCCCGTTGGCGTTGTCTCAAAAAAGCTGAGAGGCGCACGCATGACCGAGTGCAGCATCTGAAAAATCAATGAAAACATTTCTTCGATACTTGGAACGTAACACCAACCGAATCATGAAGGTGCTTTGAGCTCCGAAGCGAGCAGAAAACCCAAATCAGAAGCGCAGCACACGCGCTCATGGAAATGGCCACCAAATTAAACAATCCATATCCAAGGAAATACTTGTTGGTCAATCCCGCGTTGGTACCCATCTCGCGGTTATGCTCGCCCCAGAGCCTGAGCATTACGGTCGACATGACAGATACCACCTGCTGCAGGACCGTAGCAAGTACAAAGAACATGAACCCCTTTCTCGACGCTGCATGGAGGTACTGCGAGTACACTTCCATCTTGACGCGGCCCTGTTCGCTGTGCTCCTTCGTGATGCCATCGGAAGAGGCCTCAGCGCAGTTTGGGCGGTGCAGCGAGGACGGCCTTTTTGAAACTTTCTCTACGTGACACCTTTTCTGATACACTTTCAAGCTCTCCAACAAGGGTGGCTTGCATGTCTCCGTCCCCCTCGCTTGTGGTGGGAGTGGCCATGCCGCTGGACCGTCCAGGTGTGGTTATTCCAGAGCTAGAGCTGCTCGTAGCGTGACCGTGACTATCATCAATTCAATTAGATTGTGTCAAACATCATAGATCGAAATATACGCACACAAGCTTGCGTACTTCACTATCCTGGATTCGACATCAACTCGTTGTACGAGCCACTCTCCAAGATAATACCGCGACGCAGGTAAACAAGTTGATCGAAATACTTGAGATATGAGATGCTGTTAGTGACAAGAATGCGCGCTTTAGTTGCAAGCAGGCCTTGAGGACCAATGACATGATCTGTTACATAGTATCGTTATTTAAAGGAGTCAATCTGGGACCAGATGGTTTTCACTTGCCAAAGACATGTCGGGCAACATGGGAGTCAACGGCAGCTAAAACATCATCAAGAAGAACGCTGCAGGACGCATGCGTCAGCACCACACCGTGTACGAACAGAAGACACTTACAGATCTGCACGAGCGTAGATCGCACGAGCAAGCGCGACACGAGCACGTTGGCCACCGCTGAGCTGAGAGATCATTTGTCTTTGACAGATACTTATTATCCCAAAGTACTTACAGTAATGCCTATAGAACGGTCACCATGAATATCATCGAGTCGCCGAAGGGATGGACAAAAACATACCCTTTTCCCCGACCTCAGTCAAATCACCTTGTGGGAGAAGCTCCAAGTCAGGCTTCAAAGCACAAGCTGTAGAAAAGGTCAGCCTCAATCTCACACAATTGATCAGTGCACATGCCTTCAATAACAAGGTTATAGAACACCTCATCGTACTCGTGCGAGAAAAGGATGTTATCTCGAACCGTCGCAGAAAGAATCCTGTTTGCCTGTGAGCAAACATCCTAGAAAGTGCCCGCATATGCAACGCACCAAGGATTTTGAGCAGCATAAGCTACATTACCAAACAAAGCCACCTCACCCTCCGTCTTTCGCATGTCCCCGATAATCGCTGACAGCAAGCTACTCTTCCCGCTGCCCACACGACCAAGTACACCCACTAGCTCCCCTTATGCACTGTCAAGTTGATATCTTCCAGAGCAGCTGAAATATCTTGTTTGTTCCACTGGAATTCGCCGCCTTTGACTGAAAGTACCTGTCACAACTGTGAGAATGATCATCAAGTAGCTAGAGAGTTACCCGACCTCGTCACCAATGTTCAGGACTGGCTTTCTGCGCCTTCACAAGGGCATTTTGTTGCAGCTCCTCAGCAGTGCAGGAAGCCTGATAGACGTTTGACAGAGACAATTGCCTCGATGATGTTTGACGTGACTTGACTAAACTGTGATACGGTCAACAATTGCTGAGGTTGCAATGCAATCGTTACTCACCATAGCAAGTGGGAACTGGAGAAGCATGAACAGCGAGATCGCAGGGAAGATGACGTCTGCTGTGAGTGGTCGCGACGAGAACACAGATGCGGTAGCAAATGAACTAAACGCCACGATTACTGAGTGATTTCTTCATTAGTTGTGAGCAACGAGTCAAAGGCAAGGGACATACAAGGAATGCCGCTCCAAAGCGTTGTATTGAGAGCCTGATGAATGCGCAAGGATGAACATGGGTTACTCTGTCTGAAAATCGATGCGTACCGTTACAATGCCAATTTTCTTCAGCATCTTCAGCTCCAAATCATTGCGCACGTGCAGAACGCGGCGGATGAATGCATATTCCCATGCATAAAGCTTGATACTGCGCGAACAACGATCGTTAATGTGACTGTCTGCGTACACGAGGCTGACGTACCTTTTAATATTGGCCAAAAGCTCGCTCATTAGCCTGGTTCGCTTATCACGGTTCTTCATTTGTTGTTCCTGCATCTTCTTCAGCATCCTTGCGATCGTCGTATTTAGCGGAATAGAGAATATCATGATCGCAACTCCGACAAAAGCCGACCATCCGAGAAGGTTGTACAATGATACAAAAGCCAGTGTGATCTGACGATAGCGTGAGCCTGGCTATTGTGGAGTATAATCTGCCCTACCTGGAATGGTCCAGACACCGCAATCAGACCATAGGTGCACAGGTCCTGTAGCCTGCTTGCATCGACAGACATCAAGTTAACAATATCTCCAGATGCTCGACTCCCTCGCTCATCGCTAGAAAGCACGAGAGACTTTTTGTAGATGGCAGTCACCAAGCCAGCGCGGACACGCATACCTGTCTCGAAACAGATTTGAAAGTACTGTTTAATTTGGTCAGTGCCGTAAACACGATCGCATTGGCCGGATTACCTGGTGGAGAACGACGCTTTGCGCCATGGATGTCATAAACATGATGACAGCAACTATATATCCCTCAAGAGGGCTCGGACCAACAAGAAGGTTAGCCATGCCTTTGGTGCTCTGATAGCTCGAGATGTATGCCAGAAGCCATCGAAGAAGTTGAGGTTGCAGGAATGCGAGACTGTCCTGCAGGAGCTTCAAGAGTGCAGCACCCACATACGGGCCACCATATGATAGGAACAATGCGACCCATACGGACGAGCTGCAACTCGGTTGGACAGAGAAAAACGTTATAAACATTACACTCACTGTTTCTCCAGAGCGCTCTGCAGATCGTTTCCAAGATTCTCTGACTCGTCACGGGGAAGCAAAGCAGGTAAGTCATTTTCCGTAATGAACTCCTTTGAACCCTTCTGCATCAATGGCGTCAACCACGCAAATGACCAAATACTATACACGTTGGCCGTAACCACTGGACTCTCCGTGTTATCGTTGACTAGATCATCAGGGGAGACGCACTCCAGCACGTATGCCGGGAGAGAGAAAAGTTCGACGGCCCATTTTGAAAGAACCACGAAGAGCGCTTTTGAAACTTCCTCCTGCACGACCGATCTAGTCCATATTGCGAGGCCGACGCTGTAACAAGGCCAAAATAGTAGGAGAATGGTTGATGATGACCGTGTCCGACGATGGTTCAGTCGGGTGAGTATCCAAGACGCAAGCAGCGCGAGCGGTTCGAGTACGTAAGGCCATACGACTGATGCTGTTCGTTTAAGTGACAAGGACGACGAAGAGGTTGACGCAAGACGCGACAATGGCCAGTCCCAACAAAGTCTGCCCGCCAAGTTAGTACCAGGTAGACACAGAAAGCTACTGGAACGCACCAGTTTCGCCCACAATCTCCAGCGACTTTTCCGCGAGATATCACGAGACGGAAGATATCTCAAGGCCCAAACTCTGCATGTCGCCGACAGTAGCAGTACAGCCAGAAGAAACTGTCAAAATGATGCCTCCTCAAAGCAAAAAGTGAAATCAAGTTCACGGAGCTTTGATACAATGCGCCATCCTTCGATGTCCCGACAAGACGCCATAAGGTGCGACGATAACGATGGATGGTGAAAGCTGAGCCGACTAGTATATATAATAGGTTCCCGGAGGTAAGTACGTATGTCCCATCAATATATTCTTCTCATGATCACAAATTGTCATGACTGTCCGATTACAAATTTATACGTACTATCATTTGGCTGATGAATCAACTCGAGTCACAGTGGCATTTCTCACCAAATCAGTTCATTCGCAGATGCGGGTGACTCATTGCATGAGCGCTCGGGCACGAAGCTTGACGGCATGGAATATTTACATAAAGACTATAGCGAAGCAGCGTCTTCCGGACCGGCATGGCCGTTATTCATGAAATGGACTGCGACGACTCAGCTTCCGGTTCTGAGAATGCGTCTTCGGCTGTAGAGAATGGATTCGGGATGGCGAACGATCAGGCAGAGAAGATGCATACGCCTTTCTTGCAGCAGCAGCAGAAGCGAGGTTCTTGATCGATAGATTCTCTCCGAGGGGCAAACGCATGCGGTACTCCGCACGGACTTTCTTCGGGATGTGGGATGCTTCTTTCTCCTTGATCACGAGTAACTGTCTCTTCAACGCGCTAGCTCCTAGCGTCTTCACGAGAGCTTTGCGAAGGTCGCGTGTCTTCTGGCTATTGGGAGTTGGGACCGGATGATATGACGGAGTGATGTTGCCGTGGCGTACTTGCGACTCTTTCACTTTGCGCCTGATCACACTTCTTGCAAGTACCTTCACATACTCTCTTCTCCTTAGGGTGGCTTTGCATGCGTTCGAAACATTTTCAGGATTACGAGAGCTCCAGGGTAGCTGGGAGGCCAAACGTGGAAATAAAGGTGCATATTTGATGAGACTCATTCCGGGTGCCATTGTTGGATAACGCGGCTGCTCGTAGATCGTGATAACACGTTAAGGAACATAATGACTTGAGCATACCAAGCTGACCCGGAGAACACCAAGGATTCCTCTGAAGAACTTCAGGCTCTCCGACACGCACAAATTGCCAACGCAATGAAATTCACTCGCCTAGAAGTAGACAAAGAAGGTGTCAGAAACGAGCAACGACAGACACAAGGTTAAACAACATACCGTGAAGACCGTCAGCGATCCTGTATAGCGCCCTTTCTGGTATACATGCCATCTCGACGAGTGGTAAAGTATGATCCTCTCGTAAAATTCCCATTGGCTGATGAGATTAGCGGACTGTTCGACCAATGGTCAAGGTTTAGTAGAAATGTAGTTCAGAGTCGATATTGCTGACCATGTACTGTCTTTCTTTACAGACTGCCAAGAACTTGGCCCCCACAGAGCTCCCAGGGCTGACACCCCGCTTCCACTCAGGCTGGTGCTCAACGGTGTAGCTGAAGATGTTGAATGCAATAAGACTGATCAATGCGAGGATAAGACGGTAGGCAGTGTCTGTTGTGGACATGACACTATGATCAACTGGGGAATGGTGTAGTACTAAGAGAGGTGGACTGCTCACCATTGAGAATTAAATCCAGAACATGTATCCGTTTCAGCCCGGGTCAGCCTCCGACCAAGTTCAAGATTGAAGCCTGCGGGGCAGGCGTTTGTAGCTCGGCAAGGGTGATCGATCACTGATCACTTTTAGCCCAAGTTAGCATAGTCCTACATGAGCTGGTGAACATGTTAAAATTACTACTAGTATGCTCCATAATGCATACGTACCCACCAGTGACTGTCACGGTAATTTCATCCCTACACCGGGCCGGTCCCCTCCAAGGTGTCAAACATGGAATTGTAGCACCGCTTGAATAATTAATTTCGTTATGATATGTGCATGGATATGATTATGATAAAACTATTGATCACTAAACAGAGTATTATGAAGCAGGCCCTGGTGAGTGCACAACAAGGTCAACGCTGGCAACCGCTTTGGCTCCTGCCAGAAACTTCACGGCAGGCTTCATTTTTCCAGTTCTTACTAATTATAGTCACTTCAATGAGATAATAATAACTAGTTCGACTGCAGGTCTGCCAGTCGCCTGCAGTTGTACAATTCCACCCATGATACCACCATCACAGTTGAAGCCACTGCCATAGGTTGTTACCAGAGCTGTGAGCGCACGGCTCGGCCACTCTTCATCCTATAAATTGTTTATGGACACTTCAACCCGACCAAGTTGCACAATTCAATAATGGCACAACCCTTCATGACTGCCGCAACCGCCGCCGCGTCATAGTTTGCGAGCTGTCTCCTTTCAAAATCCTGTGCTGAGCCTCGCACCTGAGCGTCTAGTGCACAGTACTTCGGCCACTAGTTCATCCCACAATCCTACTAAGCTACGTGGCGATGCGTCGCATGACGACTTCTGTCGCAAGTAGCTGATACGGTGTGCACCTAGCCGCATCACCCTAAGTATGACTTTAGCCGATGTACACCCAGCTGGTCCATAACACCGCAATCTCTTGATCGTTGATGTACGGGTAATGGACCCACCAAGTAGGCACGGCACACTCTGTTCCTGGATCCCGCCTGATCCCGCGCTTTGACAAGTCAGTACTTCCCTCACGCTTTTCCTTTCAGTGACAATACCGGTTAGAAGCCAGCATAATCATGATACCCCCGCTATGTCACCGATCCTGTCAAGGTGATCATTATAATTATACATGTTGCCTGACACAGATAACATTGATATATGTTTTGATCGGCATCGGGAAAACTACAGAGTGCCACAGAGCGCTCTATAGCACTCTGTAGTGAAGTACGTTTTCCCGATGGGTTTCAAGAAACATGCACAGGTCAGTGCTCGGCTTCCCTACGGCGTATGACCACTCCTTTCAGACAAATTCTAGCCCGATTCTCTCGCATGGCATGCTTGACGAGGGATCACCAGTCATCTGCATTCTCTTCCTGTCCTTGAATTCTTGCCGACGACTATTGTAGCAACCTAGCACTAGCACTGCTATGTGACAACTGAGCTCAATTGGCTGTTCTGGCTGTCTGAGTTAGTCTATGTCGACTCCGAGTCATTATTTTGTGGTACGCCTACCGTTCCCCAACATGTCGGCAGATAGTTGCCAACTCCAGGGGCACTACACTATTGGAATTCAGATGTCCAAGGCACCGAACAACTGTTTCGGCCTCATCACAAACCGGAACAATCGACGGAGGTAACAATAGCTTTGAATTGGGAAGCACTCAAGGCTATTGACCCCTGCCAGATAAAAGCTGCGAGAGGTGTGTGTTCCCTCATCATAATCTTATCCTGCATCCCACTACTCTCTCGGGTGAAGAGAGTACTACCTATTGTAAATGTTCGCGATGTTTATTCTTCTCTTACTCGTTTATCTCGTTTCATCTATTAACGCTGCATCGATTGTATCTCGCTCGCAGTCCCACCCATTATCTCAGCCAGCAGTGCTTGGCCCAAAAACTAGGATAACCATAGGTAATAAGGTCATCGCTCCTGATGGTTTCGAACGCCCGTGAGTCTATTGCAATGGTACTCAAATCTCACTGCTGATTTTAAATAGAGCAACTGTAGTTAACGGCATATTCCCTGGACCTTTGATTGCAGCTCAGAAGGTGAACATCCGTCAACCTCCTTTCGTGCACCAGCGCTGACCTCATATTAGGGAGATGACTTTGCCATCGAGGTGGTCAACGAGCTCAAGGACGAATCAATGTTCAAGAGTACCAGTGTCGTAAGCATCACTCAATTATCCATGTTGTCATTGATCGACCTTGTTTACTGCAGCACTGGCACGGTATCTTCCAAAATGGGACGAATTATGCCGATGGGACATCATTCGTCACACAATGCCCCATTGCGCAAAACCACTCTTTTTTACATTCTTTCTCCGCTCCGAACCAGGCAGGCACCTTCTGGTATCATAGTCATTATTCCGTCCAATATGAAAGTATCGCTCGAACTTTGTACATGCAGTAGAGGACTGACCTGTGTAACAGTGTGATGGCCTGAGGGGACCCCTGGTAATCTATGACCCCCATGACCCTTTGGCACATATGTACGATGTCGACGATGGTGAGCAAACAACTGGTTTATATTTATTCTCTGACCATCATGTTGTTGCTAGCGAGTACCGTAATCACACTTTCCGACTGGTGAGTTTTATGCATATTAGTAATCTGCTTGCTCAACGTAGTGTCACTAGGTATCACGTTGTGGCCCCGGTCTTACGCCACATCATAGGTACGACCGCCAACTCCTCGCTTATCAATGGACTCGGCCGATATGCTGGCGGACCCATGTCTGAACTCGCTGTGATCAGTGTCGAGCAGGGAAAGCGTTACCGCATGCGCCTGGTTTCAACGTCGTGCGATCCAAACTTCTATTTTTCCATCGATGGCCACAACTTAACCGTCATCGAAGCGGATGGACAGCTGACTGAACCCCTGCTAGTAGATGAGCTCCGGATATTCGCGGGTCAGCGCTACTCTGTGGTTTTGGTAGCTGATAAGCCGGTGGATAACTACTGGATACGCAATCTTCCTGATATAGTACATGCGTCCTATGAGGGAGGAACGAACTCTGCAATCCTGCGCTACCAAGGCGCCCCCGATGTCGATCCGACTACGGTCAATACTACATCCGCGAACCCATTGAAAGAGACCGACTTGCATGCGCTGATCAATCCCGGCGCTCCTGGCATTCCGGAGTATGGGAAAGCTGACATCAACCTCAACCTCTCGGTGACCAGCGAAGGTGGAATATTCTATGTCAATAATGGTGTCAGCAATGTCACATTCCAACCCCCCAATGTTCCTGTTCTGCTCCAAATTCTCAGCGGAGCTCAAGAACCGTCTCAGCTACTTCCAAATGGGAGTGTCATCGTTCTAGAGGCTAATAAAGTGGTGGAGTTGACGTTGTCAACTACTGGTGCAGGTGGACCCGTACGCATGTTCCCTTCCTTCAATGCTTATTTGCCTGATATACGTCGTACCAGCATCCCATACATCTTCATGGAGTAAGTTTGCTATGGCATGGTTGCAGGCTGGTGCTGATGATCATTAGCATTCCTTCGATGTCGTACAGAGCGCAGGCAGCAAAACCTTCAATTATGCGAATCCCGTTCGCCGCGATGTGGTAAGCGCCGGCAGCAGAGGGGAACATATGGTGATCCGATGGACGACCGATAATTCTGGTCCCTGGTTCTTGCATTGGTACGCATCATTTTATTGAGCTGTCAAGAAAGGTACTAACCCCGTACTAACAGTCACATTGACTGGCACCTCGATGCGTATGTTTTTGTACGTCCTCGTGAGAGAACTAGCTAATCCTCAAATCTAGTGGTTTTGCCGCGATAATGGCGGAAAGTCCCTCAGATACCCGCGCACACTTGAACACCGTGCCACGTAGGTCCTATGTGAAAAAAAGTATACTTCCATGGCTGAACTGCTTTACAGAAGAATGGCATCAGTTATGTCCGATCTTTGACTCTCTAACACCCACACAGTTAGGGGGTGGAGGTCGCGAGTCCTATCAAGAAGCATCTAGTATCACCACACTCCTTTTCCCGCCGTCACCCCTCCCTTAGATACAGTCCTAGTCATTTTCGTTTATATAATGCTTGCATGACGAACTAATGTACATTAAGCAGATTGTTCTCCATTATAGGTACCACTATAATTAACTTCCCCTGTACTATTTATACCTTACTATACTAGGCCTTAGGCCTTAGTAGATCTTATTATTATACTCCAGCCTAAAATATACCTTAACATGGTGTCATGACTACGGTACCTGATACAACGGACTGCTCGTTTCCTGGAGCACTGGCAGACTTCGCGGGCCTGGTGAAAATTCATAGAAGTCGTTCTGAAGTGGAAAACAATGCTGAGGACAGGAAGATAGAAACCAAGTTTAATAGTGTGCCCTCGACGTCGAGGGACCCAGTACTCGCCGAGCTAAGGCTTTCATTGAGACACTGTTTCGATCCGACAGCAGTCAGTCCAGAGCCTCACACTGCGACTGCGACGGCTCATTCTGATTTCCTCCAGTTTTCCAAAATACATCTGGTTTGAGACCGCGCTGATTAGTCAGCATCACACAGTGTCCCGGGGCCCGAATGTGTGACTACTTGTTGCAGTAAGTCTTAAAAGCTTAACGGACCGCGGTCACGGTGGTCCTGACATCCATACTACCGTGCACAGGTGCGACAAACTTCAAACTTAAACCTATACGTGCAGAATGCGGCAACCAACCAAAATCGCCTTGGCAAGCAGTTAGTGCAAATACTGCCAGTTGGCCTGGTACAGCCCCGCCCACTACATTACAGTTCCTGATGTCTGACAGTGGTTGCTCACAGGTGCTCGCCGCTACTAGTGCCTACTTATTGACGATGCGGCGCGCGAGGACTTAGCAGGGAGAAACATATCAAATAATTTGATCCTCACGCATCAGCGAAGATCAGTGGCCCATGACAATAATAATGAGAACAAGCGCTCCTCGGAACTGTGCCTCGCATTTTGAAATCGGATAGAACCTGCTCAACGCGTCGTTGTGTTCGCCCACTCTGGGGCCCGCGTTGACTGGCTGGTTGATCAAACGAGCAAGATAATCAAATCACGCCTCGAGTCATCTAGGCTTGACCAAACAAGACGCATTTCGAAATTCCGGTGCGTTTCATACTAGCCTAAGGCCAGGAACGGATCCGGGGACACTTGTCAGGGGAAGTGCTTTTCAGGGGCCCTCGGAGCCACGCGGTGCGCACAGTTAGCTTCGAGTAGCCAGGTCGAACAATTGAGCCTGATTCCCACAATTCTACCGCTGGTTCGAAATGATGTATATGGATCCCTACGAGTACCGAAACTGGCTGATCCAGGGTCATCACTCAATCTGTTGAATGACGACTATGAGCGAATTTCGTACTTCCAGAACTTTCCAACTTGAAAGTAGACTTGGCGTCACTTGATTGGCTTGCCGTCCCGGCTCTTGTTATTCCCCTATGGGTGCTATAGTCAAGCTTGACGTGGCGGGCTGTGAGCTTGTGTAGTGCTTGTGTAGCATAAACTACCGGTAACTAGTCGGGGCTTGGCATTTGACGTTGGCTGCAATCATTTTACGGTCAGGTCTGCCACTCGTTGCAGAAGTTGGGATCAAGAGAAGTTACTAGACTTATATAAGATCAAACTACGCTGAGGTGAGTTCTCATCGTCGAGTGCTATAGCACATATTCCCTCCCTCTGTACTCAATATAATGCTTTTCCTTAATGTTATCTTGATGCTATGGCTTCATCTGGCTCATGCAGCATCCATCATCTCACGATCCAATTCATATCCACTCAACTCTCGTTCGACCACACTAGGCCCTAAAACCAACTTAATCATTTCTAATAAAGTCATATCTCCAGACGGTTTCACACGCTCGTGAGTCTGTCTTTTCTGTGTCTTTTTGCATCTTAATCATTGGTACAGTGCAACGCTCGCTGGAGGAACATTTCCTGGTCCAATCATCGCAGCAAAGAAGGTCACTTTTTCTACCAATTCGATCAAACCCTCAGACACTGACTATAATTGAAGGGAGAGCACTTTGCGATAAATGTCGTGAACAGACTCACTGACGGTGAAATGCTCAAGAGCACTGCTGTGGTGGGTATACATCTGTTCAATACTCATACATTGGGCTTACCTGACTCTGTTTAGCACTGGCACGGAATCAGGCAGAACGGAACTAACTATGCTGATGGAGTCTCGTTCGTTACTCAATGTCCCATTGCGCAAAATCACTCCTTTCTGCACTCCTTCGAGGCTCGGGGTCAGGCCGGAACCTTCTGGTATCATAGCCATTACGCGACCCAACAGTGGTGTGTTGATATGAATTGTTTAACTCCGTAATCAATGATCCGAAACCGTTTAGTGATGGACTCCGCGGAGCGTTGATAATCTACGATCCTGAAGACCCCCTATCCCATTTATATGACGTTGACGACGGTACAGTGACTGCTGTCATAGTCATGAATCCGCTCACTTAAAACATTCACAGAGACCACCGTTATCACTCTTGCTGACTGGTACATCTCAGAACTATCTGCGACTTGCATTCAACTAACCAATTGATCATAGGTACCATGTGGTTTCCCCCGTCTTAAGCCATATAATTGGCACCAATGCCAACTCAACACTCATTAACGGTCTCGGTAGATATCAAGGGGGACCACAGAGTGAACTTGCGGTGGTCAGTGTCGAGTATGGGAAACGATACCGCCTACGCCTTATAGCAATGTCTTGCGATCCCAACTTCATATTCTCCATTGACAACCATAACCTGACAGTAATCGAAGCGGACGGTGAACTGACGCAACCCCTCCTCGTGGACTCGCTCCAGATACTTGCTGGACAACGATACTCTGTTGTGCTCGTCGCGAACCAGCCGGTCGACAACTACTGGATACGAGCACTCCCAAACACTCTAGGCTTGAACTTTGACAACGGCCAGAGCTCTGCTATCTTGCGATACAACGGTGCACCCGTTGCAGAGCCTACTACAAACCAGACCAAAAGTACCATGCCGCTCATCGAGAACAACTTGCATGCACTCATCAATCCTGGTGCGCCTGGGATTCCAGAGTACGGAAAGGCAGACATCAACTTGAAGTTGGTGGTCAACAACACGGCCGGGATATATTCGGTCAACGGCGCAACATACAAGCCTCCCACGGTGCCAGTACTGCTTCAGATACTCAGCGGTGCACAACAGGCAACCGATCTCCTTCCGCCAGCAAGTGTATATGTTTTAGGGGCTAACAAGGTCGTCGAATTGACAATGCCAGCTGTTACTGTTGGTGGTCCTGTAAGTTTCCCGTGCGTTCATTACGTTACACACATCTCATGACATCTCACTAGCATCCGATTCATCTTCACGGTGTCAGTATTTCTGGTTACCAGTTGACACTCGATTGCTCATTGTAGTAATAGCACAGCTTTGATGTCGTGCAGAGCGCCGGAAACAGTTCTTTTAACTACATTAATCCCGTACGCAGGGATGTGGTATCCAGTGGGCTCCAAAACCAACAGATGGTGATCAGATGGGTCACAGATAACTCTGGCCCATGGTTCCTGCACTGGTAAGCACTGCGACATTGACGTATGTCACACTAGCACTGATGACATCGTTTACCTAGTCACATTGATTGGCATCTTGAGGCGTACGTGTCTCGAGCGCTCTGACACTGCCGTAAGCTGACATGTGTTGCTAGTGGTTTTGCTGTAGTCATGGCCGAAAGTCCTTCGGACACTCAGAAGCATCTAGGCCACATACCCAGTAACTATTCAATGTCTATCTTATGCTCTGCTTTAATTGATGGTGTACACAGATGCATGGGACGAACTTTGCCCAACATTCAACTCGTTAACTCCAGCCCAGATTGGAGCGGAAAACTCGTATCAGGAAGCACAGAATATCTCCACATTGCTATTTCCCAACGCATAGTGTTCGCTTTTGTTATAAAGTTCGAAGGAATGACACTATCGGGACCCTCATAATACACATAGTAGTACCATTAATAACATTATCACAAGCCATCCCATGTAAATGCTCTATAATTTATGCGAGCTGCTCACATACTACTCCCGATGTTATGATGAGCGAGCCGCCATGACACGGATCTATACCAAATGCATGTTGATGCCCACCCACTAACCGCGAACCGCGCTGTACTAGTCTCCCATAGGCAGACGTCCAAAGACAGTCGTTCCTTATTACCACGTGCTGTATGCCAATTGCTGGCTGAAGGCCACCCATACGGAATCTAGTACTCGATTCAGACAACAGGTGAGAATAACTGCGAACTTCCCAGTGCGCGTTGGGTGGTGAAACGTGTCGTGGGTGCCATACTGCTGGACAACTGCCAGTGGTCCAATCAGATCAAAGCAAGTGATGAGAAGGCAAGAATTGAGTAGTGACTCCCCGGATCAAGAGTAAGTTTGTGTTCACATTCTGAAATAGAAACCGCCGGGGCCGCAGCCTGGTACGATACTAGTCATGAACCTGGCTTCTATGTAGTTTTCTTCCGCCGATGGACAGACCTCTCGAGCTCAGCGTCTCCTGTGTTGAGTGACTCAAGATCGGTTGAGAGCAGGTGTGGAACTAGCCTGGGATGGTTTGGTGTGAAGTCGGCAATCGACGACGATGGGACTTTGGGATTCTGCCTAGGGAACGAGGGGCAGTGGTACTGCCTGGGAGCAAACAGCAGCCGTCGCAGTCTCTGGGAATCGCGCATTTGTTGATTCCGAAGTGAACGTACTTCCAAAACTTGGTTGTATCGTATGCTGGTCGTATCGAACGTTTTTCCAAAATGCATGCCCGGATTTAGTAAATGTTTGTGCAGTGGAGATATGATGCGATCCTAGCCACGTGCTAAAAATTGGCGATATCGGACGAGCGAAAGACATCGATTTCTAAGTCGTTTCACTGGTCTTCACAGCTATCGGTAGCTTATAAGGTACCTCTTCGCTCCCATTTAAAGGCTGTTCTGACGCTCTCTCCGTCTTGTTCCAGATCCACCATCATCGCACTCTCTCGTCGATTCATCATGGGTGTCCTCGATATCGTTCCCGTTAGTACAAATCAATCATCGGGGAAGCTGATCCATTGACATCCTAGTAGGCTGGTGTCCTAACTGGAGATAACGTTCGCAAACTGTTCGATTATGCAAAGGAAAACAAGGTACATCGCTCTCAACTCATCTCCTATTACCTTAATGAAGCGCCTTGCAATTCAACTTCAATAGTTTGCCATTCCCGTGAGTGCCTTTCCTATTGGAGGTAAAGATCCTGCTAAAGCGATGATATCTTCACTAGGCTATAGTGAGTGACGAAATAAATCGTGGTCTCCTTGAGTTTTGGCTTAACTGCGTCAGAATGTCACTTCCTCATCCACCGCTAATGCCGTTTTGGAAGCCGCAAGGTCAGCAAAAGAATCTGAGTCATTCATGAAATACTCACCTCTAGTTCTGCAGAGACATCAGGGCTCCGATCATCCTTCAAGTCTCTCAGGGTGGAAGTGCCTACTACGCCGGCAAAGGTCTTGCAAATGACAACCAGCAAGCTTCCATTTTGGGAGCTGTTGCTGCTGCCCACCACATTCGCACAGTTGCGAAGGCCTACGGCGTGTGAGTCTGATATTTGCCTGGTTTTCATGTTATTTTAAACCACGGTGGACATTAGGCCCGTCGTTCTTCACAGCGACCACTGTGCTCACAAGCTCCTGCCATGGTTTGATGGCATGCTTGCTGCCGACGAGGCTTATTTCAAGGAGCACCAAGAACCCCTTTTCTCCTCACACATGCTTGACCTGTCTGAGGAGCCAAAAGAGGAGAACATTGCAACTTGCGTGAAGTACTTCAAGCGCATGGCACCTATTGGTATCTGGTTAGAGATGGAAATCGGTATTACCGGTGGTGAAGAGGATGGTGTTGACAACACTGGTGTCGACAATGCATCCCTCTACACGCAACCCGAGGACATCTACGATGTCCACACTGCTTTGAGTGCTATTAGCCCCAACTTCAGCATTGCCGCTGCGTTCGGTAACGTGCACGGTGTCTACAAGCCTGGAAACGTCAAACTCCAGCCTGAATTGCTTGGAAAGCACCAAGCTTACAGCAGCCAAAAGCTCGGTGGCAAGTCCGAGAAGCCTCTCTACCTCGTGTTCCACGGTGGTTCAGGGTCAACCAAGGAGGAGATCAGGACTGCAGTCGGGAATGGCGTCGTCAAAATGAACGTTGATACTGGTGAGTCTGTCAGGTTTAGCAACAAATTCAGTCGCTGACGCGCAACTGGTCAATCAGACACCCAGTTTGCTTACCTCGCTGGTATCAGGGTACGATTGATCATCAATCCTCGAGATCGAGCAATGGCTGACCACCATCTCTCAGGACTTCGTTTTCAAGAAAAAAGATTACCTGCTCACTCAAGTTGGTAACCCTGAAGGCGCAGACAAACCCAACAAGAAGGTATGTCACTAGGGAATCTTCTATAAGATTTCCGACACTCATGTCTGATTGTAGTTTTATGACCCCCGTGTCTGGGTTCGTGAGGGCGAGAAGACGCTCACGGCGCGGGTCAAGGAAGCTTGCAGTGACCTCGGCAACGTTAGTGAGTATCAAATTGAGCTTGATCGTTTATCGGTTATTGACTTGACCATCCGTAGACCGCCTGTAAAGAAAGCGCCCGTAAACGCACGTATAGCTTAGAAACAAGGTTTTGAAGATTTATTACCCGTTATGTACTTCTGTAAATGCCCTGAAAAAACATGACACCCGAAAGCAACAGGCTAAGTCACTGTCGAGCAGTGGTCCATAGATGTGCTTGGGATCATTTTCTAGATATATCTGCAGATCTGCTGAAAGGTCGTAAGTCGTGAACGTATGAACTCGGAGCCCCGCGTACTATCTTGGTTGATGGAAGCGCCGTAAGTGTGACAATTGTGGGTGGTTTCGAACTTCTGTTGATTTGTTGAAATCCACGAAGTGTGACTCACAACTGTACCATCAACATCCATCCCAATCTTGAGGCATCTCCGGTCGAGATCGCCTTGTCTATAGCCTGTAATTCAAAGTTCCTGCACGACCAGACACGGGAAAATCTATATAACAAATATTTGTGACAACATGAGCATGAACGATGTTCGTACGTGATTCTTAATCTTTACTCCGCGCAACTGCGATTCACAACGCACAGCAGTCTACGCTTCTTTCCTCTTTCCGGTCTTCTTGACTATCGAATGCACGAGATGCATTCTCTACGTCTCTGACAGAACGCCCTGGCAGCGGGCCATTGCGCTTGGTCGTCTTACTACTCAACATCCTCGCGTTTGGCCCGCTCCGGGTGATTTTTGGATGGGTGCTGATGATCATATGGTTGCCTGTGCGAGCTCTTCTTTGGTTCATGGGTATAGGAAGGGGAGCACCAAAGAAAGGTGCGTGTTCTTTGTCCCTTACTCGTTGTGCAACATGGCTGACAATCAATTCATGCGTTACGTATGTAGGTTCGGCGGCAGCCACAGCGCGATTCTATGAATTTAAAAAGAGACGAGCCGAGGGACTGGAAGAACAGACGAGGGGAAAGATAATTTGGAGGACTTGAGGTATTATTTATCTTCTTGGGCTGTATGTACCTCTAAAGGTGTATTCTGTTGTTCTATGATTGTTGTCGTCGTATTATTATATTTATGCTCTCCTGTAGCTCCCAGCTGGCCAAGGAGCTCAGCTGTATATATTCATGTATCGACTCGCTCCGAACCTTGTACACTGGCGATTCGCGAACCTCTGCAATCACGTGACCGCGTACAGTAATAGGGCGTAGGGGTAGGGTAGGGCGTTGGGCTTTGGGCTTTGAGCTCCCCTAATGTAAGCTTCACAAGACCATATATGATCATATACGCTGCGTGTTGTTTTGTTGATGCAAAATTCGTACAGCAACATTTCAGTCATCTCCCCGTATTGCCTGAACTCTACCCACCTTGTCTGGTAACTCTTTTTGGTGCAACCAGGGGGCGAACCGCATAATTAGGTGGAGTCAGTACTTATTTCGATTCTCTCTCTGTTGAGCATTCATCTTCCCTATTTTTAGGCAGTCTTCATATAGTTCCATCCTGCTCCCAGACCTTCCTGGTTCAATTTTTTTCTCGTTTTCACAGCATTCCACGCAGGAAGTCCCCTTCGATTGTGCTGGACACCATCAGCGGCCTCTAGAAGAATGGCTGAATCCGCGCAGCCCGTAATTCACAGCATCGCACCCCGTCGAGCATTCAAAGGTCATGCAAACACCGTATTTGCAGTCGTAGTCTTCCCTGATAGACGACGCATGGTGACGGGCTCGGCAGACAAGATGCTTCATCTATGGGACTTAAAAGATGTTGTTGTGTTGAAGAAAATGAAGGGGCATCGCGGCGGGGTGCATGCAATAGCAGTATCAAAAGATGGACGTTTGATAGCAAGCGGTGATAACATCGGAGAGCTCATCGTCTGGGACGGAGACACTGGAGCTTCTCTTGCCCAACCCATCAAAGCACACTCCAACAAGATCCGCTCGCTGGACTTGTCTCCGGATGGCACGGTCCTAGCGACAGGTTCACGAGACAAAACGATGAAGTTGTGGAACACCAAAACACGGCATTTACAGGAAAATCCGCTCAATTGTCGTGGAAAAATATATTGTGTTCGATATTCACCGTCTGGTAGAATTCTTGCCATTGCGACAGAAAAAGATATCCAAATCTTTGATACAACCACGAAACGATTCATCGCAAACTTGAATGCTCACAACGCTTTCAGTGGAGCACTCAACTTGTCACTCACATGGTCACCCGATGACACACGGCTTCTCTCAGGGGGCTCGACTTCTGATCCCACCATACGAGAGTGGGATGCATTAACTTGGAGGCAGATTGGTACTTCATGGAAAGGCCATTCCAACGAGATCTACTCCATCGCCATTCACCCTACTGGCACTCTGGTCGCATCCGCATCTCATGACAACCATGTTCGCCTCTGGCTGCTCCCCGATCGACGAACCATCGCCTTATTCAAGCACTCTGACACAGCGCACTCTGTGACCTTTTCCATGGATGGCAAACATATTCTCAGTGCTGGTAACGATAAGAAAATCTCAGAATGGGCGATACCCGAGGACGCCTTGTTAAATTTCAAGGTAAGTTTTCAACCCCAACTGTTATAACGTAATTCGAGCATACTTCACCCAGGTCGTTAACATAAATATGGCAATACGCAATGCGTGCTTGGCCGGGGACTTGGATACTGCTGAAGAGCTGCTCACAAAAGATATATACGCTCATCCTAATAACTGCAACACCTATGCCACTCGCCCATTTGTCACGACGCGAAAGCTTGACTGGGATCATGCCCTCCGCGATGCTCTCGAGGTAAGATATGTTGGCCCGTTGCGACTCCGTCTGACGCTGATGACGACATAGTCTGTCAGCATTCTGCCTTCCTTGGCAGGATATATCTCCCAGGGCATGGCTCTCTGTGGGAAAATGCACTTCCAGGACGCGATGAGAGCATTTGACCTCGCATCCAAGTTCACAAACGAAGATCCAAAGACTATTCAGCTGCTTCACTTGATTAATGTACGTCGATATTTCTCCCCTGTTTCTGCTTCAAAACGGTTTTCAGGCCATTGCACTGTTCAATGCAAATCGACGTGACGAGGCAATCCTGCGTGTCCAGCAGCTCGCTGTCGCTCATCCCAATGTTGATATACCATCGCTGTCGCATCCAAATCCACTATTTGTTCCGAATATGATGATTTCATCCTGGTATGTTCATGTGATTCATCGGAACATACTTTGCATGCCCAACTGCGCACTTTTTCAAGCTACCTCGGATGGGACCTCGAGTTCTTGTGGCAAACCGAAAACCAGAAACGGTGCGATGTATTCTTTCGTGCAGGTAGACTTCGAGAAGCCCACGAATCATATCGATATATTATGGATATGAGTGATGAAGCTGCGAAGGCCACCTGCCTCGATTGGTCCACTGGTCAGTATTCGGTATTGTCATTCGGGATACAATGGTAATCCGAATTTCACCTAGCTTTCGTGCAGGAATTCAATGCGCTCTACGCTGCTAATGGAGTTGCTAGTCTCGTTGCGAGTGGAGATGCTGCCTTCGTTGCGAAGGATTATGACAGGACGATTGAGCTATACTCAGCGGCGATCAACCTGGATATTGCAACAGACACTACACTTGCAAAGCGCAGTAAGGCGAGGTGCGTAAAAATGCTATGGGAGGATGCACTCCTCGATGCACAGAAGGTGCGATGACATCTATTATTTCGAAGTCATCGCTGATACTCGTAATTACATAGGTCATTGAACTCGACCCATCGTCTTACGTTGGATACCAGTTGAAGCATGTGGTGCTTCACAGCGCACAACGTTACAATGAAGCCATCGAAGCCATCGAGGCCTTCAAAATGATGTTCTTGAAACTGGACGATGCTCCCAATATCGAAATATGCAGTAAGCCCAAAACAATATACTCATCACGCGCTATACTCATTACATGCTTGAATCTGTCTTCAGATCTACACAGGCAGTATATCTCGCCGTTCGAAGTAGAAATGGCTGTTCGAAGAGTCGTTGATGCTCATATGGAAAATGCCCCACCTCGTCTACTGAACACCTCCACTGGGCGCTTGTGCGATCGCGCGGCACAGATAAACGCCTTCGAGATGACCACAGAGTATACTGAGCTTCTGGTATCAACAGTGATGCATGGAGATACACAAATGGAGCGCATCCAAGGCGTGGTTGAGACGTACTTCCGATATGTCATGCTATCGCACAGGTGGGAAGGGAAGGAGCCGCTGTTGTACGACATTCAGGACAAGATTGTGTACGATTTGGATGCAGTTGGCGGTAACGTGAAGTTGCAGTCGTTCTGCAAAACAGCTCGTGATGCGGGTTATCACTGGGCATGGAGTGATACATGCTGCATTGACAAAAATATCAATGTCGAGCTCCAAGAATCGGTCAACTCCATGTTTGTCTGGTACCGCCAATCAGCGCTTACCATCATCTACCTGTCTGATGTCCCACCTTCGTCCAAGTCTGGGGCACTGGCAAAGAGCGCTTGGAACACGCGAGGATGGACAGTTCAAGAATTCCTGGCCCCGAAAATTGTCCTCTTTTATCAAAAGGATTGGACCATATATCTAGGCGACCGCTCTCCCAACCACAAGGATTCCATTACAATTATGCAGGAGATGCGAGATGCGACGGGCATAGATGCACAGACCCTGGTTACCTTCCGTCCGGGAACGAGAGATGCCCGAGAGAAACTTCAATGGGCTTCGGCGCGTACCACCACGCTGCAGGAAGATATCGCATACTCATTGTTCGGCATCTTCGGCGTCCACTTGGCTCCAATTTATGGGGAGAAAAAGCAGAACGCACTCGGGCGGCTCGTGCAAGACATTATTGCTCAGTCGGGTGATGTTAGCGCCCTAGACTGGATTGGGAAATCATCCGAATTCAATAGCTGTTTGTCAGCCGAAATCACTTCTTACCAAGCCCCACCATGCATGTTGCCATCTCTGGACGAAGATGAGATTCAGAAGTCAGTCTCATCCCTGCAAGATGTTGTGGTTGTAGAGTCGGCAATGAAATTGTACAACGAACTTGACTCCCTGAGCGTTGCCCCGCTTTGCGCACCACCGATTGCATCTGCCCTGCCTCACATTCCCTGTTACCGAAGTCAGGTCGATGCATGATCGGGGCCAGGAGACACATTTCACATATCAACTCAGGGCAAATGGGCTTCATGATTTGTTGATCACCACGGAAGACAGACTGGTTCAGTTCTGGCCGGGGAGACCCACTCTGCAGACATTCTTGATTGTTCGTCGTGGAATCTTGACCTCCTCGAGCTGCCCGACTTTACAGATCTGCCGGACCTTCCAGAGCCCCGTTCTACCAAAGACTCGCAGGGCATGGGAGATCAGTCAACCTCACCCGCGTCTCCGTTGCACGGTTTGCCTCCCACATCTTCTGGAGAAAATGGACTGGTCGATTCAGAATCTCAATCGCGAGCGTTGCGATTGATTGTTCGCCTTGGAGAGCCATTTAGCGTATTTTTGCTAGCGCAGCAACGTGGCGGAGAATTCAGGAGAATCGCGTCAGAACACGATATCATTGCACTAGTTAAAGATGTGGCTTCTGTTCACAGTATGATGGAGGTCAGGACGCTAGAGATATTGTAGTTGTGCGGGACTTATCTGAAGAACAGGGAGTTTTCATTTGTACCGTCATGATTTCCTGTTTACTGGTATGCTGAATGTTGGACTATTTATATTCGTCCAGTGATCGTGCATGCAAGACTTCCTTGATTGGCAAGAGAGTCAACCTACCAGAATTTGCTCGCGACCAGTCCTGCATTCGAAAGAAATGCTCCCGAAAACTGGTTACGAGCCAAGGAATGAGCACAGAACTTTGGTCTGCGTGTACGCTACGACCTAGGTAGACTGTCGGGAAGTACCCCTGAGACAACGTCGGAAAAAAAACTTTCCCAGTTTGCAAAGCGGTCAATTTGGCAACACTTGCGAATCCATCGGAGCGTGGGTATTAAAACAAAGAAGCTGAGTAAAGACGGACTTACATCTGTAATAGTCAGTGATTTACGTGCGCTTTCAAGTTAGTACTGCTGTACTAAAGAACATATACCTGTGACATTGCGAATGAGTAAGATCTCTAGCAAATTTCTGGTGTCTCGCTGAAGGTGCATGTATATGTTCGCATTGACTAGACACAAAAGGATTAGCATTGGCCGATAGGGTGAGAGGACTGACAAATAAAATAATTCCTGGATGAAAAGCACGGTGAACAGAATACTCCGATCACATATACTTGCACACACATCGCAAGTATCGTGCCCAGGTAGCGAACCTGTCTAGAGAACTTGTCAAGTGGCGACAGTGCGAGCGTCGAACTCACATACCACTTCGTATACGCTCGACATAACGGACTATTGTGTCCTCTATCTGCAGTGAGCAAACCACGTTGCTTTGTTTCGGGAATTTAATTGGGCGTCATTCAAGTCCTATGACTCGGATATGATACAACATCAATATACTCACAATAATCGTACCACACGACGGCCACGGCAGCAATTAATGGATGATAAGCTTACCTTGGAGGAGGAGTAGCACTTACTGCTGTAGAAATTGGATAGCTGAACCGCCTGCAAGATTGACCACCATGCTGGTAAATCGTCCACAACAACGTTGCTCGTGGTGTTTCCAAGTAGTGAGTAAATATGTGAGGTTGAAGACTGATTGTATGTTGTGACTCGCCTCTGTCAGACAGTATTCAACGCTCTGCTGCCGAATATCTGTCAAACATGTATTTCCTTGTTCCGCGTTGTCTGCTCACACACAACAAGGATAAGGACAGATTGGTTAGGATTGTACACCACAGGGGATAAAAATGAAACACAGAGTCGAGACTTGATCACAGGCTGAAGTGTGCTTGATCAGGACTGCGTTGCAGGTTCGCCTACGATGATCATCGAATTCTTCGTGGGGAAGAACATTAACGCGAGCTGTTAGCAGAAAGATCCTCGTGGGACTGGGAACCATTTCTGCGATCCGTTGTCCACTGCCCACTGTCCAGTACACTGCACTGGACTTTTGTAATTGTGATCGATCGGCAGCTGGTTACACAACTTACGACCAAAAATATTTCGACTATTTAAACCCTTCTATAAAGCTGTTGGATTCTCTGAGGAAGTAATCGGGACGGGGATGGTCCGGCCAGTGTGAAGATTGGTGTCAATGGTGTGAAACATATCCTTTCACTCACGATGCTGACGTTAAAGTTGATTGATCTCCCTTCTTGATGCCGCAGTCACGTTTGAGGGGTATTTTCCTGACGCCGAAAGATGTATTGTTAGTGGTCTAGCGAAGGAACCGTGCACTGCCCATGGCAGTGCCTACCAGCTTGAAAGATACTTGTTCAAGGAAAGAAGTGCTTTCTTTCGTAACAAATCACGGAAAACAATGATCGAGTGAATACTAGATATTCAAGCTTCAAGTATTCGCTGTAAGACGGACGAAGAATAACTTGATTAGTAATCTGCCACCATGATGGTGGCAACTTGCGTGCTTATCAAATTACATAGTAAGCATTTAGTACAACACCATCAATGGGTCCGTTATCAGCCTCGTATCTGTGAAAACTAGTCTTTATATGCAACCATGTAACTATATATAAATCCAGGGCCAGTAGTCTCGCTCTCTTCATCCAGCTGGTCCATCATGTCCATCCCTCCATTCGATTCCACCACCTACTCCACCTATACCCAATCACCAAATCCATCCTGGACGTATGGTCAGAGAGTCGACACCACTCCTGCCGGAAAAGACTGGGTCGCAGGCGAATCTGCAGGGTGGAAAGTCTATAACACAGCAGAAACAGATAAGGTGTACGTACTCCTCGACCTGTTGTTTAGCCGCAATCGTGACCGCGATCGACAGCGATCTCTACAAGCTCTTGATCTCGGGCATCGTACCACGCCCGATCGCATTCGTGTCCACGATCAGTGAGGATGGCATAGAGAACCTGGCACCGTTCAGGTAAGACATGCTTCCGTTATCTAACGCGCCCTGCACGCTTACCCAGCTTGCATCCATCAGTTGGTTTAACACAGTGAGCAACACACAAAAACATGTCTTTTCATCGATTTAATAGCTTCTCCCCATAGGTCACGAACAACCCGCCTATCATTTCATTCGCATGCAACGACAGCGCTCCGGGCCGCCTCAAGGACACAACCACGAACTTGAAGAACAGCCAAGGATTTACCGTGAACATCATCAGCGAGCCATTCGTCGAGAATGCGAATGCAACTGCCATAGACGCTCCTCCCAGTTTCGACGAGTGGAGTCTCAGCGGTCTGACAAAGGAAAAATGCGTACGCGTGCACCTTTGTGGTGCGACATACGCGCTAATAGCTAGCTGTTCAGGTGCAAACAAAAGCCTCCCGTGTCAAGGAAAGCGCTTTTAGCATGGAGTGCGAGGTAATTTCGTTTAATGCCGAGCCTGCTCGCTCGCTAACCACGTCGCTTCGCAACAGCTCTACAAATCTATCGATATCACCCACCCAGTCACAGGCGAGCACAGCAGCACACTCATCCTCGCGCACGTCAAGTACATTCACGTGCGCAAAGACGTGCTCACAGAGAGAGGTGTCATCGACCTCACAAAGTTTAAGCCTGTCGCGCGTTTGGGCGATATCTCATATGCGCGCGTTGGAGATGCATACAGGATCGCCCGTCCAACATGGGCGCAGGACGAGGGGAAGATACGAGAAGCGTTGGGGACTCAGGCATCCCTATGAAATAGAACGAAGGAGGCCAGCTTACTGTTTCTTGGGTAGCATATACCATAGAACATAAGACAGGCAATAGATATCAGCATTCACGCGTGATCGAGTCCGTTACCATTTCTCATCGCTGAGATGGTCCTTCCTTGTAATGATTACAAGGGCCGCTGTCGCTCGTGGGGATACGATAATACATCACGCGAAGGGAAACATTCACCAATCCCGTGGGGAATTTGCTGCAACTTCGTGTCTTCCTGCAATTAGGTGTGGCATTCGTAGAACGTTCACACGAGAAGGTAGTTAACTTTGAGTACACTCAAGAATCGAGCAGAGGAAACTGGCCGAACTAAGCGTGTATCGTCGGGAAAGGATCAACTACTCTAACAGTAGACTCAGCTTACATACTGTAGAGTACGGGTCTTAAGCAATCTAAGGAATCAAGGAGAAAGTATTCGAATGTGTCGCCTTGACAGTAGCCAAGGCTTTTGACGGAGGTTACAGTAGGGTACCCACTGCTTGTCCTCCGACTGCATCAATACGCTATATCCTCGCAAAAACACGCATGCAGGACTCGAACAACAACCTACCGACGACTGATCACACTACCATCTGGTATTAATATATCGTTTCACGCCTTGAGCACTTGAATCCCTCGGCTGGATTTACGTCCACGTACGTCGCCTGTCGAGATCATCGAATGTACTCACCTTGTCGTTAAACAGTAGTACGCTGTTCTATTGCATCTTACAATCGTCACAATCTATCATCGATCCTTGTCAATGAGTCATCAACGGGTTATGATTGAGGATGCTTGGGAGAAGCTGTCCCGTGTCTCCGTCAAGGGCGCTGAGTATGACTCTCGTGAACGCCAGCCCCATCCGAGACGGCTGGAAGGGTCCTGGATAGATCTTACCAACTGCATCCACGCATTATTAGGCCACCGAGAGAAGAGCCAACTTATTTGGCTTCATGGGGCAGCGGGAGTCGGAAAGTCTGCTGTTGCGTTCAATATAGCTGAAAGAATGAGGATAAAAGAGCGCACGGATATCGAAAAGCGGCTCGCAGGATCTTTCGTTTTTTCGCGCAAACACACGAAACGGTCTACGACTGGATATTTTTTTGCGACACTCGCCTACCAGCTAGCGAGCATTTCAAGCTATTCTGGCTTCAAGGAGCTCGCGACAGGATCCATCCTAGAGAATCCCGCGCTTCTAGACCCCGACAAGTCTCTTCGCGACCAGATGGAGGCGCTCTTTCTTCGACCTCTTCGGAGACTTCGGTACAGATTGGGCAACTGTCCCCCTTTGGTGTTCGTTGTTGATGCCCTTCATGAATGTACATCCAAAGCTGAGCTTGCCGATCTCATCACCCTGTTAACTGAAGTGCTTCGCGAACCTCAATTGCCCGTGATGCACATCCTGCTCACGAGTAATTCGCAAACCCATATCCGTGAAGCTTTTCAGAACGCAGAGGCGCGCCCCCTGCTGTCTGAGATACGGGCGAGTACTTCTGGCGATATTCTCGCTATGGACGTGGCATCCCTGGATTCTCGCGTAACTGGAAACTTGCCACACATCCTCGCTATAAACACGGAACCCCGTAACGCGTGCATAACTGGGGACTTGCTAATCGCTGAAGAGCTGTTAATGCAAGAGATTCGAGGCAGCGGTGTTAACAACTATCAGTCTTACGCAAATCGGTCATTTGTTATGGCGCGGAAAAATGACTGGGACCATGCACTTCAAGACGCACTTGAGGTGCGATTTGTTGATCCATCATGGATCCCCTGCTAATTTTCATGGTGGGGCAGTCCGTCAGTCTTCACCCCTCGTTGACAGGTTATATCTCCAAGGGCATTGCCCTGTGCGGAAAGAATAACTTGCAGGATGCGATAAGGGCATTTGACCTCGCATCCTGTTCACGAAAAGTGATTCAGAGACCACTCTTCTTCTCTTGATTAAGGCAAGGACACCAATTTCTTCTCGCATACTCATTGTTTCAACACAGCCCTCAGGCTGTTGCGCTTTTCAACGGAAATCAGCATGAGGACGCAATGCTGCGGGTCCAAGAGTTGGGTGCTATTTGTCCCAAGACCGACACTCTTGCGTGTCGTGTCGTAGAAGTGAGTTTTATGTGTTTTGCGACTTCTGCCGAACCCAGGTTCATGCGTGACACGAATTTTCTTAACTCTGCACACCAGGCATATCTATGCGTCCTCCTGGGTACCAATGCCTTAGACGGCGGGCGTCACAGCGAAGCTGCTGACCACTTCACCGCAGCTGTCAAGGCCAGCGCATTCACGTCGCAGATGGACATTTATTCTAAATACCAAGACTTTGTGGTGGTGCGTGAGCGCGATACAACCGTGATTTTTTGTTCATGCCTAACGGCGTGCTTTATCTAGCTCTTCGGGTGGGACCTCGAGTCCTTGTGGAAAAATGCAAACCAGAGAAAGTGCGATGCACTCCTTCGTGCAGGCAGGCTTGGAGAAGCAGTCGAATCGCACCGATACATGATGGAGATAAGTGACGAGGCAATGAAGGCGAGCTGCCTTGAATGGTCTACTGGCAAGTCTTCGTTAATATCGCCCGGGCTATCATCCTCACGCGCATGTAAATTAGCTTTCATGCGAAAATGCAACGCGCTCTATGCTGCCAATGGAGTTGTTGAACTTGCTACGAGTGGAGATGCTGCCTTTGCTGAGAAGGACTACGACCGGGCCATTGAACTTTACTCGGCGGCGATCGAGCTGGACTCTGCAACCGATACCATCTTTGCAAACCGAAGTAAGGCGAGGTTGTTGAAATGCTATGGGAGGATGCACTTCTCGATGCGGAAAAGGTGCGGCGGCATCTGTTTCACAATAAGCTATGCTTACTTCAGACATGGACAGGTCATCGAACTCAACCCTTCGGCTTATCTTGGATACCAGCTGAAGCACGAGGCGCTTCATGGGGCGCAATGTTATGACGAAGCCGTCGAGGCTTTCCAAATCATGTTGCTAAAACTCGATGAGGCTCCCGACCCGCAAATACAAAGTAAGCCCCGAATAACGCACGTATCAAAATACCTGACTCTTCGTCCAGAGCTATACCAACACTGTATCAGTCCATTTGAAGCGGAAAATGCTATTCGACAAGTTCTACATGCTCACCTTGACAATGCCCCACTTCGTCTAATCAATACATCCGATGGGTGGTTATGTGATCGAGAGGCCCAGACACATGCTTTTAAGACGAGCGCAGAATACAAGGAGCTGTTGGCATCTATAATCAAGAATGCAGAAGTCCAATTGGAGCACATCCAAGACGTGGTGGCCAAGTACTTTCGTTGGGTCATGCTATCACATAGGTGGGGAGAAAAGGAGCCGCTGCTGCACGACATCCAAGACAAGGTCGTGTACGAGTTGGATCCAGTTGACAGCACCACGAAGTTGCAGTCATTCTGCGAAATCACTCGTGACGCGGGTTTCTATGGGCGTGGATGGACACGTGCTGCATCGACCAGAAAACAATGTCGAGCTCCAAAAATCGGTCAACTCCATGTTTGTTTGGTATCACAACTCAGCACTCACAATCGTCTATCTATCGGACGTTCTTACTTCATCCAATCTTGTACGTTGGCCAGGAGTGCTTGGAATAAGAGAGGATGGACGGTCCAAGAATTCTTGGCTCCTAAAGTCATTCTTTTCTATCGCCAGGATTGGACCCTATACGGCGACTACCACTCTACCAACCACAAGGAGTCTACGGCGATCATGCAGGAGTTGGGAGATGCTACAGGCATAGATTTACGGTCCCTCGTCGCCTTCCGTCCAGGGACGAGAAGCCCCCGAGAGAAACTCCAATGGGCATCGACGCGTATCACCACATTGCAGGAAGACATCGCATACTCATTATTTGGCATCTTCGGCGTCCACCTACCCGTAATGTATGGCGAGAACAAACGAAACGCGCTCGGGCGGCTCTTGCAGGAGATTGTTGCTCATTCGGGCGACGTCAGTGTGCTCGACTGGGTCGGGAAGTCATCCGAATTCAATAGCTGTTTGCCAGCGGAGATCACTTCATATCAAGCCCCGCCATGGTCGCCATCTCTTTCCGAAGATGATATTCAGACGTCTGTCTCATCGCTGCAAGATGCTGTGGTTGTAGAGATGGCTTTAGGATTGTACCGTGAGCTTGGCTCCTTGAGGGCTGCTCGTTTCGCGCACCGCCGGCTGCATCTACCTTGCATCGCATTCCTCGTCACCGGAGTCACAGAGAAGCCTGGTCAAAACCAGGGGGCCAGTTTCACGTATCAAGTCAACGCCCAAGGGCTTCATGACTTGTCGATCACCACGGAAGACAGGCTGACCCAGTTTTGGCCTGGGAGACCGGCTCTGCAAACATTCTATCTTGTTCGTCCATGGAATCGTGATCTTCTGGAGCTGCCCGACTTTACGAAGCTTCCCGGCCATGCAGAGCCTCCCCCTTCTCTAGACATCTCGCAGAGCATGGAAGAATATTGTACCTCACCTGGATCTCCGTCAGACGATATTGTCCCTGTGCCCCTCGGGGGAAAGGGGACGCTTGATTCGGAGTCTCACTCACGAGCATTGCGACTGTTTGTTCGCCTTGGACGTCCGTTTAGCGCACTCTTGCTAGCACAGCAACGCGGTGGAGAATACAAGAGAGTTGCGTCAGATCGTGTTATCGTTGCACAAGTCAAAGACATTGCGTCTATTCGCGATGTTATAGATGTCAGGACACTAGAGATATTGTAGTGTATATATTGTGGATGAAGGATACCTAACCCTGTGTTATATGTATTCACCTACAATGGTACCGTGCATCCGTAACTTGACAGGAAATCCAGACCATCTTGAGATGTGATACGTACCAAGGTGTTCGAATTCGTAGGGTCCCTCCGCCCTGGGGGTCCTTTTATACTTGTACAATCGACCCCGTGAGAATAATAGCACATACTGGCAGCTCCGAACACGCTTATTCCTAGCATGTTTCGTGGCCATCGACTTAGTCTTTTTTATTTCATTTTGCGTTGGCAAATGACTGCTAATCCTATGTGATCTGCTGTTAATGCATGATGTTCTTCGACTCGTATTACAGACGTCTATCTTGACCAGTCTTAGCCACACGGCGGTCAGTGTGACAGGATAGAAATCTGTTGCAAGTTCGAACCTGCTCAACAATCTTTTTCCTTTTGTTGCGCCTTGAACATTCACTCCTCGATGGATCCTTCAAGGTCTGTCTCAAGTAGTTATAGCCAACTGGCGCTGGAGCAGATTAGAAATCTTGGGTGAAAATCTGCTGACACATGTCCTATCACACCTTGATGTTTACTCATGGACAACTGTACTTCGGAGGTTCATCTCAACTTGGAAGCATACTGGCTAAAGTGATTACACCTGAGGCAGGACAGGATCTGCCTGTGGGACAGATTCGCATCATATCCACAGAAATATTTTACATTTGTGATAGAATCTGTACTGTGATGATATTGAATATCAAATTTTACATATGTTTGTGATATGACATTTGGGCAAATTGGGGGGACAATATCCTAAATCTAATGGCATCTCATATCCAAACTGTGAAATAAAATTTGTTTTACTCTGAGATATGTGCCATATATAGAATTTGTTAAGGTTGTACTCAAAGGGTAACTGGATCGGAAGGGCTTCGGCCTCAGCTCGTGTGCTGTGCCCCTTACCTGAGTATTGCCCCTTATTTCAGGAAGGCAAGACTAGCGCATGTGGAAGGTCAGATGAGTAGTGTAACAGATCCGGATGACTTCCGGATGAGGGATAAGTATCACAGGGCTAATCTGGATGAGTCCAGACTAGAAACTAACGGTAATGGACTGTTGGGGACAGAGGCGGATATGGATAGACTATAGGAATCAATCCTAAGTCTCGGAGGGTGATGAGAGTAGAGGTACTCAAGTCTGGAGGACAGGAATGAGCAGAACTAAGATGATATTCGAACTGAGGTACTACAGAAAGTTACAGGAGGTTATATACTATAGGTATCTAACGGAATGATCAATCAGCAGAGTCCGAGGCTATGTACGAAGCATGTGGATAGTCTATTGGTAAGTAGAAACGGATCACAAATCATGAAACAGAAATGAAACATAGGTAGTGGATAAGGGAGCAGGACGGATATACAGATAACCAAAATACCGGAGTTAGGGGGTTACCAAAAGGGGACGAGTGCTGGTTGTGGATTCAGATGAGTTGTGGACCAGATGAGTGGACAGGTTGAATGACGAGATGTTGGAGGGAGATAAGATGCGGATAGGATCAGAGATAAGATGTGGATCTGAGAAGAGATAAGGGTTGGATCTGAGATCTGGATATGCGGATATGACAGAATTTAAGCATGAATATGGTGGCTGATCAATTTTAATTACAAATTTTAAATATGAACCCTATACATATTTGGTATGGAGCTTTCTTATTGGTCAGTCATCAAACAAATTCAGAATAATACAATCCGGATCTGCACATACAAAATATTGGGTGACTTCCCATAGGCAAAATAATCTGGATTATCATATACTGGACTTTGAAAAACATTTTCCAAGTTACACAATCAGATATTCTGTACAAAAAACCAAACCATAGATCAATGGAATATCATGGATGATATTTTATATCAATATCAAGCATTGCAAAACAAGATAGAAACAGAAGTAATCAACAATGAAGAATCTGCACTCATTGTTGCAGCTACTGTACTGGTGGGAATCAAGCTGACTCAACAAGAGCGCATTGACAGATGTCAACCATGATGACAATACCTTTGCTGTGCACAGCTCCTTCCAAATCCACAGATGAATACCCCATGGCAAGCGCTATTTGTGAGCCAGAATGATCAAGCCTTCATTACGACTATGGGCTTTGATGTGGAGACATTCACCTTCATACTCACCTCTGGCTTTGTGAAACATTGGTACCATGCACCCATTCCTTGTGATGATATCAGTCAGTATGCTAATCCCTGTGTCGAACAACAATCTCTTGATGTCAGAGGTGCCCTTGGCCTTGTATTACACTACCTAAATTCTACAATGCATCAAATTAGTCTGCAACAGATTTTTGCGCTCATCCCAACAATGGTATCACAGTACCTTTCATTTGGCCTGCACATACTCCTCCTCACTCTGCACAACATGACTGATGTCATACCATTGTCCCTTGGCAAGCACTGAGTGCTAGTGTGAGGCTCAGATGTTTGGCTCATCACAAAGCGGCCAAACCAGTGCCTATAGAAAGAAGGTAAGTATGCAAGTTCTGTGAGCCTATACAAGTTTGTACAAACCTGTACAACTCTGTACAGGCACCCAGTAATTTGCTGATGTATATGAGGGATTCGTGAAGTATTGAATGGTGCTGAAGTGGTAGTATTGAAGTTTGAACGGTGCTGGATGACAGAGGGTAAGATTATGTCAGCAGATATTGCTGGTGTGAGTGGTCCTGAAAAGGCAAGTTTGAGTTTATTCTCATTAGAATAATCTGCAGGGGTAGACCCTTAATGGATTTCAAATGGTGATGAGATGTCACCCAGCATCACAGCACACCTTCCTAATACGTGAAATTATATTATATTCTACATTATTTTTGCCTATGGGAAGTCACCCATTATTGTCATAATTTCAATATGAGCATGGATCTAGTGCTAAAACAAAGGCTTCCTTTCAAAATTTAAATATTGTTGTCTATGTATTCTTCATTTGGAGATAAATCTGGTAGGGAATCAGTTTTGACCACAGATTTTACATTTGTGTATTATTTGTTTAGGTTCAACATTGCACAATAGATGTAAGATACTTTACAAATATGTTCCACTGTTAAGAACCATGTTGCTCAAAGGAGGAGAGAGACTGACTCAGAGGGGCTTGGCCTCAGCTCATACGCTGTGCCCCTTACCCAAGTATGTGCCCTTCATTTCATATGAGGTCCGATGATGGTCTGATGAAGTCTGGAGGACTTCCAGAGGCTGGCTACTCTGCTGGAGAGTGCTAGAGGACTTCCGGAGGAGTGCGGGAAATGTCCGGAGGAGTGCAGGAGAGTTCTGGAGGAACACAGGAAGTGCTCAGGAGAGTTTCCACTGCAGGGTAATACTTCTACAGGAAACAGGATGGAAGGATAGGAGGTCTGAAGGTCCAGAGGACAGGAGGACAGGAGGACAGGAGGACAGGAGGACAGGAGGACAGGATGACAGAGGACAGAAGGACAGGAGGATAGGATGTCCAAGGGTTAGGAGGGCAGAACGTCCAAAGGACAGGATGCCTGGAGGTATGAGGGACAGGAGGTCCAGAGGTCCAGAAGGAATAGGGGCTACATTGGACTTCGTCTGATGTAGAAACAAACAGAGGTAGACTACCCTAAGGTAGAGTTGGAGAGACAAGGGTTGGACCTAAGTCCAGAAAGAGGGTAAGTGCTGGAAAGGCGGAGCTCTGGCCTAGGGAATCAATCCCTAGGCCTGATGGGTAGGACAGACTTAGGTGGACCAAAGTCCAAGAGAGGATTGGGCAAGTCTAAGTTGATATTCAAACTAAGGAACTACAGGAGTATCTACAGGGGTTATATACTGAACAGTATCTGAGGGGATCAGTAAGCAAAGGAGCAAGGCTATGTACGAGCATGTGGAAACACATTAGTAAGTAAGACAGAACATAACTAAATGAACTCGGAGATGAAGACTCATACAAGGATCAATAAGCAAGACAGAAGAAGAGGTAACCGAAAGCCATTAAGCAGAGAATGCCTAAATGGGGATAGGCGCAGGATATCGGACAGAGGGTGGGAATAGGTCTGGAGCTAATATCTGGAGATCTGGGGATCTGGAAGACAAGGTGGATACAGGACCAGGATATGAGAAGGTGGATAGAGTCCAGAATCCAAGATGAGGTGAAGTCTGAATGTCTTGCTGGATGGAGTGTACATAGGGTGGATGGGACAGGGGGTTATGGTTCAGGCTAGCAGTGGAGATCCGATGGTCTGGAGCTCAGGGGTAAATCTGGAGTGTAGTCAATCCTGCTGAGGTGTGGAGCACACAGCGGAAGGGGATCTGGGAATGAGTTGGATATGAAGTGTGGTCCGGATGTAGGCTTGGAAGGCGTGGGAATATGATGGAACGTGGGTCTGGATTGTGGGATATGACATCCACATATTATCCTCCAGCCAATCTGGCAATGTCTCTGGTGTTACCATGACAGAATCAAAATCTGTTTCTCTTGGATTGTGCAGGTTCAAAACCTGTCAATGACATGCCCAAATTTTTCTCTCTCAGAACACCTTGACATTCACTCATGGATGGTTTCATCACAGGTTGTTCTAACTGGTCATAGCTAAGTGGCTACCACAACAGAATTGAAATCTGTTTCTCTTGGACTATGCAAGTTCAAAACTTGCCATTCAACAGATTGTTTTTATTTGAACATGCCCTGAAGATTCACTCATGGATGATTTCCTCAGAGGTTCATCTCAACATCATCCTGGCCAAAGTGGTCACCATGACAGAGTCTAAATTTGTCTCTTGGACTGTGCCAGTGCAGGTTTGAAACCCGCTGATGATGAGGCTTTTTGTGCTATTGCAACATGTCTTAAAGATTCACTCATGGATGGTTTCATTGGAGGTTCATCTTAACTAGTCTTGTAGCCAGGTGATTCCCACAATATCAAACAGGATCAAGATCTGTCAAACCTGTTGACAACAAGGTTTTTTTCCCTATTGTAACACATTTGGACATTTACTC